TCGTTGTACCGATCAATTCGAGGTCGTCTCACGTTTCCTCGTAAAATTAAATTAAATTGATTAAATACCGCAATACCGTGAGAAAAATTGGTGAATACCGAAATACCGTGTCAAAAATCGACGAAATACCAATACCGCATTTATTTACGGTATTGGGTACCTACCAATGTCCCCCCTAGCATGGCGTTGCTGTCCAACTTCGTCACCTTTCTTCAGGTCCGCTGACCCCTACATGCGCTGACCCGTAACGTCCGTTGGAATGTATGTAACGAAATACAAGCAGCCCACATTCAAAGTACTTGGAGACTAGCTGAGGCTGAATTCATCATCATTAACAGGAAAAACATAAAACTGTTTCACTTCACGATTTCTGGTGATAGAAAGACTGTTTTTTTTTTAACTTACATTTCACGTATTTGTTTGGATCCCGCTGCAGTTCGGACAAATGAACGCTATCACGCGACAACATTTCCAAGATTCAACTCTCCTTAGCAGATGGTAATTTCGAGTTATTCTCTTTTTCTGCGAATGTTTCATTTTCCTTTCTCTTTTAATTCTATATACTTCTATTTAGGATGGTTTTGAGCACCTAGCAAGGCTTAAAGTGGCGTTTACCACGCTATCCTTGGCCATCTTGGCAACAGAGAAGTGTTTCGCCGAAGTTGCAACTTAACGGTAAATACGGTAACTTTGAACGGTTTTTACAACGTCAGTATACTTTGGCCGAAAAATGTTTTTCCGAAAACGTGATGTATATCCCTCCAATGTCTGATTCATCACTGTGATTGCTTTCAGCAGCGTTGGACTTTTGAGAAATTATTATTTTAAAATCAACGCCAACGCTCCATCTAATTTAATATGCAATATTTGAAAATTTATTTTTTATTTCCTTCGGCAGTTTTTCGATGTTTATCGAATGATATTGCATTAAGAGGCCTTTTTCTTCATCACTGTGTGGTTTTCTCGTTGTTTTGCGTCGCGATAGTGATTTCTGAACCGTTTTTTGCGAGGGCTTATTTTAGGCCTGATTTTGCTGCTATCAGACGGAAAAAGTTTGCGGCTCGATATTTTTGGTTTAAAGCAAAACTGAAACGAAAGAAATTCATTTTTGAATAGTATTCGGTAACCTCTGCTTGGGAGATAAAAATCGGCCGATTTTATTTTTTAGCCGGAAATCATCGGTCGTTTCTTAGGCGCAGGGCCTCTTAAGTATGTAAGTTACAAGGTCTAAGATTAATTCTATTAACTAATACCGAGTACTTTTTAAATTACACTTGCACCAGTTTCTTGTGATGTATTGGTTGCAATAATGCATGGCTGTTGGCCATGGACTGCACCTCTTCCACCTGCTGGAAGATTAGCAATTTATCCAGGGTTAATTAAGTCTGTAAGTTACTATTAGGTTGATATACGTTGAGTGTACAATACCAGGCTGTACACACTTACCCGTTTGTTGTGACATTGTGTTAACAGTAGCACAGGGTTGCAGTAATGGCTGGTGGACTGCAACTCTTCCACCTGCTGGAAAATAACCAATTTATCCAGGGATAATTAAATCTGTATAAGTTACTACTAGCTATAGGTTGATATACATTGAGGGTACAACACCAGGCTGTATACACTAATACCCCTTTGTTGTGACACTGTGTTAACAGTAGCATGGGGTTGCAGTAATGGCTGTTGGACTGCAACTCTTCCACCTGCTGGAAAATAAGCAATTTATCCAGGGTTCATTAAGTCTGTAAGTTACTAGGTCTAAGATGATATCTATTAACTAATACGGAGTGCTGTAACTACTTATTTACCGGTTTGTTGTGACATTGTGTTAACAGCAGCACGGGGTTGCAGTAATGGCTGTTGGACTGCTCCTCTTCCACCTGCTGCAAGATAAGCAATTTATTCAGGGTTAATTAAGTCTGTCCGTTATTAGGTCTAAGATTGTGGCTATTAACTAATACCAAGTGCTGTGTACACGCACTTACTGGTTTGTTGTGACACTGTATTAACAGAATTACGGGGTTGCAGTAATGGCTGTTGGACTGTACCTCTTCCACGTGCTGGAAAATAAGCAATTTATCCAGGGTTAATTAAGTCTGTAAGTTACTTGGTCTAAGATTATATCTATTAACTAATACTGAGTGCTGTAACACAATACCGGTTTGTTGTGACACTGTATTAACAGCAGCATGGGGTTGCAGTAATGGCTGTTGGACTGCTCCTCTTCCACCTGCTGGAAGATAAGCAAATAATATTATCCAGGTCATGCAATTAAGTTTGTAAGTTACCAGGTCTAAGATAATTTATGGCTATTAACTAATACCAAGTGCTGTGTACATGCACTTACTGGTTTGTTGTGATACTGTATTAACAGTAGCACAGGGTTGCAGTAATGGCTGTTGGACTGTACCTCTTCCACGTGCTGGAAAATAAGCAATTTATCCAGGGTTAATACAGTCTGTAAGTTACTAGGTCTAAGACTATATCTATTAACTAATACTGAGTGCTGTAACACAATACCGGTTTGTTGTGACACTAGTACTGTATTAACAGCAGCATGGGATTGCAGTAATGGCTGTTGGACTGCTCCTCTTCCACCTGCTGGAAGATAAGCAAATTATCCAGGTCAATTAAGTCTGTAAGTTACTAGGTCTAAGATTATGGCTATTAACTAATAATACCAAGTGCTGTGTACATGCACTTACTGGTTTGTTGTGACACTGTATTAACAGAATTATGGGAATGCAGTAATGGCTGTTGGACTGTACCTCTTCCACGTGCTGGAAGATTAGCATTTATCCAGGGTTAATTAAGTATGTATAAGTTACTACTAGGTTGATATAAATTGAGGCCTAGGCTGTAACACTTACCGGTTTGTTGTGACACTGTGTTAACAGCATCACGGGGTTGCAGTAATGGCTGTTGGACTGCTCCTCTTCCACCTGCTGGAAGATAAGCAATCTGTCCAGGGTTAATTATGTCCGTACGTTACTAACTAGGTTGATATACATTAAGTGTACAATACAAGGTGGTTTGTTGTGTTATTGTATTAACAGCTGCACGGGGTTGCAGTAATGGCTGTTGGACTGCACCTCTTGAAACAATGACTATTATTATAACTTCCAATTTTAATAAAAAAAAAAATGAATCATTTTACTTGATAATAAATTTTCAGGTCTGAGAAAAAGATCTTGAAGTTGCTGAGTGTCTGCAATTAATTATCAGGTTTTTTTCTTAGTTTGTTTTCTTTTCAACAAGTAGCTCAGGGGGTTCATATGCTTTTAGTCAAAGGAACCCCCATCCCCAGCCCTTTGTATAGTACAGACTGCCATGCATTCTAATATCATGTTACCTATAGGAGTGAACTCTAAGGGTTACAAACCAAAGTTAAATTAACTTTTTGCCTTACATGAACCTAGACTCTGGCTTGTGAGTACTGCTGCAGACAGGGGTGTTCTTTGTTGCTCTTGGCACTCTTGGCTAGCTTCCTTCCAAGCTCTCTCAACATCAAATTCAACAAGCACAAATTCATCGACAAACTTTCCTATATGCTTGTGAAGAAAATCTTTCTTCACTTCAGCAGAGTCAGTCTCAGATGGAAGTTTTGGCAAGTTGACTGGTTTATCATCAAGCGTCTGAAGACCAGCCCATTTCATAAAAGCAGAACACAAATACGCCTTGGTTGTAGACAACATGAGGCTTTCAGCACTCTTGTAGTTTTTTTGTACTTTGTTAGAGACATTGACCAATCTAAAATGTTGCCTCAGGTGATAAAGTGTACCAATGTCTCTTCCACCAATGGATGTGTTGTTGTACAATTGCTCCCAAACATACTAAAGTCAATTTAAAAATAGGGTCAAACACTTTAAAACACTAAACCTCAACTTGAAACTCAGCAACAAAATGCGATGAGGAAGTTCACAATCATCATTCAATGTCATCAGATCAGGATTCTGCTTAAGTACTGTGCTTGGTCTATCTCATTTTAGTTAGGAAATATACACATCACTTCAGACACCTTTTTCATAGGTTCAAGGCACAGTTCTACATGTAATGGCCACCTCAAAACACAAAGCCTTAGAAGTTTTTTTGGCAAATCTTTGCTGCTATGTGGAGTTTACATAAATGATTAAAATCTGTAATTTTAGGAACTGGATATCGTTCAAGTATTTGGTAACTTGAGTAAACTTTATACCCATTAATCTGGCCATTAGGTCTTTAGAATCATTTTTTGCCCTCAACATCAACAAAAGAAAAAATTGTTATAAAATTACAGTCTATAAGAAAATGGTTCGTTCTTGTATCAAATTCTCTTGACTAATTCTGTAACACTTTGAGCCCCAAAATCCACATACAAATTCTCCAAAGTAATCTCCATAAATTTCCTTACAAAATTAATACACCAGTAGCTATATAGCTGAGAGAATTTGTTCAAAGATCAAAACAGTTCCCTTATATATTAGGTGATCATTTTATTTATTCTCATAAACTTTTCTTTAATTCTGTATTGATATTGTTAGGAGAAAATTGATGTTGGTCACTCTTGGGACTTAAGGGTTTTAAGGAAATAGAGGGTGATATTAAAGTCTTATAGAGCAGACTTACAGAGAGAAATGATTGCTTTGCATGCCAAAGGGCTGGACACTCCACGATGTTGTCAAAGCGTTCAACAGAACTATCACACCCCAAACGAGTCTTCTTTGCACTGGTCACCCTTTCTCGGCCAAGAAGATCACCTGCCAATGGTACTCTGATTTTTTCCAAAACCATCTCAGAGCTAGCAGCATGCTGGTTTTGACTAGCACTGCTATCAGCTGCAGGAGATTCATCCTGTTTATGCATGACATTATTTGGCATGTCACATTTATTGAATGTTTTTAGGGTAAATTTTAATCCTTTGAAACAAACTGGAAATAAAAAACCTACAGAAATGAATAACAAGGCTTGCAGGTCATGAAAAAAATTGTTGACACCATGGAACAAAAACCCAACAAACTTAATACTGAACACAACAACTTACCCCCTCCTCTATACACCATCTCCTTTCCTCCCCAACAAATAATATCATTGTCCTTTTTAAGAGTGCTCAGCCTAACTTAAAGTGAACATTAAACCAATTTGCCTAATATATGTTACATTAACAACACACTTCAGGAAAAATGTTGCTTGAGTTATTTTGAACCCACAGTGGAAGACCCACAGTGTTGAAGTTCAACTGTAATCTGCGTCCCATTGAGTTATACACACTCTATTATGTTTTGATAATGTACGGCAGTTGCTTCAGGCAGTGGAAATTAGCTAGTCAAGCTCAGCAATAATATTGTCATTATTACCTGAGTTGTGAAAACTTTAGAGAAAAAATCCTCTAGCCACTGCAGGTATTGACAAACATCCCCAACTTTACTTTGATTAAAGGGAACTACTGGCAGCCCCACAACACAAGACTTTCCAGCCATCTGACTTGAGTATCTTAAAACAAAGAATCACAGTTTACATGGACTAGACTTCATTATAGCAACTGAGAATAAAATATGGACTACAGTGAGCCTAGCAGCTGTGTATAAAACACACACTAGCTATTTTAAAGCAGACTATGGCTCAGGGAAAGGTAGTGATAACATACAAAATACTGTAAAGAAACATAAATCCACACAAGGCTGTTACCAAGAAAGGGAGGGCGGGGATTGTCCCTGACTATCATGAGAATAAAAAAAGTATAACCAGTTGAAAAAGAACTTAATTCCATAGCTGGGAATTCAATTCACAGCCGATTACACATGGCAACTCAAATCATAGTGTCAGCCGCCTGGTCCATATATATGTTATGCGCGACTAGTTATTGCTGTATACAATGGCTTCTTTTTTTATTCAGAAAAATTAATATCTATTAATAAATCCCATAGAAAGCATTATTTTTGATGAGATACCCTTCCCCTGTGCCCATCTAGAAGTTAAAGTCTAGGCTTTTAACTTCAATGCCTTTACAAAATTTTGGTCTCCCTCTGATTATGAATAATATTAACCCTCTGTGAAAAAGGGTAGTTTATGAATCATTTCTGGAACCAAAAATGAATACAGAGTATATAATAATGTTTAAAAATATTATATTACCTGTGTAAAATATGAGAAGGAACAACATCACGGAGAGGCCCTAGTGATGGAAAGAACTCAAGGAGAACTCTGGCAACAAGGATAATATAATCATTTCTCTGCCACTCCAGTTCATCTTTGCTCATGAGGTAATTGATGTTGTCAAAGTCTTTAATGTCTGAAACAATCGGCTTTGAATCATCTAGGTGTCTTGATGATACTCTCTCAAATGTAACATAATGGGCAATCCAGTGCATGTCAGAGTTTCGGTGATTTCTAAGGATAATATTTGCAAGGATTCTAAAATCCAAGTTGTCAAATACAACCCTCAAGTCCTGACCTGATTCGACATTTGCTTTAACAACTGAGGCTAGGTTAGAACCAAGGCTATCCATGATATTTCTGAGACTTTCCCTGGATTGTGCAATACATGACTTGTTCATTCTCTCGAAGGTCTTCATGTAAGTGAAAGAGAAGAGAAATTTTGAGTTAATTGTTAGGTTGCAAAATTATGCCGCTAAATATACTAAAATATATTAAGAGAAATTTCACCAAGAGAAACAGCATATCACATTCTTCACTTTAGCATTTTATAACGACTTATCAATTATTTTTTAAATCATGTGCAGTTTCTTAAAAAATTTTCACCTTAAATAGAGAATCATAAAAGTTTTAGTGCCAGTATAAAGAATATACAACAAATTATGTTGTATCAGATTATTTATAATATTTTTATTTATAGCACCACACAACTGTAAAAAGTGAAGTTAACTAGTAAATATTTACTCTTTTTGTAGCATTTCCAACAGCTAGAACAACGGCATTGATTTTTTGTACTAGTGATAGCTCCCGGCACCTAACATTCATCAGTATGCCATATGCTGTGCAGAGGGGTATGACTTGACGCCCATCATTGCCCTTTAGCTTCGGAATGGCCATGGCAACCAAGAAGTCCAAAACATCTGGGGCTCGTTCTTCCATCTCCTTCAAAATAGCCTCCCATTTGAATTCTACAAGGTTCTTATGCTGCGCACTGGGTACACGGAGGACTGATGGTTCTGCAGTTGTTCTTAAACAAAGTCTGGAACACTGCTCATCAACTAACTTTAGATATAAACCTTTAACAGCATTTCTCAAAGAGGGAATTTTCATAACAGCTTCAGCAAGAATATATGAATTTGAGGTGTTAGCTGCAGCTATAATTTCTTCACTCTCCTCTGGACCCATAGTCCTTATCCTAGATGAGAGCTAGTGATAAACATGAAAGATTGCTCAGTGGAATTTGAATACATCATAAGAAGATGACATAATATTTTAAAATAAGCAATTGAGAAAACTAACCTGTTGAAATGATCAATAACTAATATACAGTAAAAACCTGCGAGTAAGAACCTAAATTTTCTGGAGTTAGTTTAAACAGGTTCTTATTTAAATGGTAGTTAACACAATTTTAGGCTATTTAGGTTCTTAAATAGGTTCTTATTTCTGTAAACAAAAAAAAAACAAGCTACAAAACAAGATGGTAATTAATCAGCCTCTTTTTCAATTTCAAAATGCGATACAACAATATTAAGCTCTTGGACTTTATTTTTTATTACATCAATAAATTTGCACTTTTGTTTTGCACAGCAATGCCAAGCTCCTAATTCTCCTAACAGGATTCTTGTACAGCTTTACAGCTGCATTTCACTAATATGATTTTTAAAAAGAAGAACCTGTTTTTCATTTTGTAGGCTAAACAGGTTCTTGTTTGTAGGGGGTATAAATGGCAAATTTTAGGCTAACAGGTTCTTAATTTTCAGGTTCTTACTCGTGGGTTTTTACTCTACAATACATAACCCACTGTGTTCAGGTTTATCTCAACCTTGCAGTGTTCCTTATCTTTGTCTCTAAGTAATCCAGTTTGATAGGACAAATAAAAGCAGATTATTTCAGTCAATTATAAACAATATTGAATTAACTCAAAGTATTTACCGATCCAAAAGAATCATAAATCTTTCCTAATAAAATATTCAACTTTACTTACCTGCCTTACTGTTCAACTGTACCCTCACCATAACAGGTCTTAAAGAACCAAACACCAAAAATCTCAGCATACTGACAAAGGTATGCATTCTTTATATCACAACTTCAGCTGTACTTGCCATTTAAAATTAGTAAAACAACAACATAAGATATTATTCATTAGTATTTCATTTAGACAATTTTTATTTACTCAAATTAACAGGTAAGCTTGTGGGGTCATATATAACACAACATGCAAAACAGTAAAAATGTTTTGAATTAAATATTGGTGTAGACAACAATAGGAGCAAAGCCCCTTGTATTTGCATTTACCCTTATGTCAGATGCCTCGCTGACAACATTCAGTCGTTTTCTAAATGGCATTTAACATCCAAACCCGACTCAGGCGTTCATTGTAGTATTGCCATTTACTACGTTCATGGCGTGTCAAGGTCAGACTGTTAGATTATAACAAAACAAACACAACGAGAGTTAACAATTTACTGTCAACTTTATTCCACAAATTATAGTAAAAAGTAATACAATCAAACTTACTTATTCATGACAAAATGAAATTGGAAAACGTTCAATGATAAGCGACTTGTAAATTTCAAAACGAACCTCACAGTTACGAAGGCCGGTCTTTGCAAGTATTGGTACTTCCTGGCTTGGCTCAACAACTGGAGCTGGCTGTAGTGGCTTTGGCAGGATTCTAACTTGCTTTTGAACAGGTGCTTCATCACTATCTCTGCCAGGTAAAGTGGGAGTAATCCCCGGCCCCATCTGCAAGCTCTTCCTCATATAAACAGACGATGACGACCCACGCTGGGTTGTAGTGTCCGCTTTTCCTCGTTTGGCTTCCCGTAGCTCTGCTGTAGACGGACTCTCTGTCACCTTCTTACCCCGTTTTAACCTCACCGATGCCTCTTGCTTTGCTCGAGACTTGATACACAAATCCCGAAATTCAGAAAATTGTCTTACACGGTTAAAACAGTTCCTACAAATATACGTAGGTAATTCGTCACCCGCAACAAAAGTAAGCCCTGTAATTATCTCTAAATTGCTTAGGAGTTTTTCAGCCTTTGCTTTTTCTCCAAATAAATCAATCGGATTGCTTTTGACATCTGAATTACAACATCTGCAAACGCGTTCACGACCTGGTAGAGTCTTCACTGGAGTTTTGTCCGCCATTTTGAAAACTCTAAATCTACTGCGCATGCTCACACGTTCAGCCAATGAAAACTCGAGTTGAAACGGACTATCCCAGAGGTCCCCGTTGCCCGTTCAGGTTGACAAAGCAATGCGGACTCTGGGAACGAGATTGCCACGTTCAACTGAAATAATCTATAAATAACTTTGCGCATGAATATTCTTCGCTTAAAGATCGGCACTATTAAACCTGGTTTCTGATATCAAAGAACAAAAATATTACTTTGAATCGGAAAGAATACTACTGTATAACGTGCAAGTAATTTCTCTTTTAGTTCATTTTTAAATGAACCATTAAAATGATATTTCTTTATTGATAAAAAGATTTGAAACAGTAGTTTGTTGACATTCTACCAAATTTAGAGACCAAATTCAACAGCCTGTCCGATTCAGGGTTTGATAAGCCTCCAAATCCAAAAATTAAATTACATAAAATATATCGAAGTGAAATGATAACGAGAAATTTATAGGAGCAAGCGAAAATAGAGAAACGAAAGATAGCTTTTCATATCCAAGAATAAATATAAACTTATTTCTTTAGCCTACCTTCCGATTCTTGATCAAATAATTTTTTTGCGACGCTGTTTTGCTTAGCCTACAAATAGTTTTTGTGATGAAATAAAGTTCAAATTAGTTCAATGAGATAAATGGAAAAGAAAGGCCAAAGGACTTTCAACAATGAAAAAGTGCATAGAATAAAAATGCTCGGTTCAACTCTTTATCCTCTGTACTCTCCATGGCTGCTGGACATCTTTCATCAGCGCGGAAAAGTTATTGACAGCTCGCCCGCTTCCAAAAGCTCCGCCTCAAGTGAGAAAAAATGTCTCACTTCTCCGAGTTTGTCTAGGCCTCAAAAACTTTCTCGGACAACGTGACCCGAAACGCATCGGCCGCGCATAATAATGAGGCCTAGGGACTAGGCAATGCAATTTTCATGGGTGCGATTTCAAACGTTTGGCTGAACATTTTTAAGCGCAAATTAATTATTAACCCAATTATTAAAACTTTAATTATTAATTGCGGGCGACAAGAGTAGCCCGCAATCCTAATATCCAGGTTGTTATTACGCATGCGTTGCATGTATGTAGCAAGCATCCTTTTGAACTTCGACTAAGAATAAGTGAAATACACAAACCGCAATTTGATCACGTGCGTTTCGACCTTCTATCCCTCGTAGTTTTGACCATCTGTCAAGTTTAATACTTTCGCAAAGTACACCGTTGGAAACAAAAGCGCTTCGACCTCCAATCGTCGTTGCCCGCACTCGTACTCGCTAACCTTTGGTTATTACCAGTACATATATTTTGGCGCCTGAAAAAATCCTTCGGCGACTAAACCTAAAGAGTTGGTGGCCTCTTTAACTTGGACAGTTGCTTTATAAGGTATCATTGAGCTTCTGCTGGAATGACAACTGGAAACAGGCTGTGAAAACGAAAGCGGAATGTTTTAAGGCGTGACGACTATTTTTATTTTCATCATTATTCCTTTCAAATATGCATTACTGACCAAGCGTGAAGTCAATATGACTGGATATATGGCCAAATTCCTTTTTTGAATTTTGTTAGACTTTCTAGACGTCCTTCATTTTTTCCTGGTTGGTTATGCCACGAGCTCGGTCGCTGCGCGACCTCATGCATTGAAGCTCGCTTCGCTCACTTTTAAGAACTTATGAAAGGTCGACTTATAACAAGTCTAGCATTTTGTTTTCCGATGCGAAGTCCGGGCCAAAGAAAAAAAGAACGACGCCAATATACGCACACTTGCACATCTCCCATAATGCACCTTATTCGCCCCCCAAAATTTTGCATAAGCATTATTTTCAATTTCTTTTGGGACGGCTGTAATACCTAGGAGAAATGAACTGAATGAAAAACAACCCGAAAGATTATGCAAATTTTGGGGGGCAAATAAAGTGCATTATGGGAGAGGTGCACTGAAGTGGCGAATCGAGCTATCTTGACCGAACAAGATTCAGTCTTGAGTAGAATATCAGTCTGAACACTAGCCTACTTGCGCATATATGTGGATTGGAAAAGCTTTTTGCCCTAAAGGCTTAACGACCAGCTCAACCAATTTTTTGGGTAGAGCGGAAGCGTGAACAGGAAAGGTCAAAGAATAGCTTTGATTCCCCTTCAACTTACCTTTATTTTTGAATGGCTTGAAATTAGTGGCTCGTAGATGACGTGGTAAAAGCTACAAACACTCAATTGTAATATTCGTTCGGCAAGGGCGATCTTCTTCACAAAGCTGGCGTGGCGCCCTTTGGTGTAATCAAATCTTCTTCTGTCTCGTCCCAATCTTCTTCTGAATTGTGGCTTTGCGTGTCCCATGTCACATACCCGCTTCAATGAAGCCGATTTTTGCGGGGAGGGGACGGGTTATTTCAGGTCGTCTAGCGAACAGACTTGGAAGTCGATTTGAAAAGAACACAAATTAAAATTATTGCGTGGAGTTATTGGTCCTATATCCAAGTCGAATGATTTTATAAATACAGTATTCGGATGAGGTACTTAGCCTGCGCGTGAGCTGCAGAAACAACTGCCTCCCAGGGTCCGCACGGGAAAAGCGTCAGGCTTGTTACAATCCTCTGCCTGCGAGTGAAAAGTTTCCTATTTTTACAAGAACTGACAAGAAAGGAATATGGTATTTGTAGATCGCCCCGTGAAATAGAAACATATTCACCTGGATAGTTATGCAATATCCGACAGAAAACTACTGTGATACAACAGTTAAACCCAAAAAGTTGACCTTGTCAAGTTTTATAAGCGTAGAACGACAAAAGGTTTTGGAATTTTAGTTGAGATCAGATTAGTCACGTTCAGTAACTGTCATGCTATATTTTTCAGGGCAGAACGAGATTGAAGGGGGGAGGGTCGAGGGTAGTGCGTTTTGCAGAGTCCCAGATTAAAATAATGCCAATCGTTTCTTCTTTCAAAAGGCTAACTTACCTCTTTTTTTATTAGCCTGAGGAAACAGACGAGATTTCACCGGGGGGGGGTACTTTAGGAATTTCTGGGTGGGGATGTGCCGCTGGAGCCTGGAACCCTTAACCTTTACCAGAGCTAGTTCAGCTGAATTTTGCTACCCTATACTAGAGTAAACTCCCCAAATCCCCCTATCCTAGAGTAGCTGTGTACCTAGTCTAGATAAAATCTTCAACCAACTGATCAGTTTCCTGAAAAACGATACCCTATTCTAGAGCCAAACGCTCTGATTTATATACCCTATCCTAGAGTAAACTGTTTGAAAACCATACCCTTCACAGCGGCACATACCTATATAGCCCATATATGGCAGTACCCCCCCCCCCCCGGGGATTTCCCGACGTCACCAATGGTTTCCCCGCGAAATGACGTCTGAGAAATGAGGGCCGAAATTCCATACTAGTGACGCGTCACTGCAAAGATCTGCGCAGTGTTTCTGATTGGTCGTGTCGCGTGTGAAATCTGCTTCATGATCATGCAATCGTACTTGGGAGTCAGGGTGAGTTGAGATAAAACAAAACAAAACAAAACTTCATCAGCGTTATAATTATATTTAGAACCCACAGAAACCCATATTTGATTATAAATAAAATATGCCCAACTTACCGTGTTACTGTATTACGTCATGGTGTCAATTAAGTTATAGCTACATGTTGGAAATTATGATTGTATTATTATGTGTAATATTGTTGGCTTGTATCTAGACCGAAGTTTAAGTGACAGAGGGGGCCTTCGAAGCCCCTCCCCTCCCCCCGCAAGTTCGCACGAAGCAAAGAAGAAGAAGCAAAGAAGAAGAAGAAGAAGAAGAAAAAAGACCGGTTTGAACCGCCCAAGCTCGAAATATAAGCATTGGCGAACATCGGCATTGTTTCGTAACATTCGAAATATAAGGATTTGTATGGGAAAAAACCTATCGTTTCCGTAACCTACGAAAATAAAAGACTTCAATAAAAAATAGCAAACCTTACATAAAATGTGTGTTACGTCTCTCCTGTGTGGTCCATGGGCCCATTTATGGTCGTTTTATGGGCTGTACTGTAAACGTTTTTTTTCTCTCTATAAAGGTTTTCCAAGGTTGGGAACTCCAGCGAAGCGGTCCAGTCTCAGTCCAAACGGCGGATAAAAATTGAAAAACTAGTTTCAGAGAGATCACTTTTTGATGACAGCTGATCCGAGGTGTTTGAGCATCCATTGGCAATGGCCCGACACTTTCTGGAGTTCTGTGTTTGATTGTAAAACTTGTTTATTCGTGGGAGGCATTTGAGCCGAAGCTAGCCAAGTGACTCATCAGGTCGGAGCATAACTACTCTGTTTGTGTAGTATAGATATAGCACCGCCACTGGCACTCTGGACACCAGTGATTGGCGAGAAAAAGTTAAAGGTGGTAATAAGTGAAAAATATAAAATGTTCGTCGAGGAAAAGGAGAAATATTTCGTGACTACCTACACATCTTTGTGGTTCTCAAATCACAGAGCTACACGTACTGAACCCGTTGAGAAAGCCTGTATACGTACTGAAAGCATTCGTATATACCGTGAGGAAAAATTGTCCTGCGCCTGAATATATATAATATTTTATAAGCACTGTCAGTGATCGGTCTAACGAAACCAGAAAATACAACATTGTAAAACGCCTAGAACAGTTAATTATAGAACATTAGTAGCCTATAACAGTAGTAGCCTGTATTGACAGGTTAATTCAATTTTTATCCTTCATTCTAACTTCACCTTTAACTGCCATTGAGAGTCTTTTCTGGAGCGTTTTCACTCACGGGGCCGGCAGCTATGTAAATTTTTTGGAGCTAAATAAAGTCTTTACATAAGAAAACGTTTCAACTCCCACAGGACTTGTTTGGAACACAAACATGGCCACCGTTTAACATATGGTGGACGTGACGTCATGTGAAAACGCTCTGTACGGAGGGAGTTGTGGTGTGTATAAAGTCTATGCCTTATGTTCACTGCGAAAGCGATAATCAGGAGTGTCCCGAATGTCAAACTCATGGGTGTTCAGTCTCCACTCGGCTTCATCTGGGTCCGATGCATCATCCTCTAATGTGCGTTCCACGTATGTGGCGTGACCCTTGGCATCTACTAATACCACTGTATTTGTTCTAGAAATACAACATAATAAGTATCCAGTAAATATTTAACCTGATGCACTTACTGCGTATAAAAAAAGCAAAGCTACACCGATAGGCCTTTTTTTAATAGTTGATCACGTGATCAACTTTCGGTGAACAAATTTTCGTACCAGCTAAAAGAGCATCTAAAACTTAAATAGATAGCCTGTAAATTCAAAGCCGTATATCTCAGAAGTAGCTATTGCAACGGCCGCCGAATTGTTTTCATTTTAACAGAAAGTTGATCACGTGACCAGCTATTGCAGGGGCCTATATTCGCCACTTTCACGTGTCTGTCATCTTGTTAAGACAGGAATTTTGCATAAGCAGTGGTTTCGCTTACTATGAAGACGACTGTGATACTCAAGAGAAATTAAAAACAATACTTTGGATGGTAGATAGGGCTCGAAACTGGATGGTGTCTGTAGGAGCGAAGGATTCGCGCATTGAATTCCCAGGTGTGACCTCAAATCCTTGTAACGACTTCTTTTCTTTCCGTGTAGCGTTGTAAAACGAAGCACTGATTGAGAAAGAGTAGGGAGAGACGGATAAGAGGGGGAGGGAGAGAGAGGGGCGGGGTAAATTTGCCTCAACCGTTTGTGTGTTTGTCGTCGATTGTCAGATGATGACTAGTCCAACCCTTTATCTTTTCCTCGGTTGAACAGGTCGCTGATAAAAAAAAAAAAGGGTCTTTTGTGTTTGATTTCCCTGTACACTATAAATTAGAAAGATCTGTTTCATAGTCCTGCAGGCCAAAGTCTGATTCAGCTTCTCTGGGTCTGAGACCGAGGAAAGAGGTTTTTCTGTCGCGTGCGGCTGGAGCTTAGGTGTGTGCCCCAGACAGATAAAGACTCTGGAACCAAGAGTATTATATAACCGATCTAGTTTGGATAAAGAATTGAAGTTCACGTTCACATCGCGTCATCAAATGCAAATAACTCATGTACTAGTAATTCCATGGACTCCTCTGTAATTCATCTTCTAATCCAAGTTTGAAGTGCCAAATTTTAATTCAACTTACCTATCTCGCAAATTTAGCATCCCAATCAGCTTATCAACAAGCTCCTGTTTGGTGCAGGCTTCATTTAAAATGTTTGCAAATCTATCCTTTCCATAAACCATCTTCGGCCATGGGCAATCCAGGACATTATTTGACAGGGCATGAATTCCAGGTGTCAACACCCTGATATTTTCTTTATCGGCGTTGCAAAAGCATCCAAAGTTAGAGCTTCCAGTTAAGGATAACTTGCCCACCAAGAGATTGAAGCCGTTATACTTGTCAGCTGTTCTGCTGACTTCTTCAAGGTACTTTCTGACGTTACCATCTCCTTCTAAGAAGTCTGGTACCAAATGCCCTTTTCCAACTGCGTGTGGATTTAGAAAGGTTGGCGATTGTCTGTAGTTTGTGATTGCTCCAAATGTCCCATCCTTAGTTATACCTAGCCAAGTTCCGCCCTCTCTACCTGGCTTCAGATCCATCCCTGTAAACGGAAAAAATAACTTTCAGCAGTCGGCTCCTGCTCTCAGTGAGATTGGGTATACATGACCCGTAAGCATTGTTAGCAAGCTTGTTCTTGTACGTATACTCCATTAACAATGATTAACCGCGGTTGAACTAGGCTTTAAGTCAAAAGCCTCAGGTTCATACATGCCGGTTTTACCACGTCATTTGGCTGTAGAGTCCAGGTTTTTGCTCAGCTTTGCTCAAAACCTTAGCCATTAAGCGATCCGAGTTTGAGAGAGTTGACAGGTCAAAAACACTATTGAACAGCCTAACTGTTAGCAACGAAAATTTTTCAGTACATAACTTGATTAGCAAGCGAGAAGGGGGCATAAGATACTCCGGGGAGGGGTACTTCCTTGTAAGAGACTGATGGGGATGAACGGCTGGATGGGGTCGCATTTTCACGACTGGATTGACTATAATGGGGTCGCATTCACAATGGGAAATGACTAAACTGGGATCGCGAAAATTATATACTTGCCCAAAAGTGACTAAGATGGGGTCTATAATTGGTCACCGAATAGACTGTAATGGGGTAGGGGCTCTGAGAGGCCAGTGGCACATACCCAGCAAAAATTAACCCGAGTACCCACCCGGAAAATACTATGTTTTAATTTAAAATTGAAGGCAAGGGTTACAGATTTGTTTGCCCAATATTTCGACTAGACAAAACTAGTCTTCATCAGCTTTCATCACGGGCTAAAAAAGCTAAGTGAGAATAAAATAAACTGTTACAGCATTTAAAGTGATACAAATACACAAATAAAATGTGATTGGTGGAGAAATACAATAGACGAAAACTTGTATAAGGAGGTTATCATAAAAATATAAATACGATACATGTAGGGTAATAGACAGAAGACGTGTGTCGTCAGTTACCATGGCAGCACTATTTCTGGATGAAAACAAAACCGACGACGACGACAAGGAGAACGGCAAAAAAGTAATCGGTTTTTATTGACAAAACAACAACTTTGCACGTGCATCACGCTATTTTGTACATTTCTTTGCCGTCGTTGCACCACTGCGACATAAAACTTCCTAATTTCACACGCTCACTTTATGGAGTAGGTGAACACAACACAGACGTGCGCGTTGTCTTTTTCTTTTTCTAATTTTAGCTACGGTCCTTTCGGATTCAACCCGACAAAATTTCGCCAATATTTGCCAAATTAAATGAAATTGAATAAGATCGATGAAGTTTGAAGCAGTGCAAATCCACTTTTTAAGTGAAGTTTTCGGTTTGCTGTCATCGATTATTTTGCTACCATGGCAATGTGACGTAACGACTTCTCCTCCCTATTCAAGCGGACAGTCTTGGACTGGATTCCGGTTCCCTTGTCTGTGGAACTAAGCTGGATTACAGATTCTAGGATCCAGGATTCCAAATTTCCCAAGCAAATAGTTCCGGGGATTCCGGAATACGGATTACCTCATTTTGCCTTACATGGGGTGATTTGAACAATTTTACCTGCAATTATCTTGGGATTTTTTTCCCAAAACGTAGCCCTTGCTGTCGGTCTGTCGTAATATTCATCCCTGTTGGATGCCACAATAAGGCGGTATCCATCAGCACTTGGTTTGTCACAGTAATATAGGAATAAGATGCACATGTTGTATCTCAGTTTTCTTTCCTGCTGCATTCAAAATAAACGTACACTCAATTATTTGTATGCTTGACAGGGGGTGTGACACTGCTATTTCGAGAAAGGTTGTCGGAAAAAATGTGAACGCGACAATCCCGAAACGTAAATAAGATAATATGATCAATACACTGTTTCTGACACTGTAGCTGCCGAAATTACTTTTGCTGCTTTTCTTTAGCAATCGCAAACATAAGTCTATGGTCTGTCGTGCCATTCTTGCAAATTTTCTTTATTTGGTACGGCGTTCAACGGAACACAGTTAAGATCAGTTTCAGCTGCATGCGGAATCTAAAGCAAAAAATTGATGGCCACAACAAATCCGCCCTACGGAAAACAAACGCCGTACCACCCAAAGCTTGCAACTGCCGTGAACCAGCTCATTGCCCTCTGGACGGTTATTGCTTAAAATCAGCCGTGATCTACCAAGCCACAGTAGCATCAGAGAACAACAGGCCCGGCCGAGACCTATGTAGGCATCACTGAGAACTCTTTTAAGACCAGATACTCGAACCATAAGTCTTCTTTCAGAGACCCAAACAAGAGACTCAGTACGAAAGTCAGTAAGCACATCTGGCACTTGAAAGACGCTAAGATTGGATTTAGCTCAACTTGGAAGATCTTAAAGCAAGCCGCCGCGCCGTTTAGTCCCGCTTCAAATCGCTGTAATTTGTGCCTGTGGGAAAAATATTTCATCATTTGCAGAGCCGATCTGGCGAGCTTGAACAAACGAAATGAACTTGTAACTTCCTGCAGGTACGCGCGTAAATTCCTTCTTAGCAGCTTTACATCTTTCGTTGGCACGCAATAGTTTTTATTCAAATTCCGCGCGTGCGTTTGTAGTCCTAGCGTATGTTGTAACGAACTTTTTGTTGGCAATTTTATCTGAGGAGTGACGTACAAGCCGTGCGGTACGAAACTATAAGTAGTAATAAAAATGCCAAGTCTAATCTCACGTTGACACCAGACAACCTTGATTATACTACGCTGTAGCTGCCGATAGCCGTGAATATGCATCAACTGGTTAATTCTTAGTTATACGAAATATGCATACCGTTACATATAGATAATTATGCAGTTGGAGTGGTAAGGCACCAATGTCTTCAAGGACAATCTCGACTTATTTTATTTGCCCAAGTATACAGAATTTTTTAAAAAAGATTTTAGAAAATAAGAACCTGGCAAATTTTAGCCAAACAGGTTCTTAAAAACCAGGTTCTTATTCGGGGAGTTTTTCTGTATTCTGATTTGAAAACTGAGAAATAAGTGAAGTTAACCAACTACTTAAGAAAATTGTGATTTTCAGTCTGCTGCACTGATTATTTAACTTCTGGGATTATTATTTCTTCTCAAAACTTGCTAAAATGGTTCTTGTAGGTCAGGATAGGATACAGTGAGAAAACAACCCAGGGACCATTTATGCCGCACAAAGTGGTCAACGTCAATTTACAGAAAATATCTGTTCGGAAGACGATTTGAGATCAGCTGCCTCTCCTAGGATTTTCAAACATCTAAAAAATATAATTGCCCATTTTTTAACGGATTTTTACCCTAAAAAGGTCACCTAGAATTTTCGGGGCCTTTTTTCTGGCTGAAATTTTTGAAAAGGTACGTTTTGATTCCTATAATCTTTGGATCACTAGACTTTCAGCTAGGAAATGCGAACAGTTATAAAATATTTAGGGAAAAGAAATGCCTATATCTACCGTTTAAATACTAAAATACGTTTAACAGTGCTATGTTTAAGTGGTTTTGAACTATATTCTCGTTGGGTGCCCCTGTTTAATGTTAGTGGATAAATGTTGTAGAAATCAACTTTGCGGAATATGTTGTGATTGAAGACGTACGATCCGATTCAGCTAAATGGAACCGGTTAAGCAAAACAAAAACAGTGTCTTTATGAAGATGTACGTCAATTACAATGTCGCACAGCGAAGTTGTTTCCCTAGATGAATGCTGAAAAACGTTCCCTCAAAAAGAAAGCGTGTCCAAAGAGTCTTGGGCAAACAGCTAGTCGTATTTACACGTCAGAATTTCACCATAGATTTCGTAATTCTTAGTTACTTTCTACCAAGAAATTTCAAAGACTTACCTTAGGCAGTTTGACTGTGAAAAGCCAAAACCAAAATTTTTTGACGGAAACGCACGATTTAGCAAGAGTTCTCTTTGTCGAATATTTATGATCCGATCACGAATTTTCGTGGCCGAGAGAGTAACACCTCCACAAAAATGAATCTACTGACGATGTCAACGTCGAGTGGTTTCAAGTCACGTTTTTTATTTTACTTGGATACAATTAAGGCAAACAACTGTGGTTGACCTTTTACTGAAAAATATCCTTCTATTCAATTTAATTGCGTAATCGCCCTTTGAAATTAAGGGCAAGTGATTGCTGTTGATTCCGAAAATAAAATAAAGCCAAAACTTGTATGACGAGCAACCTATAACTATTTTCAATAAACGGCAAACGTGATATGAGGTGTATCACGCACCAATTAATGTGCAAGAGAAATGAAGACAAGCGAGATATACATGTAGTAGAACTAATGTTATATGCCCTTTTTCAGGATAAAAGAGAAAATAAAAAGACTTAGAGGATAATAATAATAATAATATACTTTATTAAACTCTTCTCAAATTGAAAATTAAATACAAATTTAGTATAACTATAGTTAAAAAATGACTTCTTGGTGGTCTGGTGGTTTTCAATAGAGAAAATATAAACAACTGTCTATAAACTATCACGCACCAATTGTTTTCCCTTTACTTGTTCACCGTTTCGTAAGGTAATCCGAGATAGTCTTTGATTCTGGATTATTGCGGACTTCCTGTCACCGGAACTTGGATTCAGCAAGTAGTGGGGTGTGCACGCGCCAAAGAGCAAACTACCGAAAAAATGTAGTCCTAACTTTTAAACTTGTGGATGAAATCCATGAGACTGTAGTTAGTCAGTTTTGAAAATGTCGTGATGTAATTTTGCGTGCGATCACTCAAATGGAACCTGCTAAGTACGGGAATGTCTTTGTGAGGATGTTTATTATTTCGCAAGGCAAAATTATTTAATATTGATTCTGAAATTAAAATGAACCGTATGACGTGAAAGCTGTACTGGGTCACTGTAGGGGCCAAACCGCCCCCAATGTTTCATCTAAATTTGGGTTTTTGGTGAGATTTTAATAGCTTCGTTGATGTTGATCGTCTGCTTGCGAAACCCGGCAGGTTAATATAAGACAACATGTCAATCATTTTGAAAGACTTGTTTGTAGAACTTGTCACTATATGACGTCATAATTGATGATGTCATATTTTGTTAAGATTAAAGTTTGGAATTGTTTTAATTTTTCTACTGTTTAAAATAGAGTGCGTCAAAAGAAGTTGAAAACCGAAAACATTATGTACATACGACAAATACTGGATGAGATATGACATTTTGAAGTTGGAAAAGAGTCAATAAACGGGACCCCCCCTCCCCCGCCCCTTTGGTAATAAACCTAAATTAGACTGCCTTTTTGTCTTAATACAGGAGCCGCTCCTGCTTAATAGTAGTGCAATTGACATTACACATTGGTTGTATTAAATGTAGAAAGTAGAAGGGAAAAGAAAATTATGAAAAAAAGATTTTCTGTTATTCCTGGAACCATAAAAGCCGATTTGTGACGTATAAAAGGTCACGTGACCAATAATTACTTTGCCGTATTATTGTCCTGGAGGCAAAAATGGAAACATTAACACCATACGATTTTTAAAGACAGTAAGAAGTCTTTTTTACCAAAAAACCAGCTCAGCTAGAAAAAATCTGAAAAAAAAAAACAAACAAGAACATTACTTTTACAAAGAAAGTATGGAAAACTATAGTTCCGAGGGGGAACACTGTTTGTATTTAACTAGCCATAACGCGGGAACAAAAAATGGTAGGGGATGAACGGTTTTCAGTGTTTTACTTCCGTTGATACCCACTTCCAGATAAGACACTTTTTTAAATAATAATTTAAAAATTTACTTTACTGGTTTTTTTGACATCATCCTTTGTGACGTCGCTCTGTGCCAGTTTGAGAAATTCTTCAGCTTTAATTGAAGTGGACATGAATTTGAGCTAACACCACAAGTTTAGTTGAATAATGCTGAAAATAACTAAAATTAAATTTCATGAAACATTTTGGGGGTTTGGTTTGGCCCCTACGTGGGTACCAAATTTCTGAGCTTAGTTGCATCAACCTGAGAAAAGTATATAACTTTGATTCGGTGCACTGACGGACTGAGAAGCCTAGAACGATATGCAAGAGCAGTTATTTCGACTAACCTTGCAGTTGTAATGTTATATTTTCCTTTTTGCGGCTGAGACTGAACAGTATAGATCCGATATATACCAGGTCAAGCTATTTCAGATACTGTATCAACACGAGGAATTTTCTTGTTTAACTTTGAATTGCTTTACTTGATGATAAGTGAAATAAAACTGTTATATTGGACGATGATCACTGAACTGAACTACACGTTATGTTTGTGTTGTGCACGGGGGTGCATAAGAATTGCTCTTAAAATCCTTGACATACGTTCCCCCAAACAAGGGTTGATCAGAGAAAAAATTAGTCATGAGCAAAACAATCGATTAAGGTATCATCCACCTTTCAGGACCGTCCTCGCGCGGATTCGCGCCGCGATTGCTGTAGTTCAATAAATACGGCCTTGAACAAAAGCGTACTTCTGAAAGCTTATGGTTTCACTTTGCGGCTAACGTCTTTAAAAATCTTAAACCTTTTTAACTCATTTCGGAAACGAGGTGCTTTTCGCGAAAGTAGATGTATCTGTTAATATATATATAGTCCTCACTGGCCAAGAAGACAAACGGAAGAAAACGATTAAGATCTCATTCGCTTCTTGACACGTTTGACTACAAAACCGTGTGTCTGAGATTTTTTGTCAAGTGGATTTGCACTTTTGTCATTAGCAGACTATAAGTAAGTTGGCCAATTTTCAGCCAAATTAGTACCCTGGGTACCAGAGGTTTTTTCTCGCGTGCGACAAGGAGCTTGGTTTCGTCGGCCGAAGGCCGAAGACACGAGCGGCGAAGCCGCTTAAAAAAACCGCGCATGAAAAGGCTCTGGCACCCAGGGTACCAAATTAGTTCACGCGTTAAAGACTTGGTTCCCTGCTAGCAGAGGTCTCTCCCCGGGGTGTGGGGGGCGGGGGAATACGTGGGTTAATTTTTGCTGGGTATGTGTCGCTGGCCTGTCAGAGCCCCTATAGCTTTACCTGAGAGCGACTACGCGTGTGCCTACCTAAAAAGATGTTGGCGAAGATAAATTTGAAAACAAACAAACAAACAAGTAAAACAAAAATGGAACACAGAGGAAAAGAAAGGAAATAAACGATGGCTGAAATTTCTTGGCATAATTCGCAATTTATACGAGCATAACTTTCATTCTAGTTTCTGAAAATAACTGCCAGGATAATTTGCACTTTTGGCTAGTTTTCCAGCTCAAAATTTTAAGTTAATGATGATGCAACCAGTTTCATTTTTTTGGCCGTACATCATGAATGTTATAAGCAAATTTAAGTAAGAAAATCATTTTTTTTTTTTCAGTTTTGCGTGTGGAAGGATTATCGTAGCCCGGGGGGGTTGGGGGGGGGACCCCATATGAAAAAGACGGGGATGCTCGTCTAAAATTTTGAATTTACCCCTAAAGGAGACCATCTGGGCGTGGCTCAAGCTTTTTGTGACCCCTAAAGGAGACCAATCTGGGCGTGGCTTAAGCAAATTTTGACCCCCAAAAGAGACCGCTTAAAAACACACAAATACGACATGCAATGAGTTTTAATGATATAAAGACATAATCATCGAATGCTTTTATCTAATACTAGTTTTTAAAAGCATTGTCATAAATCTCAAGTTCTTTGAGGAACCCTAAACGAGACCTTGGCGGCTTAAAATATTGGCGCTTTGCCCGGAACACCCTAAGCGAGACTAAAATCCAAAATTTACACCCCTAAGCGAGACGACGAGCATCCCCGTCTGTTTCATATGGGAGTCCCCCTCCCCCGGGTATCGTAGGCTCGATTACCAGCCGCTGTTCGGGAAAATGAGCCCGCTCTCATCCCCGGGGAGGATCAAAGACCGGACCCGGGAGACGGCGGAAATCGAGCCTAGGATTGTCGTGGTAAAACCACTGGAAAAAAAGTTAAATTTCACCTGGTTTGTCAGTTCCCTGTTCGCGGAGCGAAAGTATAGAGCAGTTCGGTTTTGAGTATCTGGTCAATTTTTTTAAGCTGGTCGAAAATTCGCGTTGCCGTGTGAACGTCGGCTCACTCAGTCCGACCTGTGAACCTCCCCTGCTGCTCATACCTGCATGCAGAGGAGATCTGGGTCTGAATTTGCTTTCAGAACAAAATGGCGGCCAGTCTTTGACAATGTCTATGACATGATTTACGCGTTTACACTCAGCATCCTTGCTCAAAGCTTGCCGATGACTTGATAACTGTTATAGCCAGCTTAGTGCTCATAAACACATAATGGCAAAAGAGAAGGAGGGTTTAGATGACGTGAGTTTTTGGACGACACCGGCTGATGATGGCTTCCGGTTCTCGAACCTATCATCAGATCATGTGTCTAAGCTTGCGGAGAGTGGTCCTTTTGTCGCAGTGGTGTTGTGCTACTGGGATAACGTTTTAGGACCTAGACTGCAGCATGTATGGAGAGGAGTCGGGGATGCCGAATTTCAGGTAAATGATCTCTCCAACCACAGGCAGTCCAGGCTCGCAATAGAAATCTTCGAGGCCAAATTATAAGGATATGTATGGGGATTTATGAACATGAGTTCGATAAAACGGTGAAAATGCACATTAACAGTCATTTTACTCAATTTGTTTGCGTTGTCTATGTATGTATGTAGTTCAGTTGCCTTTGTGTTGTGTTCTCACTGATCCCTGATCTATGAATACTATTTTAGCAAGTTTTGACATTCTGGTTTCTCACCAGGTGTGAACCTGGTTTCCCTGTGCTTTAGCCTTCTTGGAAGTTACTGGTACATATTTAATATTAAAAAATGTGCATAAAGATAGTTTATTGTTCAAAAAGCAGACAAAACTGTTGAAATTTTGAGTACAAATTTTGACTGCGGGGCTCGAAATTAAAAACATCCTCAGGTCTCCTTTTGGTGACCAACTGGAGAAATATAGTCGCCAAATGCAAACTTTTAGTCACCAGTCTGTATGATGTAAATGGCGCAGCTCATAGTCAGGGCTTCTGACATTTTGCGCCGTCGCAGAGCCGCGAAATTCACAAAAACACGCAAAATACCGCGAAATTCGGTAGAAATCTTATCAAGTTCATGTCTGTACAACATATTTGAAACTTTTCCCAGCTATTGGGGCTATTTACTTGCTGTAAACTTCTAAATTTATCGTGAAACTTCGTCACTGAAACGTGCAAACAACGTTCCGAAACTCTGAAACTACCAGGCGTAGATTATGTTGCGAAAAACTGGGCACTAGCCATGATGTTAAAGGCTTTGCCATTGGTGCAGCTCTGGAGCATATTGTTGTTGAAAGAGCAAATGATGACCTCTATTAGAAAAACATTACAAACGCTGGTCTGGTCAGTGCAAAACCAATCGATCTCTAACGAAGTTTTCCCGAAAATAACCGCAAAGTCGGCCTTTTTTGACCGATTGATTTTCGGCTAAGTTTGCCCCGAAAATTCCTGCGAAATCGGTCGATTTTTCTGCGAATTTGCCCCTAAAAATCCCGCGAAATTTGACTTTTTGTCCGCGACCTATCAGAAGCCCTGCATAGCTAGTATGGTGTAATCCATCAGATTTGAAAATATCGTGGATAGAAGTCGGTATAAATGTGGAGGTAACCTGGCTTTGTTATGCGATTTGGCACATTTTTTAATGATGAAAGCAAAGCAGGATAAGATGAAATGTTTGTTTTAACTTTACTCTTTTAATTTAAATCTAAATCATAGAGAAATCTGGTCGCCACTTTGGCGACTAAACTAGAATTTTTATTCGCCAAGGAGAAAAATGTTAGTTGCATTGGCGACCGTATCAGTCACAATTTCGAGCCCTGTGACTGTCTAAATCATAACATTATAGCTTTTAGGCTTCTGAGGCCCATTTTGGAGGGTTACGTATATCCTAGTCTGAATTACACACATGGTAGTTTTCCATTGTGTGGAGTAGGCCATTTCCCTGTCAGTCTTTAACCCATTTTTTGTCAGTTGTCGCCATTTTATCCCATTAGTAAGGGCTTCAGGACCTCTGAAAAGGGCATATGGCTTAGCCCTAGCTTTAGTTTGATGGCTGCTATAAAGGGAAGTGTTAGGCATGTAGCTCTGTTACCTTTAGGGGGGTTAGTGGAATGTTAGACCACCTTAGGGTTGGAGTTACAAGTTCAGTCATAGCCACTGGAACACCAATTCATCACTTTTAGGTTTTTGTTGTCATTCGTAATAAAAATCCAGTGTCTGGTATCTGTAATTTTTAGGACATTATTTACTTATGATTGATTTACACAGGAAGCAAGTGTACGATATGTAGTGGGGCGGACTCTCCATGGTGAACTTTTACGAGATACTCCTGAAAACCTCATCGACACCAAGTTATTTGTGCTGAAAGATCACAGTATTGTCTGCCATTCTTTCATTTTCTATGGACGCGACAAGTCTGGCACCAATATTTCTGGCCTTTCTCTCATAATTCCATTCTCAGAATTCAAAAGCTACTTGCCATATGTGGAATTAGTAGAAGAGCGAGTTAAAATTCTTATTGCTAAGCTCAGGGTTTTGCAAGCCAAGGTAAGCATTTGGATTTAACATATGACTATATTTTGAGGAACACTATGAGCTCATATAAATAATACACCTGTACATGTGTAGCTGGAGCTTGTCAGTGCCATCTAAGTTAGTATGAAGCAAGTATTGAAGCATTCCCTCTCACCCATTGATGGAATGTTAGTTCATCACAAGGCTACAGGCTACAAGGCTACTATTATATTGATGATTGTACAGGCAAATGCAGCTGATGAGGCACTGTACAGGCAAATGTAGCTGATGAGTTGAACTACTGTAAAACTGAGCCCAAGCTAGTGATTAGAAGAGGACTAACCTGAATATCCATAATTATTTTAAGTGTCGATCATGCTCTAACTTTGCAGCCATATCCTCCTGCCACTGTGTCTTTGATTAAGCCAGTTAATATATATTTTCAGTGAGGTGTAAATATTGATTTATTGGATTTTGATAACTGTGTTATTGATACATGACTGACTTGGGCCAGTATATTGTGCTAATTTGGTCACAGACATAATGTAAGTTGTTTTTGACTGATCTGATTTCTCATCTAAATTTTCACTGGCCAGCTGTGTCCACCTCCATGATAGATTGACTGAAAGCATTGTAAGCTCAACCTCCCAACAACTACATGTAGTCTTTCAGTCCTACCTGATGGAAGTGGACAGAGGCCAACAAAAATTGAGGAAAAGAAATCAGTTCAGTTAAGGCAAATTTCCTCAATTCAATGACTACATATATGAATGGTTTATAACCTTAACAACAAAATATTACACTTTAAACATCCAGATCATTTGCTGTTAAGTTCTAGTATTAATCTCTGAACTCTTAATTTACTTGTACAGGACTTAACGTCTGCTGTATTGTCATTTGGTAGCCATCTACCTCGCTTTGTCAAAACGATAACCAGTCTTCAATCTGTAGGTGTTCCTGATTCTATCCCGGTAAGTTAATATTGTACTTTTTGCTGATAAAGGGGTATAAACTCATCGATCTAAATATGGTTCATATCTACTGTAAAATTCCGAAAATAAGCCCCTCCATGTATGAGCCCCTCCAAATATAAGCCCCTCAAAACTGTAATGCAAAAAACCCTCTGTTAAATCGCCCCTCCGAATATAAGCCCCCCGGGGGGCTTGTACATGGAATTTGCTCTCGAATACAAAGTAAAACAAAGCAAAAATGGTAAATTTCCTTCCCCCTTCAAGCTAGCCCAATCGATTTTGAAACCCAAATTTCCTTCCCTACATAAGCCCCTCAAAAAGGGCCTTTGAAAGATATAAGCCCCAGGGCTTATTTTCGGAATTTTACGGTATTATTTTCACTTCCAAAAAAAGACAGTTGAAAAGGCTGTGGAATATGTTGTTATTTTTTGTTGTTGTTGTAGTTGTTTTATTTTTTTTTCGTCTTGATTTTTGTGTCATGTCTTTGTCTTCCATAAAAGTGTAGGCCATCGGATTCCCCAAAAAAGGGGGTGGGGGGGGGAAGGAAGAACTGAGTTTGCAAGGCCCCTAGTAGTTCAAATTAAAAATGGCTCTTCCAAGGAGAGAGGGGGTCATCGGTTGAAATTAAACTGAAGGAAAACTTGTTTGAAAATCAACATTAGCCTTTTTGGTCCAACTTTTCAATACTGTAGCATGATGCAGACGTCTTCAAGGTGACAAACAAAAAGATTTTTATTTGTAGTTAAGTGAGACAGCCTTTGGTCCTGGACAATCCAACAAGTTTGAGGATCGCTTCTTAATGAGGTACATGTAACAAATTAAAATAGTTTCCTTTATATTATCATGATCGCAATGTAAATGTCTCATCACCCTAAAAGTACAGCTGTATGTTACCTTTCTTCACATGAATGTGGGCTTTTAGTTTTGGGAGCATTATTTTGTCACTAGCGCACTTTAATTCCATTGAAATGGGTTTTAACATCAGAGGTGAATCTAAGGGACGGGCCCATGTAGTCCACCATATTTTAGGTCAAAACTGAAGCCTCACTCAAAGGTCTCAGGATCCACCGCCAAAGTTCCTAGAGATGATTTTGTTTAGCCAGAGAGTGTAGACTTTCCATATCATTGATCCTTTGTTGTAGTAAAATATGGGACCAGTATTTTCTCTTTCTATAAAATTGGACGAGGGCAGATTTATTTTGGGACCAGGGAGGAGAGGGTAGGTTGAGGGGATTAAGTCTAAAACCTGCAGCTAGGAAAATAAAAAGGAAAACAGAAACTATGAGCCTTTCTCTTTGTAAATCCAAAATGACAGCAGGAATGACAAAAAGAATTTTTCCCCTATTGGTTTCATGCCTCAATATTTTTTTCCTTTAACCAGAGTCATCACATCCCATTTACAGACTTTTGGAAGTACACTAGTTGTGGGAAAAGCACTGGACAAAGTCAACATGGTATCTGTGTCTTTTCATTAGGCACATACACGGTGTAAATACTGAATTGCATATGTTCAAATCCTGTCAGCGACTCAATATTTTTTCTTTTTCTTGTGACGTGCTGATTAATCACATAGTTCATATTCATTTGTAAACCTAAGTTTAAAATTTACCATCTATCTCTCTTTATTTCTACAATTGTAACAAAGAAAAACTTCTTGACCCCTTTTTTCGTAATTTTTTTCTAAATGCATTTGATCACATGTTTGAGAGTCAATTATTAAAAAGGTAAGAACTTTGATAATGTCCCTATAAGTAGGCTGCATTCTCTTTATATGCCCATTTAACATATTGAATTTTTGGCTAAGCTGGAAAGCATGTTAGTTCGCGTACGAGAGTATCAAAAATGATTTTTTATACTCAGGGCCAAGTTGTTCAAAGCTGGGTTAAGATAACCCAGGATTAATGCAAAATTTGAATTCAGCTTTGAAAGCTTAAAAAGCGTTCAGTTAAATTCTTTTTATCTACAATATGATGATTGGATGATCTTAAAAGAATAGAGAAACTTATCCGAGAAAATGCTTTCGGATAAAAGGAAAAGAAACCTGGGTTAAAATCTAACCTCAGGTTAGCGCTAATCGGCCTTCGAATAACTGGGCCCCATAATTATTAGAACAAGACATCGAAGACATTCGTGGATTCTGGATTCCATCCACGTGCACCCTGTGGATTCCGGATAATTCTGTTTACTGGATTTCAGATCGCTTGTCAGTGGAACTTAGATTCTGGTTTGCAATTGTTAGTGGGATTCGGAACTTCTTGAGTTGAATTCCCAGAATTCTGGATTCCTCAAACAAAAGTTTGCCGTATTCCGGAATCCCAATTACCTCACAAGGGGCCAACTTCCCTTGTTTGATATGTATTGTATTACTAGAAAATGACTCTGATTGTATTTTTTTTGTTACACTACAGATGGTCAACACCTTGGCATTACTGTTGTCCTCTGAGGAGCGACGAAGATCACGTTATGCCGTAGAGACTCTGTCTAATGACTCTGATTTGTACGATTCTGATCTGTTTGTTCAAGGCTTGCTTAAGGTGCTTACTAGAGCTAGCTTCTGTTTGTCAATTAATAGTTGCGGTTACACTAGACGTTTCAGAGCTTCTCATGGCGAAATTGCTTTGGTTAGGCTCACTCTAGGTTTTGATCGACTTCATGCTTGCGTTTACACTCTGATAAATTACCCCAGCGAAAGAGAAAACGTTGCCGCGATTTTGCAACTAAAGAAAATAAGCTGTTGACTTTTTTGACGTTTTAAAAGTTTACTAAAACAGTTCTGAGTGTTGAAAACTAAAGCTGGTGTTATGGTCGCGACCATTTTGCCAGCTTAAGATAGCTGAAACGCGAGGCGTTTTAGCAACTAGTTCTTGCTCACGTTTCCAGTTCTTGTATGTTAAATTAAATCCCAGGAAATAAAACAAGACGGCGCCGAAGGCGTTTGACACGGTAGGCCTCAAGAGTGAACAGTTTTATCGCTTTATTACTACTAAGAACGAATTATCCGGGTTCCTAATAGATTCTGCCTTTTTACAAGGCGGGAAGTGGAATATTTAGGTAAGATGGCGTGAGACTGCGTGGGACTGTTTGTATGCACGGTTGCGGGATGCCGGAATTAATTATCAGGATTAAGGGATTTAACGAAACTTTGGGTGGGAACGACAGCATTAACGAACCCTCTCTCATGAATACCCTCAAATTATGGGATCATGTCTCTTTGTACATTAGAGCACCAAGGATCCTTTCAGTCTTCCAGTTAAAGGAATCATCACCAGTAGCCTTCCCAGCACTCTGGTTGACCTGGATACGGGTGAAGTCAAACAGACGTGCCCCTTTAACGAACATGTGGTCATTAGAAAAGAGTTTATTGACATCGAGTTGGCGCTGCTGCTAGAGGAGGCGGAAGATGCTCCAGTATTCCCTGCGCTGTGAGTACTTAAAAAATTTCTTCTTGACACCGTGCGACTTGAGCATCCATAATTTATGTCTTCTTCTTGGTCAATCGAGTAGGAGAAAAAAAGGCTCTGTGCGTATCCCGTCAAACCTTTGAAATCGCCAAAGCCCGGAACTTCTGGACTGGTCAATCCTGTTTTCCCTGAAACTTGTTTTTCGAGTGCGAGCATCCGTTTATTGATACTGGTGATCATAACTGATGTTTTCACTGGCGTAAATGAAACTGAGTATTTTTCTTTATTCAAGGGGTTTATTTCACAACTCAGAAGAAGCTGGTATGCTGGTACAAGCGTTCTTGCATGATGTAAGTATCAATTACTCAAAAACAGGAACCAAATAAAAACGGCGCGCCTGTCCCCCTCTCCTCTCGCCGTGTCCGATGGATAGCTTTGTACAACGTTTGAACAACCCAGGCATGGTCTATATGCCGGATATTATAAGCAATAGAAATAAATCAATGATGGCACAATTTGTTTTTCCTTCTTTCTCGCAAACGACCTTCCAAAAGACTACGCCGTTGTTTCTGATTACCGAGGGTCTTGGTCGTTTAAAGACTTGAAAGCTGGCAGCCTGTTATGGTGGCGGTTTTGTTTGGCCAACGCGGGAATGAGTGGAAAAGCCAGGAAAACGCGCTTTTCTCTCTGTCTTTTTCGCCCCTTTCTACTAGCGGCTCATTTACGGGTTTGGCAGACAAGCTATGAAGCTGGAGGCAAAGCTGAACCTAATTGGTCTTTCAGATCATAATGATTTACAATTAGTGGTAGCATACTGCAAGCTTTAATAATACATCAAACCCTTAATACCCATACTCCCATGAATGATATCTATCATGACAAACCCTAAGTTATTCAGTAGTTGATCCACTGTTTGATAATTACATTTGTACATCTGTTCACTTCTCAGCTCAATCTCCTTCCTTACGTTTGCGGTGTCCGCGAGGGATTTATCGATAATTTTCTGCGTCTCCTTGACAGAAAAGCTCTCTCACTCATCAAATACGTGGAAGCTAAATCGTATGTATAATATGCCCGATAATAAAACCGGGTCGAATTACGGCAGTTTAATTGTAAGTCTGCTAAAGGTTCTTTAATCAATTGGAACCCAAACCCTTCCCCTAACACGTTCAGTGGCACCTGCGCATGTAAATTCAACTCAGAGAATGAATTTAAATGAATATGATTTTAATGTGAAATGTAACCCTAAGTTCTGTAGCGTTAACAATCCTTTCAAGTTTACCTGTTTGCAACGCTCATAATAGAGTATTGACGTACGTCAACCGGAAGAGGACTTTTTGCGTTCTTGGGCATTAGTTTTGCCTAATTTTTCGGGAAAATCGTCTCTTGTAAATTCATCTGAGTTGAGTTGAATTTACCGCCGCCTGGTTGGCTCAGTTGGGAGACCGCCGGTCTGCTGAGCGGAAGGTCACGGGTTCGAACCCCGGCCGGACCAACACTCAGGATCTGGCAGCCTCAGGGTCTTTCAATAACTGAGAAGAAAGTGCTGCCTTTTTAATGACACCTGCAAACGGTTAGACTTTCTAGTCTTCTCGGATAAGGACGAAAAACCGTAGGTCCCGTCTCACAGCACGTACATTTATCTGGTTCTTGTGGGACGTAAAAGAACCCACACCACTGTTCGAAAAGAGTAGGGGACGTAGACCCCGGTGATGTGGTCAACCTTCACACTTCGCATCATTCACATCATGGGTTGGGTGGGCACAGTAAGATCATGAATGGACTGAGAGCGGCTGCCAGTGGCGCCTTTGTATGCTGACGTCCGAGCTTACTGTTCACATGATAAAAATGTATTGTAAAGAGGGCACGTCTGATGTCCTCTAATCCACGACTCTTCTCTTCATTCTTGTATGGGAAAGACACTGAGAAATACACATTTGGTAGCGTCAACGCCTTTTAAAGTTAAAAAGGCCTCACTTCTGGTGAATTACGTCGCTCAAAAACGCGTTAGCCTAAACTTCCTGTTGATGCGCACATCTAACTTGTTTTAAAATACAGACTACTGATACATAGGATTAGTCAGTAAATTCCACCTTTGTTTGCTAGCACCGAACAAACGCAGTTATCGTAGTATTGTTTTAACGAAAAATGCTACATTGTAGCAACGTGGAAGCTCAAATACGTTACAATGCAGATAAATTCGACCACAATGCCAGCCTACCCCTCCCCCCGCAGGATAAACTTTAGATTTATTCTTCTTCTTTTGTGCTGCTGAATTGTTTTCTCAGCTTTTCAATCCTTGTTCACATCTCTACCACTTAAAGTCAAACCTGATCAATCGTACCCCAATAGAATGTATTTGTTTTCTCTTTGTCTCCGTGGTAGGTCATTTGGCACAGTACCAATGGATCACTCTGCTAGGCGTCAGTTACGCCAGGATCTTCAACTCGCCACGGAGGAAGATTACTCCATCGTGTTAACACGCGCGGAAAAACTACATTCTGGAATTTACACGTTTCTGAAAGGGGATCCTCGCGAGAGTGTGGCTCGAGTCCAGGCCAATTTCGAGTGGCTCTAAGCAACCACGTGACAGGGCGGCCATGTTGGAGTTTAGTCCCCAAAGGAGAGATTTGCTTTTGTTCTTGATCATTAACATGGCCGCCGTGACGTCACGTGCAAACCAGCAATACTCAAGCATGTGTCCAAGTTCTCTCCTCTTGACTTAGCTTCTTCCGAAACAAAAGACATGAGAAACAGGAATGGGACTGTATGTCCCTCAGCTTTAGAGATGAAGTGATTGACTCTTCAAGATAAAAAGGGAGCTTTCGCAACCACGAAAGCAACGGCAGCGAAACGTCACTTAAAAACGCGAATTCGCGCTTTTTGAAACTTCATTCGTCTTATCCCATTTTATTCAATTTGTCAAATGTTGGCGAATTTTTTTGGAGTTGATTCTGAAGGACTGTGTTTAAGTTTAGAAAAAGAAAATTGTTCTCCTGTGTTCACGTCCTTCACAAAACGTGAAACTGGGAAGTTCACGCTGCATTCGGGAAACAACGAAAAAAAAAAGCGTGATGCATGCACGTGCAAAATTGTTGTTGTGCTAATCTAACCTATTCCTTTTTTGCTGTTCTCGTTGCCGTCGCCATCGTCGTTGCTTAAGCTCCCTAAAGTTTCGAATTTTCGGTTCCATTCTCGTTTCTTTGCAGTGTTCACGCGAATTTTCCGCTCCGTTTGCACTGATTTTCCTGTTCTCCGGGACGAGATCAAGAGCTCCGGCCTGAGATCTTTTCAAATTATTCTTCATTAAGTTTCATGATGTGAAGTCATTTTTTTTTAGTCCCTACAGAGCAGTTTATACAGTAACTGCCTCACTCCTTCGCGAATTTGTCTGATTCTCCAACAATAAAGGATTGGGGTGATCGCGGACAATGTGAACATCAATACAACCGACACTTTATAAGCAGCAATCAATCTCGGCGATTGCCCGAACAGCAAGAGTAGAAAAACGTTGACAATGAACGGCAAATAACTCAAATAGAAGGAAGCCAAGATAAGGAGAATTGTAAAGACTGATTTCTTGTACTTTTCCATGTTTATGAATGGCCCTCTTGAGGAACACGTCGAGGTCACGCTGGCTTGAATTTGCTGTTGATGGTGACGAATGCTTCGATAAACTTGAAGATAAGTTAAGGAAGTTACTACAAAGCAAAGTGTTACAAGGGATATTATTGCTATTTGTGACACCAGGCAGAAGGATCCGGTCAAAATTTGCAACGTACCGAAGACATTTAGAGGTATGGGCAGGAGTAACATCACAAGAAAGAGTTTGAAAACGCGGCTGGAATTCGCCCATCTTCGCCTAGTCATATAAAGAAACCTTTCGATTGCCATCAGTGTTGTAGTTAAGGTCGTAAGAGCAGTTGTGTATATTCCAAGGCCTCCGAGGATTAAGTGCAATTAATAGAAGACCGATGTCTTTATCAGAGATGGTCTCAACGCCATGGCAAGTTCCTTTATAGAATATGATGGTTGAAAAAGTACCCCTGATACAAAGTACTCCAGCGATAAAGCGCCGACCAAGAAGTACGTCGAGCTTCTTAAAGACTCGTTTCTCCATATGGCGAGCACAACAAGAAGATTCCCGGTTACGGTTACAGGAGACATGGATGCGACAATAATTGAACTTATAACTGCTACTCTGGCAAGATCATAATCAGCTACGTTCCACGATAAAGAGGATTCTGGATCGCAACTTGTATTGCTCATCTTCAGTCACAAATAGTCGTTGAGAACACAAGAGTACAATCTAAATTATTTAAGATTGTCCTCTGAAGACTTCGTCGATGCTCACTATTTTCATGACAAAGTTAAACCAAACCCTTTCTTCTTTAGTGTCTTAAGCAAGATATTTGGGGGTATGATACATATCAACCATTAAGTACCAATTTGAAGTTACCTTTCGTTCATTTCTTCGAAAGTAAAGGAGACATTCTTTAACAGCTTTTATATTTTTTGCAGACGAAGTAGGACTTGGCAAATGTTAGGCAGATGTTTCTAACATATTGCGGATTGATTTATGTAAATGCAACAGCTAACTGTCATTAAAAATTATACTTTTGTAAAGAAAATGTCAAAAAAATGCTTTTCAGATGTCAAAAAAATGCCTTTGTATGCTGACGTCCGAGCTTACTGTTCACATGATAAAAATGTATTGTAAAGAGGGCACGTCTGATGTCCTCTCATCCACGACTCTTCTCTTCATTCTTGTATGGGAAAGACACTGAGAAATACACATTTGGTAGCGTCAACGCCTTTTAAAGTTAAAAAGGCCTCACTTCTGGTGAATTACGTCGCTCAAAAACGCGTTAGCCTAAACTCCCTGTTGATGCGCACATCTAACTTGTTTTAAAATACAGACTACTGATACATAGGATTAGTCAGTAAATTCCACCTTTGTTTGCTAGCACCGAACAAACGCAGTTATCGTAGTATTGTTTTAACGAAAAATGCTACATTGTAGCAACGTGGAAGCTCAAATACGTTACAATGCAGATAAATTCGACCACAATGCCAGCCTACCCCTCCCCCCGCAGGATAAACTTTAGATTTATTCTTCTTCTTTTGTGCTGCTGAATTGTTTTCTCAGCTTTTCAATCCTTGTTCACATCTCTACCACTTAAAGTCAAACCTGATCAATCGTACCCCAATAGAATGTATTATTTTTTCTCTTTGTCTCCGTGGTAGGTCATTTGGCACAGTACCAATGGATCACTCTGCTAGGCGTCAGTTACGCCAGGATCTTCAACTCGCCACGGAGGAAGATTACTCCATCGTGTTAACACGCGCGGAAAAACTACATTCTGGAATTTACACGTTTCTGAAAGGGGATCCTCGCGAGAGTGTGGCTCGAGTCCAGGCCAATTTCGAGTGGCTCTAAGCAACCACGTGACAGGGCGGCCATGTTGGAGTTTAGTCCCCAAAGGAGAGATTTGCTTTTGTTCTTGATCATTAACATGGCCGCCGTGACGTCACGTGCAAACCAGCAATACTCAAGCATGTGTCCAAGTTCTCTCCTCTTGACTTAGCTTCTTCCGAAACAAAAGACATGAGAAACAGGAATGGGACTGTATGTCCCTCAGCTTTAGAGATGAAGTGATTGACTCTTCAAGATAAAAAGGGAGCTTTCGCAACCACGAAAGCAACGGCAGCGAAACGTCACTTAAAAACGCGAATTCGCGCTTTTTGAAACTTCATTCGTCTTATCCCATTTTATTCAATTTGTCAAATGTTGGCGAATTTTTTTGGAGTTGATTCTGAAGGACTGTGTTTAAGTTTAGAAAAAGAAAATTGTTCTCCTGTGTTCACGTCCTTCACAAAACGTGAAACTGGGAGGCTCACGCTGCATTCGGGAAACAACGGCAAAAAGAATGTACAAAAAAGCGTGATGCATGTACCTGCAAAATTGTTGTTGTGCTAATCTAACCTATTCCTTTTTTGCTGTTCTCGTTGCCGTCGCCGTCGTCGTTGCTTAAGCTCGCTAAAGTTTCAAATTTCCGGTTCCATTCTCGTTTCTTTGCAGTGTTCACGCGAATTTTCCGCTCCGTTTGCACTGATTTTCCTGTTCTCCGGGACGAGATCAAGAGCTCCGGCCTGAGATCTTTTCAAATTATTCTTCATTAAGTTTCATGATGTGTAGTCATATTTTTTAGTCCCTGCAGAGCAGTTTATACAGTAACTGCCTCACTCCTTCGCGAATTTGTCTGATTCTCCAACAATAAAGGATTGGGGTGATCGCGGACAATGTGAACATCAATACAACCGACACTTTATAAGCAGCAATCAATCTCGGCGATTGCCCGAAAGACAAGAGTAGAAAAACGTTGAGAATGAACGGCAAATAACTCAAATAGAACGAAGCCAAGATAAGGAGAATTGTAAAGACTGATTTCTTGTACTTTGCCATGTTTATGAATGGTCCTCTTGGGGTACACGTCGAAGTCACGCTGGCTTGAATTTGCTGTTGATGGTGACGAATGCTTCGATAAACTTGAAGATAAGTTAAGGAAGTTACTACAAAGCAAAGTGTTACAAGGGATATTATTGCTATTTGTGACACTAGGCAGAAGGATCCGGTCAAAATTTGCGACGTACGGAAGACATTTAGTGGTATGGGCAGAAGTAATATCACAAGAAAGAGTTTGAAAACGCGGCTGGAGTTAGCCCATCTTCGCCTAGTCATGTAAAGACACCTTTCGATTGCCATCAGTGTTGTAGTTAAGGTCGTAAGAGCAGTTGTGTATATTCCAAGGCCTCCGAGGATTAAGTGCAAATAATAGAAGACCGATGTCTTTATCAGAGATGGTCTCAACACCATGACAAGTTCTTTTATAGCATATGATGGTTGAAAAAGTACCCCCGATACAAAGTACTCCAGCGATAAAGCGCCGACCAAGAGGTACGTAGAGCTTCTTAAGGACTCGTTTCTCCATATGGCGAGCACAACAAGAAGATTCCCGGTTACGGTTACAGGAGACATGGATGCGATAATAACAGAACTTATTCCTGCTACTATGACAAGATCATAATCAGCTATGTTCCAAGATAAAGAGGATTCTGGATCGCAACTTGTATTGCTCATCTTCGGTCACAAATAGTCGTTGAGAACACAAGATTGCAATCTAAATTACTTTAAGATTGTCCTTTGAAGACTTCGTTAATGCTTAGTATTTTCATGACAAAGTTAAACCAAACCCTTTCTTCTTTAGTGTCTTAAACAAGACGTGTGGCGCTATGATACACATCAACCATTAATTGTACCGATTTGAAGTTACCCTTCGGTTATTTCTGCGAAAGTGAAGGAGACATTCTTTCAGCTTTTATATTTTTTTGCAGACAAATTAGGACTTGACAAATGTGAGGCAGATGTTTTTGACATATTTCGGATTGATTTATGTAAATGCCACAGTGCACTGCCATATAACAATTATACTTCTGTAAAGAAAATGTCAAAAAAATTTACTCATCAATTTCTGTATTTCCGCCTCGCTGGAGGCTAATTTAATATTGCATGCATGGAAAATAATAGAATCAATAAAGACAGTATCAATCTATGTTAGATAATAACAATGGAAGTTTTTAATAATGCAATGAATAAAGATAGTAAAAAATCTATGTAAGACAACAAGAATGAAAGTTTTTAAAAAAGAATTGACCATTAAAAAAGAGCCTTTTTATTGCTGAGACTACTTATGGTGCTCTATACAAGAATTCTTAGAAGATATAAATAGAGATCGCGCAGGGAAGGCTGTCGCATAACAAATAAAAATATTAGTCGGTGAAATGCCATTAAAATGAATCTGTAACCGACATTTTAAGGACAAACAGATTAAAGGCATGAGATAGATGTCACTTTAGGAGAGTCGTATTTGTGAAAATTGAAAAAAGTGAACATTGTACGCGGTTATAGCCGAGACGGAAAATGGTTTGCTAGTGAATAAGTATAGATTAACTGAATGAGCCAATTTTTAGTTCTCTTTTTTTGAAAAGTTAATTAAATACATGATTTCGGAGTTGCAAGTGGTTTTTTCAGATTAATCTTTTTTTTTTTTCTTGTACAGCTAAAAAACATATAAACTCGCATAGGAACTCTGTTTGTGCTAATCAGTTCGCCAGCCCAGTTTCGAGGGCACATTTGTTGCTGATCTTCAGCACAACAATGCCTTTCTTTGTGCGTCCACGCATCCACGCGAAGGTAATAATTCTCGAGAGAACAGCGAGGAAACACTTGGAAAAAAAATGCCAGTTTCGAAATATTTAGAATTCATACTTGGCAATCTCTCATTGAGATTCATTGTTTAATGATTCATTTCCTCGGCTTCGTAGCCATGAATTTTGATGATTCGAAACTTTGTAGCTCACGTTCGATCCCCTCCACGAGTGCGCGGTGGATATGAGTTGGCTATAATCATCTCATATCCAACAAGCGGAAGTAGAATCATTGTTTTATTAAAAACGCCCGCAAAATATCAAGAATTCTCCCCAACTTTATTTGCAAAAACAACCGATTTTCAGCTTGTTTTTAATTTTGAGCAGACGAGTACAGTTACCATATTTGGGGAGCACGGTATAATGGCTCATATACCATGATGGCTAAGCCAATCAGAGCTGTAGAATTACATTATCCAATGATTCAGTTTTTAATACATAATAATTATTAATCCATGCAAACGTTTATCTTACTTCACCTTTACAAAGGCTGTAAACACTCACAAATTAATAAAAACGATATGGCTTAGGACGTGAACACAGAACACGGTCATCAAATTGGAAACTTCTGCAGCAATTTCACTTACCAAAAGATTTTTTTTCTTTGTGTGTTGTAGGGTGGTACAGTTGTGTTTGCATTTTGCATTAGTTTGCATTTTGCAGAGCTTTTCGTATCTATGATGACGATCATTCACGGCACACCCTGAATTTCGATGAGTTTAAAACTGGTCTTCAGGATTATGGAGTTACTTTGATGAGTTTTAAACTGGTCTTGTATGAACAGCACACACTTTTGTTCCCTTTTGATGCCAAAAAATAATTCAACAGGTACATTGAACTTTATTAGCGGTTTTGTTGCCCACTTTATCGTCCTTCTTTTGCATGGAATTGTGGCTGGCTAACTTTTTAGGAAAGGGACAAATTTGATTTTCAAAGTGTAGTATGTAAACAGCGAAAACTGGCAGTGGATTTTTCCCCAAAATGTTACCTTTTTTGTGAGTGTAACTCTGTCAGGACTGGTCAGAATATCCAAAACGAGGTATCGCTGGAAAGATCTATCTTTGCTGACGTTGTTGCTTACCAATTTATTAACTTAAACTGAAAGCTAAATGGGTCCAGAAAGGAATGTATACATCGTTCCATATGGGTACGAAAACGAACGGACTCTAGCTAGCCGTGCGAAAAGGGTTAACTGCCGTGCGATAAGGGTTACTGTTTTTCAGTCGTGTTTTCCAAATACTTTGCGATTGAATTAGAATTAAAAGAGGCTGCCTTTGTCCAACAATTTAATTAAATAAATAACGTTATAATAACAGCGTTTCCACAAAGTGGCTCTTTATCTGTTATACTTATTATAGATTAACTAGCAGTAGAAATATTTAAAGTTATGTGAAAATATATACATGGATAAAAATATTTACGATAGATAAAAATAAAAAATAAATTGATAAGTAAATGCAAGTACAATCAAAAACCTAAAATTTATCTAGAAAAAAGAAACGATTTAACTTCCCAACGATAAAAGTTAAAGTCGTTACAATTAATTAAGACTTATATAGCCCAATTTTCCATGGAGCATGATCGAATGCGCTTTTCAGTAAGTTAAAAAGACTAAAACTGGATAAGATTTGTGATAAAAATTTACAAGCAAGTAAAGGTAAAAATAAATGAAATAAAATAATACAATAAATAATATAATAAACGAAATAAATACTCTTCTACAAATTAAACGCTTGTCAGTTAAAAAGATATGTTTTAGCATGGCAGTTAAAATTTGAAAGAGAGTCAAGGCTGGATATTTTACTGGGCAGAATGTTCCAGAGCTTCGGTGTGGATTTGAGAGCCTATTGGCTGAGCTGGAACGCAATGTACACAGACTAGTTATTTGATTGCTTCTCAATGCCAAAGGCCAGTTATTCATATAGAGCACCTTATGGACTAATTTAAGCAAGCTAAAGTCCCGCACATATCGTCCCCTGGTAAAGGTTGCTGCTGCGAATTGTAATCGCTGCAAGTGTTTCAACAGGAAATCGGGTAAAGTAAAGGTTAGAATACAGGACTCACAATAATTTATCTTTGAAAGGACTAATGCGTGAGCTAAGTATTTCCTAACATTAAAATGGGCAAATACCTTTCGTGATACACTAAGTGAACCATAGCACGATTTTCAAACAAGTTGTTTTAGATGCTGATCCCACTTGAGAAGCTCGTGTAAATGCACACCGAGTAGTTTGCCGGGGTAGTTTGATCTGTTCGACGCGTTCCAGTCCTTCTTCAGAAATCTGTAGATCTAAACTAATCTCACGTAAGTGGTGAACACGATCGAGCCATTCTGCTAGTAGAGAGCAGCATAGATTTTGTCTTGGTCGGAGTTGAGCGCCAGATGTGAGACGGGAGACCACGAGCTTGAAGCTTTAAGAATAGTGTTCATACTCTCTGTGGATTCAGCAAGATAAGAAGGACGGCAGCTTTTATAAATGTTGGTGTCATCTGCATACTGAAAAGTCATTGCAACTGAATTTGGAAGGCTATCTTGTAGATATCAGAGACGTACAGGTTAAAAAGCATCGGCCCCAGAACTGATCCCTGAGAAAACACCAAAAAGCACGTTTGCTTGATCTCGGACATTTGGTCATCTATATGAACTCAGTGGGAACGATTACTAAGATAGCAAGTCAGTCACCTGAGAAAGTTCTTCGAGAAACCAAGGGAAAAGAGCTCTGTTTTCAGTGCGTTATGACTCCGTGTCGAATGCCGTCGAAATGACGGCCAGAACCATCGGTGTAACTTTACCTTTTTTTAGACAGGGCTGGAAGGATAGATATTGGTCTAAAGTGTTCCTCCCCCGTACGCAAATCTACTTTGGGTATCGAACTGATCCTTGCAAAACATCACACAGGTATCCAGCTTACCTGATTCCCACAAGGCAATCATGTAAAGGTTGCAAATCATTTTTTTTATTATTTTTTTCAAACTTAGTGATGCTTTTCGGTGTGTGTTATGAACACGAAACATTATAAACTCCTCTAGTGAGTCAATGTCTGGGAAGGGAGTCGGACTAAAAGATTTTTCGGACTTTCCTCTTCACGGTAACGGTAATTTTAAGTCTATAATCTTAGATCAGGAACAATTACACAAGTAGTTTTTGCTAAATAGCATATTCATACAGTGTTCATAGGTAAAAGAATTGGAGTTTTGAGTTCCAAGGTTAAGTCGACGTTTCGGCTGGATAAATTTGTATAATGGCTGGAAGTAACAAATTTTGCAAATGAAACCGCCTCCTACCGGTTATTGTACTGTGGTAGTGGCCAACTCGAAAGCTCTGCTCCTTTGGCCACTACGCACTCCTCCAAAGTAATACTTATTATAACATCGTAAACCAGCTCTGATTTTCTTTCTTTTTGTTCCTATCATTATAGCCTAGGTACAGACGCCCGCCTCCCCTCAGAAGACGGAGATCAGGGCGTCTGTACACAAGTTACTTTTATTATTGTATTCGTGTCCTTTCGAAAGAGTGTGAATAAAATGACCTTGAACTTGATAACTAAAATAAAACTTGTCCTGTTTACAGAAATCTAGGCACTCTAGAGACCATTTCTTAAACCTATGGACTGTCTCGTGATTATTAGATTAAGTACCATGCCTGTTTCTAGAATTTGCAGCAAGCTTGAATAAATCTGAATCTTTTTTTATTAAAAAAAATTCAATTTGGTATTCTACATTAGATTTGTTTAAGTTACCCTTTCCCATCACTCTCCACGCACCGCGCACCGCACAAGTTTGAGGATCGCTTCTTAATGAGGTACATGTAACAAATTAAAATAGTGTCCTTTATATAATCACGATCACAATGTAAATGTCACATCACCCTAAAAGTACAGCTGTTTGTTACCTTTCTCCACATGAATGTGGGAATTTAGTTTTGGGAGCATTTGTCACTAGTGCACTTTAATTCCATTGAAATGGGTTTTAACATCAGAGGTGAATCTAAGGGACGGGCCCATGTAGTCCACCATATTTTAGGCCAAAACTGAAGCCTCACTCAAAGGTCTTTAGGATCCACCACCAAAGTTCCTGGAGATGATTTTGTTTAGCCAGAGAGTGTAGACTTTCCATATCACTGATCCTTTGTTGTAGTAATATATGGGACCAGTATTTTTCTTCCATAAAATTGGACTAGGGCAGATTTATTTTGGGACCAAGGAGGGCAGGGTAGGTTGAAAAAAAACCTGCACTAGGAAAATAAAAAGAAACTTATGAGCCTTTCTGTGTGCGAATCCAAATGACAGCAGAAATGGCAAATAACCATTTTTTTCCTATTGGTTTCAAGCCTCTATATTTTTTTTCCTTTTCCAGAGTTATCACATCCCATTTACAGACTTTTGGAAGTACACTAGTTGTGGGAAAAGCACTGGACAAAGTCAACATGGTATCTGTGTCTTTTCATTAGGCATATACTGAGTGTAAATACCGAATCGAATATGTTCAAATCCTGTCAGCGACTCAATATTTTTTTCTTTTTCTTGTGACGTGCTGATTAATCATGTAGTTCATATTTATTTACCTAAGTTTAAAAGTTACCATCTGGCTCTCTTTATTTCTACAATATTGTAACAAAGAAAAACTTCATGACCCCTTTTTTCATAAATTTTTTCTAAATGTATTTGATCACATGTTTGCAAGTCAATTTTCAAAAAGATAAGAACCTTGAGAATGTCCCTAAGTAGGCTGCAATCTCTTTATAAGCTTTTATATGCCCATTTGACATATTTAATTTTTTGGCTAAGCTGGAAAGCTTGTTAGTTCGCATACCAGAGTATCAAAAATGATTTTTAATACTCACGAGGGCTGAGTTGTTCAAAGCTGGGTTAAGATAACCCAGGGTTAGTGGGAAATTTGAATTCAGATTTGAAAGCTTAAAAAGCATGTTTAGTTAAATTCTTTGTATCTACAATATGATGATTGGATGATCTTAATAGAAAACAGAAAATTATCTGAGAAAATGCTTAATTCGAATAAAAGGAAAAGAAACCGGCATTAAAATCTAAACTCAGGTTAGCGCTAATCGGCCTTCGAACAACTGGGCCCCATATTAGAACAAGACATCCAAGACATTCTTGGATTCTGGATTCCATCCACGTGCACCCTGTGGATTCCGGATAATTCTAGTAACTGGATTTCAGATCGCTTGTCAGTGGAACTTGGATTCTGGATTCCAACTGTTAGTGGGATTTGGAACTTCTTGCGCTGAATTCCCAGAATTCTGGATTCCTCAAACAAAAGTTTGACAGATTCCGGAATCCCAATTACCGTACAAGGGGCAAACTTTCCTTGCTTGATATGCATTGTATTACTAGAAAATGACTCTGATTGTATTTGTTTTTGTAACACTGCAGATGGTCAACACCTTGGCATTACTGTTGTCCTCTGAGGAGCGACGAAGATCACGTTATGCTGTAGAGACTCTCTCTAATGACTCTGATTTGTACGATTCTGATCTGTTTGTTCAAGGCTTGCTTAAGGTGCTTACTAGAGCTAGCTTCTGTTTGTCAATAAAATATTTCCGGTTACATTAGACGTTTCAGAGCTTCTCATGGCGAAATGGCTTTGGTTGGGCTCACTCTAGGTTTTGATCGACTTCATGCTTGCGTTTACACTCTGATAAATTACCCCAGCGAAAGAGAAAACGTTGCCGCGATTTTGCAACTAAAGAAAATAAGCTGTTGACTTTTTTGACGTTTTAAAAGTTTACTAAAACAGTTCTGAGTGTTGAAAACTAAAGCTGGTGTTATGGTCGGGACCATTTTGCCAGCTTAAGATTGCTGAAACGCGAGGCGTTTTAGCAACTAGTTCTTGCTCACGTTTCCAATTCTTGTATGTTAAATGAAATCCCAGGAAATAAAACAAGACGGTGCCGAAGGGGTTTGACACGGTAGGTCTCAAGAGTGAACAGTTTTATCGCTTTATTACTACTAAGAACGAATTATCCGGGTTCCTTATAGATTCTGCCTTTTTACAAGGCGGGAAGTGGAATATCTAGGTAAGATGGCGTGAGACTGCATGGGACTGTTTGTATACACGGTTGCGGGATGCAGGGATTTAGGGAAACTTTGGGTCGGGACGACAACATTAAAGAACCCTCTCTCATGAATACCCTCAAATTATGGGATCATGTCTCTTTGTACATTAGAGCACCAAGGATCCTTTCAGTCTTCCAGTTAAAGGAATCATCACCAGTAGCCTTCCCAGCACTCTGGTTGACCTGGATACGGGTGAAGTCAAACAGACGTGCCCCTTTAACGAACATGTGGTCATTAGAAAAGAGTTTATTGACATCGAGTTGGCGCTGCTGCTAGAGGAGGCGGAAGATGCTCCAGTATTCCCTGCGCTGTGAGTACTTAAAAAATTTCTTCTTGACACCGTGCGACTTGAGCATCCATAATTTATGTCTTCTTCTTGGTCAATCGAGTAGGAGAAAAAAAGGCTCTGTGCGTATCCCGTCAAACCTTTGAAATCGCCAAAGCCCGGAACTTTTGGACTGGTCATTCCTGTTTTCCCTGAAACTTGTTTTTCGAGTGCGAGCATCCGTTTATTGATACTGGTGATCATAACTGATGTTTTCACTGGCGTAAATGAAACTGAGTATTTTTCTTTATTCAAGGGGCTTATTTCACAACTCAGAAGAAGCTGGTATGCTGGTACAAGCGTTCTTGCATGATGTAAGTAACAATTACACAAAAACAGGAACCAAATAAGAACGGCGCACCGGTCTCCGACTCCTCGTGCCGTGTCCGATGGATAGCTTTATCCAACGTTTGAACAACCCAGGCATGGTCTATATGCTGGCTAGTAAGCAATAGAAATGAATCAGTGATGGCACAATTTGTTTTTCCTTCTCTCTCGCAATCGACCTTCCAAAAGACTACGCCGTCGTTTATGATCACTGAGGGTCTTGCTCGTTTAATGACTTGAAAGCTGGCAGCCTGATATGGTGGCGGTTTTGTTTGGCCAACGCGGAAATGAGTGAAAAAGCCAGGAAAACGCGCGTGTCTCTCTCTCTTTTTGCCCCTTTCTACTAGCGGCTCATTTACGGGTTTGGCAGACAAGCTATGAAGCTGGAGGCAAAGCTGAACCTAATTGGCCTTTCAGATCATAATGATTTACAATTAGTGGTAGCATACTGCAAGCTTTAATAATACATCAAACCCTTAATACCCATACTCCCATGAATGATATCTATCATGACAAACCCTAAGTTATTCAGTAGTTGATCCACTGTTTGATAATTACATTTGTACATCTGTTCACTTCACAGCTCAATCTCCTTCCTTACGTTTGCGGTGTCCGCGAGGGATTTATCGATAATTTCCTGCGTCTCCTTGACAGAAAAGCTCTCTCACTCATCAAATACGTGGAAGCTAAATCGTATGTATAATATGCCCGATAATAAAACCGGGTCGAATTACGGCAGTTTAATTGTAAGTCTGCTAAAGGTTCTTTAATTAATTGGAACCCAAACCCTTCCCCTAACACGTTCAGTGGCACCTGCTCATGTAAATTCAACTCAGAGAATGAATTTAAATGAATATGATTTCAATGTGAAATGTAACCCTAAGTTCTGTAGCGTTAACAATCCTTTCAAGTTTACCTGTTTGCAACGCTCATAATAGAGTATTGACGTACGCCAACCGGAAGAGGACTTTTTGCGTTCTTGGGCATTAGTTTGCAACGCTCATAATAGAGTATTGACGTACGCCAACCGGAAGAGGACTTTTTGCGTTCTTGGGCATTAGTTTTGCCTAATTTTTCGGGAAAATCGTCTCTTGTAAATTCATCTGAGTTGAGTTGAATTTACCGCCGCCTGGTTGGCTCAGTTGGGAGAGCGACGGTCTGCTGAGCGGAAGGTCACGGGTTCGAACCCCGGCCGGACCAACACTCAGGGTCTGGCAGCCTCAGGGTCTTTAAATAACTGAGAAGAAAGTGCTGCCTTTTTAATGACACCTGCAAACGGTTAGACTTTCTAGTCTTCTCGGATAAGGACGAAAAACCGTAGGTCCCGTTTCACAGCACTTACACTCATCTGGTTCTTGTGGGACGTAAAAGAACCCACACCACTGTTCGAAAAGAGTAGGGGACGTAGACCCCGGTTATGTGGTCAGCCTTCACACTTCACATCATTCACATCATGGGTTCAGGGCAAGAAACTTTCTTTTCAATTTACTTGTCCCTTGGGACAAGTACAATGTGTATTTTGTTTGTCCGAACCACAAAACTACTCGTCCAAAAATAGACAACCACAACAATACTAAAGGGTAATATATAAACTTCATATTTCATTTTAGCTAGTAGAATTAAAACTAACAGAACTCCACAAATTGAAAAAACATATCTTTTGATACATTTGTTTTAGTCATTGTGTTTATTCGGGCAGTTCGGGAAGTGGCGGTAGAATTTCTTCTTCCTCTTCCTCTCCTTCTACTACAATTTCTGTTGCTCCACTAGCACTGTCATTTTTCCCCTTTGCAATGCTTGAATGTCTTGTTATCCTGGCTTTTCTTCTTTTTGGAATGTACAACATTGCTAGTACCATCATCTGCATCATGTGTTTCCGGTGCTGACCTCTTTAAAAAGCTAGTATAAAGTGTCGACTGAGACAAAGACATGACGCTTGAAGAAAAGCGCTGAAACTCGCTGAAACGGGACTGACAAGCACGTGCGATATCGTGAGCCTGCTATTATGTTGTACAGCAGAACTCACATGGAATTTAATGGAGGCACATCGCACGACAAAATCAAACACACAACGTAAACAAAATGATATTTTATTTTACTTTCTGTAAGAGCTACTTATTTTTAGAGCACTTAGGTTATTAATTACGGAAAGAATATTTTATTATATATCCAAAGAAAACAGGTAAGTATAGTTTCTTGACGTTTTTTAAGTTGGACCTCTACAACTCAGTCGTCCATTCGGACAACTGGGATCACGTTTTTCCTTGTCCGAACGGAAAAGTTACCCGTCCCAGACGTTCGGACGGCCCAAGTTTCCTGCCCTGGGGTTGGGTGGGTAGAGTAAGATCATAAATGGACTGAGAGCGGCTGCCAGTGGCGCCTTTGTATGCTGACGTCCGAGCTTACTGTTCACATGATAAAAATGTATTGTAAAGAGGGCACGTCTGATGTCCTCTCATCCACGACTCTTCTCTTCATTCTTGTATGGTAAAGACACTGAGAAATACACATTTGGTAGCGTCAACGCCTTTTAAAGTTAAAAAGGCCTCACTTCTGGTTAATTAGGTCGCTCAAAAACGCCTTAGCCTAAACTCCCTGTTGATGCGTACATCTAACTTGTTTTAAAATACAGACTACATAGGATTAGTCAGTAAATTCCACCTTTGTTTGCTAGCACAGAACAAACGCAGTTATCGTAGTATTGTTTTAACGAAAAATGCCACATTGTAGCAACATGGAAGCTCAAATACGTTACAATGCCGATAAATTCGACCACAATGCCACCCTACCCCTCCCCCCGCAGGATAAACTTTAGATTTATTCTTCTTCTTTAGTGCTGCTGAATTGTTTTCTCAGCTTTTCAATCCTTGTTATCTCTACCACTTACAGTCAAACCTGATCAATCGTACCCCAATAGAATGTATTTGTTTTCTCTTTGTCTCCGTGGTAGGTCATTTGGCACAGTACCAATGGATCACTCTGCTAGGCGTCAGTTACGCCAGGATCTTCAACTCGCCACGGAGGAAGATTACTCCATCGTGTTAACACGCGCGGAAAAACTACATTCTGGAATTTACACGTTTCTTAAAGGGGATCCTCGCGAGAGTGTGGCTCGAGTCCAGGCCAATTTCGAGTGGCTCTAAGCAACCACGTGACAGGGCGGCCATGTTGGAGTTTAGTCCCCAAAGGAGAGATTTGCTTTTGTTCTTGATCACCAACATGGCCGCCGTGACGTCACGTGCAAACCAGCAATACTCAAGCATGTGTCCAAGTTCTCTCCTCTTGACTTAGCTTCTTCCGAAACAAAAGACATGAGAAACAGGAATGGGACTGTATGTCCCTCAGCTTTAGAGATGAAGTGATTGACTCTTCAAGATAAAAAGGGAGCTTAAGCAACCACGAAAGCAATGGCAGCGAAACGTCACTTAAAAACGGGAATTCGCGCTTTTTGAAACTTCATTCGTTTTATTCCATTTTATTCAATTTGTCAAATGTTGGCGAATTTTTTTGGAGTTGATTCTGAAGGACTGTGTTTAAGTTTAGAAAAAGAAAATTGTTCTCCTGTGTTCACGTCCTTCACAAAACGTGAAACTGGGAAGCTCACGCTGCATTCGGGAAACAACGGCAAAAAAATGTAGAAAAAAGCGTGATGCATGCACGTGCAAAGTTGTTGTTGTGCTAATCTAACCTGTTCCTTTTTTGCTGTTCTCGTTCCCGTCGCCATCGTCGTTGCTTAAGTTCCCTAAAGTTTCGAATTTCCGGTTCCATTCTCGTTTCTTTGCAGTGTTCACGCGAATTTTCCGCTTCCGCTGGAGCGAGGACGATATAAAGAGCTCCGGCCTGAGATCTTTTCAAATTATTCTTCATTAAATTTCATGATGTGCAGTCATTTTCTTTAGTCCCTACAGAGCAGTTTATACAGTAACTGCCTCACTCCTTCGCGAATTTGTCTGATTCTCCAACAATAAAGGATTGGGGTGATCGCGGACAATGTGAACATCAATACAACCGACACTTTATAAGCAGCAATCAATCTCGACGATTGCCCGAACAGCAAGAGTAGAAAAACGTTGACAATGAACGGCAAATAACTCAAATAGAAGGAAGCCAAGATAAGGAGAATTGTAAAGACTGATTTCTTGTACTTTGCCATGTTTATGAATGGCCCTCTTTGGGTACACGTCGAAGTCACGCTGGCTTGAATTTGCTGTTGATGGTGACGAATGCTTCGATAAACTTGAAGATAAGTTAAGGAAGTTACTACAAAGCAAAGTGTTACAAGGGATATTATTGCTATTTGTGACACCAGGCAGAAGGATCCGGTCAAAATTTGAAACGTACGGAAGACATTTAGAGGTATGGGCAGGAGTAACATCACAAGAAAGAGTTTGAAAACGCGGCTGGAATTCGCCCATCTTCGCCTAGTCATATAAAGACACCTTTCGATTGCCATCAGTGTTGTAGTTAAGGTCGTAAGAGCAGTTGTGTATATTCCAAGGCCTCCGAGGGTTAAGTGCAAATAATAGAAGACCGATGTCTTTATCAGAGATGGTCTCAACGCCATGGCAAGTTCCTTTATAGAATATGATGGTTGAAAAAGTACCCCTGATACAAAGTACTCCAGCGATAAAGCGCCGACCAAGAAGTACGTCGAGCTTCTTAAAGACTCGTTTCTCCATATGGCGAGCACAACAAGAAGATTCCCGGTTACGGTTACAGGAGACATGGATGCGACAATAATTGAACTTATAACTGCTACTCTGGCAAGATCATAATCAGCTACGTCCCACGATAAAGAGGATTCTGGATCGCAACTTGTATTGCTCATCTTCAGTCACAAATAGTCGTTGAGAACACAAGAGTACAATCTAAATTATTTTAAGATTGTCCTTTGAAGACTTCGTTGATGCTCGTGACAAAGTTAAACCAAACTCTTTCTTCTTTAGTGTCTTAAGCAAGATATTTGGGGGTATGAAGTTACCTTTCGTTTACTTCTGCGAAAGTGAAGGAGACATTCTTTAACAGCTTTTATATTTTTTTGCAGACGAAGTAGGACTTGGCAAATGTTAGGCAGATGTTTCTAACATATTGCGGATTGATTTATGTAAATGCAACAGCGAACTGTCATTAAAAATTATACTTTTGTAAAGAAAATGTCAAAAAAATGCTTTTCAGCTTCTCTATTTCCGTCTCGCTAGAGGCTAATTTAATATTGCATGCGTGGAAAATAATAGAATGAATAAGGACTATACTGTATCACTCTGTGTTAGGTAATAACAATTATAGAAGTTTTTAATAATACAATAAATAAAGACAGTATCAATCTATGTTAGATAATAAGAATGGAAGTTTTTAAAAACGAATGCACTGTTAAAATAGAGCCATTTATTGTTGAGCTATGTGGTGCTCTTTACAAGAATTACCACTTAAAATGAAACGCCGCACGTATAAATTGTGAGATGATTAAAGTTGAGATCACGTTTGGAAACAATGCCGCAAACAGTTTGACAGCAAATAAAAATGATAAGACGATAGATAAAAAAATGAGACATGTAAAATGTTTTATTTAATGGAAATTGATAAAAGAAAAAAGTTTGTAAGTGGTTATAACCGAGAACGAAAATGGTTTGCTAGTAAATAAGAAATGATAAACTGAATGAGCCAATTTTTAGTTCTATTTTATTTGAAAGTCTCAGGAACTAAATACATGATTTCGGAGTTGCAAGTGGTTTTACCTGGTTAATCATTTTTTCTTGTACAGTCAAAAAATCTAGTTACGCCCGCATAGGCAAGCCCGTTATGTTAATCAGTTCGCCAGCCCAGTTCCTGGGAGTTCTTAAGCCGTGCGTCAGTTTGTTGCTGATCTTCAGCACAACAATGCCCTTATTTGTACGTCCATGCTTCTACGTGAAACCAGAGTTTAAGAGGCTAATAACAGTGATAATAACATGAAGAGAGAACAACGAACAACACTGAAAAAGAGAAACTCCAACTATACAACAATATGCCAGTTTCAAATAATATATTGATTCACACTTGCCAATCTCATTGAGATTAATTGTTTAATAATTCGTTTAAACAGCCACGGAGCCAAGTATGAATTTTGGGGATTCGAAATTGGTCAAAAGCAGTTTCTATTTCGCTATGACCGCTGAATTCAAGAAGTAAAGACGCATTTATAACATAAATATATTCACAACTTCCAACGAGAGGAAGACCAGTTTACAACTCTGTTTATTGTGTTTTTTTTTTTAATTTCAAACACCTATTTCCCGGAATTTGTGAATATTTTACTTTATGTCGAGGTTAATCCTGTATGAATGTGTCGTTAATGTCGTTAATGTTTCTGTTTAGCGGTAATTAATTCAAAAAGGTTAGCATTAGGCAACATCGGCTGAAGTCACATTGTTTGTTTCAGTAAAATTACATGAAGAACAACTTAAGTCCAACTTCACTGTGTAATATAAAATGAAATAGAAAAAATCCACTGTAATGCTTTGAACCCGGGTCACTTGCTTTAAAGCCTACATCCATATCCACTACACCATCGACGACTAGCTGCCAAAATATACATGTTCTTATGCCGTACCCCATTACAATATTTGAATGCTAACCGTTTTCAGTTCAGTGCTTAACCCTAATCACTGCAGATCAGTGCTTAACTCTCTACTGTGTTCTCTCCATAACTGGCGCTCTGTAGTTTTGGTTTCTTCAGCTATCTTAGCCTCATTCTACATTCCAGTCTCGTTCCATTATGGAAATAATGCGTTGTGTAAAATTCATAAGGTGTCCAATCTCGCTTTACTCGATGTTATCTAACGCTAACCATTCAAAAAGAGTCTACGTATGATTCGTTATGTAGATTGGGAAGACTGGTAACTAGGCAGGGTGCCTTTTGAGGCTTGCGCTGAACAGTTTTCAGTCGTTCTAAATACTTTGCCAACTGAATAAGAATTTAAGAAGGCTGCCTTTGTGAAACAATTTAAGCAAAACATCACACAAGTGTCCAACTTATCGGATTCCCACACGGCACCGAATCACTTAACGTTGGTAAAGCATTTTTTCATTTTTTTAGCCTTAACAAAATTTTACTCCTTCTTTCAACTATTGATAACACTAACTTAAGTCCAGAGCGCGAAACATGATAAACTCATCTGGGAGTCAATGTCTCAGCTGGGAGTCCGACTAACAGATTTTTCGGATGTAGCCGATTTGAGCAAATATGAAAGTAAACTGTTGCCCTCAGAAACGACGAAAGATGGAATACGAACATCTGTTATGCACTGAACTTACTTGGCTAAGCTGACCACGAATTAGGAGGGTATCACCTTTCGAAAAAAGCACTAAACACGGACAACTAGCTACGGCAGAGTATCGAATAACATGATGGCATACACACTGAGTAAAAAGGGTTAAGCACTGACAAGAGTCATAATGTCCCATTATGACTCTTGGTACAGAGAATAATCGCTTGTGCACCGGCTATGAATCACAAGAAAGAACCGAGCACCTTGACTTCAGTTCAAGCCCAAAATAAGGAACCTGACACCAAAACTATAGCAGCCAAAGCAGCGAATATGCTTACACACGAGCACCGAAGATAATGAGAAAAGCGCTACAGACAGTGAATGAAATATCGTACCATACTCGGTGTTCTGTATTTTCGCAACTAATTTTTTTGGCCTGCAAATTTTTCAGCTCCTTTTGAGAAAAAAGTCCCCGCTTACAACTATGCTTGTAGACGTTATGTATCAATTTCTGTTTTGTTTTTGGTTTCCTCCTTTCATTGTCTTCAATACTGAGCTTGTGTATAACGTGAACCATTACGTTGTTTTGCCATTTTTACCAAGGACGAATTCAAATGGTAGTAAGGCCGGTGGCTACCTTCTGGTTACATCTCTGCTCTTCTTGGTATTCTGAACAATAAAGAGACTAGTGATACCAAAGGTTTGGGAGAGCGGACGACAACGATCAGAGGTCCAAACGCTTTTGCTCCAACGCTGTGCTTTGCGCAAGTTTTCCTTGACAGATGGTCAAAACAAGCCTGATCAGAGTACGAGGGGTAGAAGTGAGGAAATTGTGTTTTGTGCATTCCATTCATTCTTTGTGGTAGTCCAAAGAAATACTGGCTACATACATGCAACGCATGCGTAATATCAGCCGGGAAGTTAGGATTGCGGGCTCTTGTTGTCGCCCGCAATAAATAATAACTAGTAATAACCAAAGGGTACTGAGTGCGGGCGACAACGATAGAAGATCAAAACGCTTTTGCTCCACGATGAAGCTGTGCTTTGCGTAGGTTTCACGTGACAGATGGTCAAAACACGCGTGATCAGATTACGAGGGGTAGAAGGTCGAAACACGCGTGATCAAATTGCGTTCAGTGCATTCCATTCATTCTCAGTGGAAGTCCAAACAAATGCTGGCAACATCCATGCAACGCAAGCGTAATAACAGCCTGGACTATTAGGATTGCGGGCTCCTCTTCTCGCCCGCAATAATAATTGCCCCCGCAGGGATTTCGCCCAGAAGGCGAAATTCCGAGGAGGCACTCTAGTAACTCGCGCGTATATTCAGGAAAGTCACTCGTTAAGCGCAGATGAAGTTATAAGGTGCGTTTAACAGTGTATATTTTAACACTAAGAGAGTTTGCCAGAAACGAGTTCGCAATACTTTGATTGGAAACCTTGCCAGATACTCCTTCTCTTTCTTTGACCAGGATAAGACTCGGCCCCCAAACAAGCAAGAAGAGTGAATGATTCAACGGCTAGCTTATCACTAGCAGAACGATGGACGATTACAGAAATTCGCCGACCATCAAATTCTCTGCTGACTTATTCCCTGCTCACAGATATCCCTCCGCTAAAAGGTTTAAAATAAGACTAGAATGGGCGAGCGTGAATTGATCAAACGTTCTTTCAATTTCTAAGGCATACTTTCCGGTAAATAAAATGAACTAAATGTAAAAAGTGAAATAGAAATAGCAAAAAATTAAACCTCTAATTAAATCTTTTCTTACGGTTTAGAATAAACTATTCTCGAAACTGAGAATGTTTTGATCAAAGCTCTGTAAATCGAACTGAAAACGTGCATGGAACCTTGCGTTTCCTGTATTTATCTCACCTATTGTATGGAACATGTGTGAAGATCATTATAAATCAGTGTATTTCAAAGAGCTACACAACGAGCACGAATACTATTGACCGACAATATACAGAGCGGGGACAGCTGTAGTGTCAGCTATTACTAGTAATAGGCTGATTTAGCAACGGAATGGGAACGCCGGTTGACAACGGCGCGCGCAAACCAAACAACTGGCTTGACCAATGGCTGAGCGGCAAATTGGGCACCGAAAGTCGAGTTTAGTCCTCCCCGCGCGCTTTCCCGTCGTCAAATGACGTTCCCGTGCTGTTGCTAAATCAGCCTAATAATAAAAATGCGTGCGCTCGAGGGAAGAGCCTCGTTCTTGCTTTCCCTTTAGCCATCCCACCCACCCCCCCCCCTCCACCCACCGCGCGCGCTAAATTTTCTTTCTCTCTCCAGCCCCCTTGTGACCCAAAGCGGCTTATGCGCAGGAGAGAGTGGTTGCATCATTCAATTCATGTCCATTCCACCACAATGCCACAGAAACAGGATAGGAAACTGCCTGATGTGATGGTCTGTAGAACATCGACTGACCGTGAAGTATATCCAGCTGGAAACGAAATCATTGCCAATAAATTGACAAAAATGTTCGTCAAGCTAAATGATATAGTTATATAACAAATTCTGATTGTGGCCGGATTAAATATTCCAATATGCTTCAGTATACCAAACTAACTTGGTATAAGCACGTTAAGGCAAAATATAAAGGAGCAAACATAAAGGCCGATGTGACGTCACAAGTTAGAAAAATTCTGGCCAGAGGGGCAGAACACGTCTTAAAGGTTAACAGTATGCAAATCTCGTTACAAAATCATTCTGATGGATTTCGTATTTGAACGCAGACAATAAAATAATGGAGAAAAGAAGGAGCATGTATATTCTTCTTCGAGACTGCGAGGGCTATGTGTTTGTTGACAGGTCGGCACTTGGTCTTCAGCCAAAAGCAGCACCCGCGCCGGTTTTAAAAGGCGATTTACTCGAGGCTCTTCCACAAGCAGAGCAACCCAAAGAAACAAACAGAATAGCTCTTGCTGGAGTCAAAAGAAAGGACTTGCGTCTTGAATGTGAAAAGAGTCATGTCAAGGAGTTGACTGTCACGAAAACGGAGTCACTGTTGGCTCTTTCTTCAGCTGCGTTCCGTTATGAAAAATTCTTAAACATACAAGATGTCGGGCAACAAGTATGGCAATGGGTAAGTAATTCTAAAACAAGCTACATGACTTTATTTTCATTCACCCCGCCTCACCAAACTTTAAGTTTTAGTAGTAAGGAACAAAAAAATCTCTCTCTTGCTAATTCCTAAATGCTGCTAAAATCAGAGTGAAGGAGTGATAGAAATAAGCAGTAGATGAACTTTTAATTAACAGTATCAATCGAATACGATCGGCTTCATTAACCTCAGCAACTGAACCAGAAATACTTAATGCCACGTGGCGAGTTTAAGCTTTCAATAAATACTCTGAGGCTCCGTCCACACGCATAAGGATATTTTTGAATCCGCAACGTTTTCTTTCCAGACACGGCATTCGTCCACACGTATCAGATGAATCATATTCTTATTTTTCTGCTGATTTTAGGCTGAAAATATTCATGTGTTATTCAGTTAAATTATAGTTTATGACATTTCCGTCTCAGAATATATTGGGGTTTCAATTATAGTAAGTGCAGGTTTTTTCGTTTTGTTGGCAGGTTTGCCGTTCAGAGAATGAAACAAGTTGAAAACATATAATTGTATTGTATTTAAGTTTTTGAACACACAAATTATATCCTTTTCAAAATCTCAGCCTGGGGTTTATTCTTAAAATATTCTTAACATTTCGCAAATTTCAGCCTTGATATTCTTATAAAATATCTTCTTATAGAAAAACAAGAGTGTATCGTCATTTCTATTTGGCCTCAAAATGACGATTATAACAATTTTGAGGACCCTGATCCGCATCCCAACCCATACCCTATCCCTAACCCTAACACTTAGGAACTAGAGTGAATTCGGCGATACGTGTCGAATACGTGTGGACGGGCAAATTTGATTTGAATATGGACGTGAAAAGTGGAAATTCTTGAAGTTGCGGATTCAAAAATCAGTTCGAATACGCGTAAATGGGACCTTGGTGCATTGACCTAAGAGAGCATTTATAATTTTCAGGTGACAGAAACCTTGTACCAGAATATTTTAAGCTTAATATCATAGGTGACGAATTACTCCTTAATTTTGGCGCGAAATTTCAGCGTTAATTTGTAATTTTACATGTGAAATTGCCATGGCAACCTTCCGTACGTCTCAGTGTCAAGATGGCGACGACGTTTTAAAATGTCATGAATGAAGATGTCAGGGCAAAAAAGACGCTTTAGAAAACCTGAACACACGAAAGAGCACATCAAGAAGGATTCTAACAGGTAATTTGTCGAAAAACTCTGAACTTAAGCCAAATTTAAGCTCTAAACGTTCGACAGAGTGCAGGAGTTCGCGATCGATACGATCCAGGATAAACATGTCAAAAATCCAAGATTGCTTACGTAATTCGTCACCCATGATATTAATAGGTAATCAAATGGTATACTCGTGAAATTATTCCGTAATTTCACTCGTCACCATTTTACCCATACATATCGCATTCTTTTTTACACTGTAATAAGTTACACGAAATAAGTTCAAAGAAAAGGTTCTTATAAACAATTATTGGATGAGGTTTTTGTGATATCCAGAATAGTCAGAATAATCCTCTCCGCTCTTTTACTTGTGCCATTTTCCGCGCGGTCTTTCACACTCGTTCCTCGTTCTTTGCTCCTAAACCACACTATAACGCTTGCTATGCAGGCTACTCAATTTCCTAATGGATTTTGTCGTAATTCCTTACCCAAGGATTGTTATTTCTAATCTCCTCCTGTCATAAAATCAAAGATGGCAGCCTCGGGACCAGGAACATAAACAAGCGGCTTCCTTTCGCCCAAAAGAAGATACGCCTACATTGCAGGCTATTTGTGGGGTTCAGGAGCGTGTCTTACTTGCGCTTTGCGCTCGAGCCTTAAAACCCGCCTATGCGTTCCAAATTACGCCTGTTGTGCAAGCTAGAACCACAAAAAAGTAACTTTTATTGTTTTTCATAATGAGTCTAAAGAAGATGAAAGTACAAGTGAAGAGGATGACGATGATTACGAGGAGGATGAAAGTGACGAAGATGAAATTTCAGACAGTTTGGTGGCAAAGAAGAAGGTGAGGATTCTCTTTTCTGTGGATTTATTTGGTCATGGGAAAATAATTATCATTATTTGTATTATATGTGTGAGGTCTGATGTGAGGTCATTTATAATTAATTATATTCAATTCTTGCTTCCTTGAGAAATATACTTGAGAAAATCACACAGTACATTGTACATGAAGTTGTCAAAATGGCCCATTAAGCAGCATGTTAGATTTCAGGCCAATACTGTTCTCTTGCTACCGAGCAGATTTTCTGTCATTCTCTGGTTATTATGGTTTTATAATATCAAATCTCTCCTTCCAGTTTTTTTTAATAACAGAAAAGTCTTTCTTTAAAGGTCTGTCTCCAAATGACTCACATGTAAGCGATGAAAGCCCAAGAAATTGGGACTCGTTGTTTTGTTTTCCACATGACCTTGAAAGTAGACCGCAAAACAGTCCGTATTTTTGCGTATTCAAGTACGCGCGAGCAGTCAAACGAGGCTGAAAACAGAGAGCGAGACGGGGGAGAGACGCTAAAAATACGTTTTTTTTTTTCTCTCGCCTCACACGCCCTACGGGCGTGTGAGGATCGCGCGCTTCGCGCGCGTAAGACTCTTACGCCACGCTTTACAGATTTCTTTACTGATTTTGAGAAAAAAACCGACTGTTTTGCAGTCTACCTTGAAATCGGCTCTCTGAGCAATTTCATCACCGGACAAGGTGGGTCACTGATGGACCCAGATAGTTGCTTGTTTCGTCTATTTCAGTCTACTGACGTAGTTCGTACCTAGCTGATGGAAGTCAAAAGGCGCAAAACTCAATTAAGCTAAACAACCCCAGTATTATCGTCTCAGTAGGATCACCCACCGTTTTCTTATTGATAGATATTAATTGCAAATTTATTATCAATATATTTTTTCTGGCATTCCCTTGCTTAATACTGGCACACTTAGTTTTTTTGTTTGCTGTCTGAATTTTTTTCTTTTATTTGTGTCGTGTGTACCTGACCCTTAACAAAATCATTTATTAATAACTTAAATAAGGCTGCCCAATCTCTTTAGCCCTCAATGGTTATTATGGGCAGCCTGCACTCTCTCTATTTGTAATCGTATTTTTATATATGTATATATATAATTCAACTGATGTGCAGTACAAATAAAGTTGTTGTTGTTGTTGTTGTAGTGATATTAGGGAATTTAAGCAAAGACCTTTTTGAGCTACGCACTTCAATCAGAAGTGGACTTTTCTTTCTTGAGCAGTATTTTTGCCCAAACGTTTGGACAAATCGTCACTATAATAAGAAAGAGCCTATAAGAAATACAAATTTGGTATTTTTAATTTATTTTAAAATTATAAAGTTCTCACTTCAGGTCGACGTGCGTCTCTTAAAAACGCCTTAGCTTAAGCTCCCTAATAATATCGATTTTTAGCCTTGATCAGAGACCTCGTTGTTCTGTTAAGCCCTATTATTTCTCCGTTTGTTTCCTGTTGTGGGGCGTGGTCGTGTACGATAATCGTCCCCCCTCCCTGGGTTGGGTGACTCTTGTATGAAAAGTAGAGAGATGCTGAAATTTAATGCCGTCTTCAGAGTCCTGAAAAACAGTATGTCTGCGTTTGGTTTGCATATATTTCTTTACACACCTCCATAAAAGAGGAGTAAAAATATCAGTTTCCATATATTCTAAATTAGAGAAAAACCTACGATTAACACCAAAAGTTAGGTTATGATGAGACTGCTTAATTTTTATTTTATTTTATTTTATTTATTTATTCATTTATCTACTTTCTGACTAGGACGAAAAGAGAGAAAGTGTAATATCTGAAGCAGAACTTAGTCATGGGATCCCCGGAGAGGTAGCAACGGCGAGTGAGGATCACGGTAAAAGAATTACGGAATGACCGCAAAAATGTAGCCTTTTGTTCGCAGGGTAAGGCGCAGACGTCCCTCCTGGCGAAACGTCCCTACGGGCGAGAAGCGAGGAGAGTCGGCTGTATTTGCAGACTATCTAGACTAATTAATGAACCTGATCAATAATATAAGGGAACGAATAACGAGAAATATAATACAAGGTAATTCTATCATTTACGTCAAGAGCTCTTTTGTTTACGTTCAGATTTTATGCTTTTAGTGACCGTGTCGATGTCAGACAAGTTAAGAAATCTCCAAGAAAAGTTGAGTCAGAAGGAGTCTTCGGAAGCTAGACTACTTGAGCAACTTGGGGAGACTGAATGTGAAAAAAAGGACTTAGAAAAGCGATTAACGAGAATGGGTCAACGGCTGACAGATTACGAAGGGCAATTAGCCTTAGTCTCGCAAGAGAGAGGACAGTTTCAAAAGCGGTTAAAAGAATATCAAAAACAATTGCTTGAGAAAGAAACGCAAGGGGAACATGCCCAAACACAACTAAAAGAGCTGCAAGAACAATTCCAAATTTTAAAGGAATGTAAAGAAAGAGAAACTTGTAATCTACAGGAGCAGTTAAAAATTAAAAGAGAAGAACTTAATGAATTAGGAAGTGAACTGAGGGACCGCGAACAAGACATTGTCAAAAAAGAGACCGATCTTAAAGAAGCTAAAGAGACACTAAGCAAATATGAATTACAGCTAAAGACACGTGACTGGATCATTTCTCGAGATGAAGTTGAATTAACAGGTAAATGCCTTGGGGAGGGAGGATGGGGGATTGTTTTAGAGGGCAGATATTGTGACTGTCCTGTGGCTGTTAAAAAACTAAAACGATCAAGCCTCACGCCTCAAGAACTCAGTTTGTTCGAGAGAGAAATGGACATAGCTTCTCGGTGTCGTCACCCTTGTCTGTTATTATTTATTGGAGCAACTAAAGACGAAAACTGTCCTTTGTTTGTTACCGAGCTTATGGATTTAAGCCTACGAGCTTTGTTAGGAAAGAGGCAGCTGTCAGAAACAGAAGTGTCAATAATTTCTTTGGATGTAGCTCGTGCCTTGGAGTATCTTCACCAAAGAAAACCTACACCGATTATTCACCGAGACGTCAGTAGCGCCAACGTACTACTTTGGAAACAAAATGACCAATGGCGAGGCAAATTGTCTGACTACGGAACAGCAAAATTTGTGGCAGAGATTATGACAAGATGGCCAGGAGCCATGATCTACGCTGCGCCCGAATCGGGCAGTTCCGATTACCAAAAAGAGGTGGGTTTATCGTAGTTAGTTATCAGTCTTGGTAAACGACCGTACGCGAGGCATTAATTCATTGCACACTGAAAGGAATAAACATTATTGATTACAGCTTTGTTATGCAAGAATTCTTGAAGACCTGAACCAAAAAAAAACACTAATTATCATTCTTTTTTGCCCATGGTTATGGTTTAATCCCCAGTGAAGTATTTTACGTCAGCACGAACTTGAAAAATTGGTACGGTACAATCCTGGCGACTGAATTATAAAAGGGATAGGTCTTCGGTTGACTGACTGTAGAATAGATAACCTGCACTTAATACTATTGGAACCCGAATATCAGGCCTACCGAAGCGGTTAAGGAGGGATATTTGACAGACGAAGGAGGCGGGTGCATGTGTATGTGGGACTGCTGTAGGCTCTCTTCCCTTCCAGTCGTCTCCCCTCTTTCCTAATAGCAATTTTAGCCTGGTGCTGCTGATTGACCTTATCTTAAATCAAAATTAAAATTTTTGCACGATTATGAACATGAGAGAATAAGCAAACAGACATGACACTAAATAAATAGATAAATTAATGAATAAATACATAAATGAACAAAGAGAGAAAAAAGAAAAAGTGGCGAGATCCCAAAAGGGAAAGTGCAAAGGGGACCCTTTGAGACATACAAGGCGCCGCCTTCATATCAAATAATTAGTTATTACATTATTACTTAAGCAGATGAGGCCAGGTTACGCCCCTACGCATAAGGTTCCCTCGAAATTACTTAAAACATTAAATTGCGAACTGCGTGGAGAGCTCGAGTTTTGGAAAAGAGGACAGTGACCTGGCCTCATCTCCTTAAGTATTGGATTATCGAATACCCGGATGACCCCCAACCATTTGCTGGGAGACTGGCAGTGACAAGCCGCATAAAATTATTTAGTATATACTAAAACAGTGGATAGTGTTTTTCGCGCGCTCTGATTGGCTACTCAATCAGTGAATATCCTGCACTATTCACTGATTCACCTCCAGTTCCTCCGAGCGAGCGACGCCAAACTCGCGTAGGTTGTGAGCAAAATGCTTTCCCGGTTTGCTGCCGTAACAAACTAAGAAATTTCACAACTAATCAAGCAAGCTATTTCCGAAATACATGAAGAAGGTGACGAAGTTCGCTTTGGAAGTTTTAACAGGTAAAGCTTTGTCTTTTTGACTTGAATAGTTATCGATAAAACCGGTGAAAAGGTTTTTGTTTACAAATGCAAATTAAGCTTAAGTCTTGCGTTACTTTATTTAGTTGACTTGTTCATAAATAAGCTTAAAACTAAATTTAATAATCTTTTTTTGCAGAATTATTTTAAATACAAACAGAATTCACAACTCCTTTTGCAGAACCTTCCCCGCAAGAGCTAAACAAACGCCTTCAAAAGTTTTATTTGTCGCTAAGAAAAAGCGACGACCGCGGCCGTTCGGTCATCGCGCGCCAAAACTGTAATAGTTGGCAACAGTAAAAAAGTTAACAATCATCATTTTGTGCTCAATTATCTCACTGTTTTAGTATATACTAAAACAATTATTCACCTCAGTGTCGGTGGCTAGTAGTGGATATTTACCTCGCCGCTTCGCGGCCTCGGTAAATTTCCAATACTAGCCACCTCCACTTCGGTGAATATTTGTTATCAGGGGCACCCAACGAGGATATAGTTCAAAACCACCTAACATAGCATTGTTGAACGTATTTTAGTATTTAAACGGTAGATATAGGCATATTTTTATCCCCTAAAAACTTTTCATCTGTTCGGATTTCCTAGCTGAAAATCTAGTGATCCGAAAATTATAGGGATCAAAACCTACCTTTTCGAAAATTTCAGCCGGGAAAAGGCTCCCGAAAATTCTAGGTGGCCTTTTTTAGGGTAAATATCCGTTGAAAATGGGTAATTATAGCATTTTTAAAAAGTTCGAAAATCCTAGGAGAGGCAGGCAAGCAAGAAATTTTACAACAAATGTTCCGAAAATTCTAGTTCTCAAATCGTCTTCCGAACAGATATTTTCCCGAAAATTGCCGTTGGGTGCCCCTGTGTTATTTATTCCCCGGGTGGGGTGAATAAATCTCCTGCATTGTGTAGTAAATGAATCTCAAGTTTATACAATAACATAGAGCATAAATATCTAAAAGTGTACCGAGATAGAGAATTATAGCTGCATTAAAATTCTCCAATGAGGAATTTTCTTTCCTAGATTGACGTTTACAGTTTCGGGGTACTTTTGACGGAAATGTGCCTTAAGAATGAGCTGCCCAATCCTGAACGGCGCGAGGAACAAGTAAGGCGTGTGGAAAACAAGGAGTTTGGAAGTCTAATCTTTTGGTGCATTGAGGATGATCCTAAAGACCGACCCACCATGACGGAGGTTATCAAGGTTATCAACTGAAGCAGCTGCTTTAATTATTGCATATGATTTTCACTTGGGGGCCGTTTCTCGGAAGTCCCGGTAACTTTTCGGGCCCGAAATCAAATATCGAAATCGAAATATAAAGAATAAAAGCGTGGGTCCTGTTAGCAAACTACTCCATTTTGTTTAATTAACTGATAGTTTCATTATGTTAGATGCAAAACCATTAAATCCTCGATCTTTAATGTAAACGGCAACAGCTTACCGGGCCCGTTAATTATCGGGTCTTTCGAGAAACGGGCCCCAGGCTAGGCTAGTACCCGGCAAACAGAAATTAAGCGTCAGTCGTAGAGCTGTTTGAAGACAGCTCAAAGCTCAATGAATAATTCGTCTTCTAATACTTAACAAGATTTCTGTGTTCCGGAAAAAGGAAATACTGTTTTCAGGACCCAAAAGGTCGTCAAGTTAAATATTACTACACAGCAGACTAAAAAGAGCAGTGGCCAAAAATAAATTTATTTCCGTGGATTGCTCAGAGAAATCAGCGTCTTTCTTTCAAGTACATGGAATTTAATTCGTACTTAGGATAAATCATTTTTGTAACTGATGTATAGAGACCATGAAGCTCGTGTTTAAGCCCTTACGTAACCCTTGGCCTGATATCTTTCGACGCTTTTGAAATTTTCGAAAAAGATACGTCTGCGAAAAAGGTAACATTAAGGGACGCGAAGAGGATGTCGACAAAGTTTGTAGCGAGGTACAAAAAAACTTCTGAAAATGCACGGGAAAGTGACGTAGTTTTTAGCAGAACATGCATGCCCAGGTCGGGAAGATCAGTATAGTACGTGACTGGTGAGTCTGGATCTATGAGGAAGGTGTCATTTGATTGTTATACAACTTAAATCTTCTTTTTTTATTTGTACTTAAAGCAAAAGTCATTAAATAGGGGCCTTAATAGCTCTTGCTTATCCATTTTTACTACTTCGGTTAGATAATTGTTCTTTTCTAAGTCATCATGTTAAGTCATCGACAGCAAGCCAAAGACAAGCCAAAGACGAACTTGGCTTACAATCTTTGAAGTCGAGCATACGGCGAATTCACCTGGCTTGTAGATCTCATAGGTGACAATTGTGGTTCCTATGTATAATTTGTCGCTCTTAACGATTTTAGTAATATCTTTAGCATTTTTCTATATATTTTAGAAAGTTAACTCCGTAATTTCAAATGTTTATAAATTTAAGAGATTTAGGGGAATTGTAATTGATCTTTATTACTGAGACACGAGTGTTTTACTGGAAAATATGACTCGCAAAATGCATAAAAACTACATCTGAGACCCGAGTGGTTTATTTTCCATAATCTCACACGTGAGTTTATCGATGACGTAATTTCGGTAATTTTTCTCCAAAATTTGTAGGCGTCCTGCGTCCTTTGAATTTTAATTACACATTTTTCAAAGCTTTGCTTATATTTTGTCATTGTAGAGCCCTATTTAGCTCAGTGTTATTTCTCAAGATTATTGTAAACAATGTCTTGTATTGCTGTACTGTAAATTTGAGCCGTCACAATTACTTTTTGGCGAATAAAAATCTATTACTTTATCGATGTCTTTTTGTCTATATAATAAAAAGAACATTACACGGCGGCTTGAAGATATGAATTTTATTTCTCGTGGCAAAAAAATATTTTACTCACTCGCTGCCCTCGTTCGAAAAATATTGTTTTGCCACTCGAAAATAAAATTCATATCTTCGCGCCACCGTGTAATATCCTCTACATATACTCCTTTTATAACGGCCATTATCATTTTTTAGTACTGGAAACTTTCTATTAAATTAATGTATCCAGTTAGCTTGCATAAGCTGAACACAAAGTGAAGGAGGCATTCTTCAACAGCTTCTATATTTTTTGCAGACGAAACGGCACATGACATGGAAATGTTAGGCAGATGTTTTTAACATATTGCGGATTGATTGTGAACTGCCATATAACGATTATACTTCTGTAAAGGAAATGTCAAAAAAAATTACTTTTCAATCTCTGTATTTGCGCCTCGCTGGAGGCTAATTTAATATTCCATGGAAAATAAAACAATGAATAAAGACAGTATCAGTCTACGTTAGATAATAAGAATGGAAGTTTTCATAAAAGAATGCACTATTAAAAAAGATTTAATGCTGAGCTATATGGTGTTCTATACAAAAATTAACACTTAAAACGAAACGCCGTATGAATTCTGAGAAGATAAAAGAAGAGATAAGTAGAGAGCGCGTTTGAAAACAGTGCCGCACACATTCTGACAGCAAATAAAAATACTAATCGGGGGAAATTCCCTTAAAATGAATCTGCAACCGGAATTTTAAAGAGACAATAGATTAATGAATTGAGACAGATTTAAGTTTGAGAGTGTTTTATTTTATGAAATTGAAACTGAACAAAACGAGCATCGTGGGGTATACGTGGTTATCACTGAGAAAGAAAAAGGATTGCTGGTAGCCAAGTACAGATAAACTAAATTAGCTCATTTTTAGTTTGAATGTTTTCAGTAAAGCTCTGTTCTCTACAGCGCAGGTAATGTTAACAACTTACCTTACTTAAAATGTGTGTTACGTCTCCCCTTTGTAGTCCACGGGCCGATTGGAGGCCGTTTTATGGGTTTTTATGTAATCGGTTTTCTCTCTATATAAAGTAATTAGTATATTAGTAAGGTAAGCTGTTTTTTATTGAAATCATTTCATTTTCGTAGGTTACAGAAACGATAGGTTTTTTTCTCATACAAATCCTTATATTTTGAATGTTACGCAACAATGCCGATGCTCGCCGATGGCCATATTTCGAGCTTGGGCTACCTGTGATAATACTGACCGTAAATCCTCTTTTAAGCACCCTTTTGATAAGCACCCCCCTTTCCAGGGGAAGAAAGTTAACAAGCCCTCTTCTCTTTTAAGCCCCTCCTCCCCTCCCCCTTATTATTCTTTATTCTTCACTAATTTCGTAATAATATCATTTATAAATGATGAACGATATTAATCAATCTTAACTATAAAACTTAAACTTCGTTTGGACTGATCCTGGCTGGTCTATTCACCAACTGGAAGTTCGGGTTTGTATTTGATCCTCGGCTGCTTGTTAACATAGTATTTCAATTGTTATTTGCTTGCCCACTGAGCACTTAGGAGTTCATAAGAACTGCTTGAAACGTGCCTGTGCGTTCTAGATCGAATTGGTATTTGGAAGTGTTGGTTTTTAACAAGAACCATTGTGGCTCTTGTTAAAAACCAACACCTCTGTTATTTGGAATTGTTAGTGTTTGACCTCCTACTTCTCGTACTTGAGCTTTTCCACTTTGTATGCTAGTTCTTTATGGAGAACTGATACCATCGTCCACGCTTAAGCCCCTCCTCTTAAATACCCCCAGGGTGTCTGTTAAGCCCCACCGCCCCCGCCCCTACCTCAAATGTGTTCGAAATAAATAAGCCCGCCGGGGATTTATTAGAGTATTTATGGTACTCCTTGATGTCTCTCTAGAATTTTCAATTCCCACGAAATGCGCACTGTTTTCAATTTTCCGGCCTAGTCCCTTGGCCTCATCCATCCGAGCGGCCTATGTGGTCCGATTTTTGGACTGGTAACAAGATCTTTTCCCGCCAGGTTTAGATTCAAGATGGCGGACGAAGTTGAGCAAGTTGATGCCACAGAAGGTAACGCGCAGAACGAAGAGGCTGCAGTGGGGCGATTAACACAGTTTCCACAAACTCGAGTTCGTAATATGATGAAGATTGATCCTGATTTGCATTTGGCTAACAGAGAGTCGGTATTCCTCTTAACGAAGGCAGCAGTAAGTTTGAATATAATCACGGCGTTTTTTTTAAATTTCCCTAAATAAAATCAGAAGTAAAGCTTTAAGAGCCTTCTGTGCAATATTCACGCACCTTATACTATTGATGAAGAGTTTCTTTTTTCTTTCCCGTTCAGAGAGTTATTCATAGGGTTTACTTGTTATCTCTCTTCACAAATAAACATTTATTCCGTCATGTCCTCAAAAATTGTATTGTTTTTATTCAGTACCCCTCAGAACATTTGGCGATATTAATTTACCCTTCTTCAGAAAAGAGCCATTTTAATCGTAGGTTGGTATTTTACAACCCTCTTAATCAGAAAAATCGTATCCTCCATCCGCATATCGATGATATGACTTATCCCTCATCCTTTTAGAAATTTATTTGCTTGGAATTTTCCCCCATTACAAATTGACATTTTGGATGCTAATAAAATGCAACTAGTGGTCTGTTATCAATGCTGTGCCTTGATTGGTTGAGCTACTACTAGGCTATAAGTTATAGCCCACTAGTAACGAATAGGGCCGGATTTTTGGCAGCAAAAAAGGATTTGCTTTAAGTTGTTTTGTCTGGATATTTTTGACCAACTAGTTGGATTTTACTAATACAATATTATTATTCCTCTCGCCCTCATGGCCTCTGAGTCAATAGCCCATTCAGCTTTCAGCCTCATGGGCTATTGACTCGGAGCCCATTCGGGCTCGCGGAATAATTGTTAAATACCCATTTTCAGAAAAGCCCTTTTGCCTAGTAATGACCCCCCCCCCCCACTCCACCAGAAAATCCTATTTATAAGGGTGAGGGACTGGGTGGAGGGCAGTGGATATAAAAAGTAGAATGGTCCTTTTATAAGATTAAACAGCTTTAGGTGAGATTTTCACACAACCCCATACATTTTATATACATGCAGCAAGTTCAAAGTGTTTCCTAAAATTTTTAGTTTTTAATACTGTGAATAAAGTCAAGACCTGCATGCATGATAAATTTATAGGGCTGGACAGAAAATAGTTTAACCCTCTGATAGGAAAATACCAGTATGCCCAGTATGCTTTTACCTACTTTTATATTTCACAAATGTGTGTTTTACTTAAGATTTCTCTTGAAATTTCACAAATATTTCTCTTTACGTATTGATTTTGCTCAACAACTTTGTAGGAGCTATTTGTTGAATATTTTGCCAAAGAGGCACACAAAAGGACTGTCATAGGGAAAAGAAAGACGATACAAAGAAGAGATCTGGGTAAGCTCAATCCTTTACGCTTGTTCTGGGCCTGGTTCCTGAAAGGGCGATTAGCATTAATCCAGCATTAAAATTTTGTTCTGTTTTTGTATTTTACATTCCTATGTATTGCTTAGGTTAGCATTTTGTTTTATCATTACTGTACCTTGTAGTTAAGACTCAACAGTATTTTGTAACCTCGAGTTGCATGTTCTTAGATGAGAAAACCATGCTTATAATTTGGCTTAATCCTGGCGGTTAAACTTAACCATCTTTCAAGGAGCCGGGGGCTGGAGATTTGTAGGAGAATTAACCTGCATAATATTCTGTTACCTTTCATCCCTCCCTGTCACTGGGGCATTTGGCACAGTACAAGAAATAACTCTAATTTGGCGGCTCACAAATATTTCATACTGATGTTTGTAAATATTTTTTTAATCTGGTAGTCACAGGATTCTGGATGCAAATTTGTTCAAGTTTCTGTTTTCACCTAGTTGATTATGGTAAAATTTTGAGTTCTGCTGTGAATTGGGCAGCAGCAAAACTGAAGAACCTCTGGTAAAGCAAGTATATTCCGTGGAAATTGTGTTTCTTGGTAGATTCAACAGCTTGTACATTTGATATTTGTGACCACAGTGTGCAAAGGAAGTAGTGTCCGATAGCCCGGGGCTAGCGGATTTTGCTATCGGGCTAGTGAATTCTGTTTTTAACTTGCCCGACAGGCAAGTGATGTTTTTTGAGGAATTCGAATAACAGAAGAACTGTGAAATCAATTCTGCTAGTCAAAAATTTTTTGGGGCTAGTTGAAATGATGTCTGGGGTAGTGAATGCTAGCATCAGCTTGCCTGAATGGCAATTGTAAAAGTGATTTTCTTTGCACCCTGTGACCTACAGCTGAAGGAGAGCAGTGGCAACCAATCATAACTCCCTTATACCAGATTCTGGACACACTTTTTTTAAAGTATTGATGGGCCAAAATGCACAGGTCTTACTCAGGAACATCCCCAACAATGGGGAGCTATATGTATGAGAGGTAGCTGTATTCACAGAGTAAGTAAAATTCTTGAAAACCTTTAACCATGTGTCACTCATGCAGAAATGATTATGTGTGTCTACATTGTTTATAGATACAACTATTGATGAAAATGAAGAAATGGCATTCTTAGAGGGTAAATATTATAAACAATTGACTATATAAATACCAAGAATATCATCGACCACACAGTCTATGTTCATCCTCCAAATCCCTTCTTACTGTCCCCAGTATGAATTCTATGACGTACGGTGAACGTGCGTTTTTCCTCTGTGCACCTACATTATGGAATACTCTTCCTGATTCTCTTAAAAATGCAGCTTCCCTTTCGTCCTTTAAATCTGCCCTAAAAACACTCCTATTTCGGAAATTTTGTTTTTAGTAGCGAAAAACATACAGGTTTTTATTTTATTTAAATTTATTCTACATCAGCATAGGTATTATCATTTTTCAATTTTATAATCGACTGTTTATAGTATCATCATTATGTTTTATTTTATTATGACATGTAAGCACATTGAGATTCCTAAATGCGCTCATAAAAACCTTACTATTATTATCATTATATAAATAGCAGACACCCTTGACCCTCGATCTACAAAGCACACTGAGGAATTTGTACAATGAGCACTGCATTTTGCTCTGCATTGACTCCCTCTCATTTTTTCTCTGCCCGCTAGGTACATTAGACTGAAACTAAAAGAGAGTTTACACTACAAAATGATGGCTATTGTGGGGTATTAAGGAGGAAAGGATTAGTTCCAGAGAAAAATGTTCTGCATAGACATCAGTTTGACAAAAACTTCACGGATATTACAGGACATCTCCAGATATGGCTGTTGTGAATGGATTATTGTTACAAACAAAATAAATAATAAGCCACTTCTGAGTTCCAAAAAACCTCACTTTCAAAATGAGGCCAAGTGCATAACCTTTCCTGTGAAAATTAGTTTTATCTGCATGAGAATGAAAAATTCATTTCTATATCAATAAAGGCTGAGCACTTACTGCGCTTTTCGCAATCATGCGAATTCTCAAGTTCAGAAGCCAACTGACGATCGCGTTTTTCACTGTTGTCAATCATCTTAACGAACCTCTTATGAAACAAAACTTTACTTTAACGGGTTCAAAAGGTCACGGATGATGATTTGTGATTGGTGGATTTCGATCCGTTTTGTGTGTTTCTGTGTTTCAATGTTCGTTTCCTGTGATCATAATTATGATTGACGGCAGCGAAAAACGCAATTGTGAAGGCGGCTTTTGAACTTTAGAGTTCGCATGTTTGTGAAAAGTGCAGTAACCTCGTTTTGATACGGAGGCCCAGGGGAACTAAGGAATGTCCTATTTGGATGCCAGGTCATGATCTTTGTGCTCTTGTCTAAGAGAAAATAATTTGTTGGGAACCCAGTGATGTAACCCTGTGAAATCCAGGGTGTCCAGCATATAATTTTTATGAAATAACAAAGATTTCTTAGCTGCCCAAGTTTAAGGTGCCAGGGCTTGCCAGTCAATGCTAAAACAAAGCCCTGATACAAAGAAATGTTAATTACATCCAGTCTTAGAAGAGACTTTTATGATGCAAAAGGGATTATGAAATGTGATCGGCTAGCACAGGGCTGTCATTAACATTTCAATTTACATGGTAAATACAACAAGGAGGTGGGGAATCTAACACTAGAGAGTTAAAATGGTTTTCTTCTGGTTCTATTTTCTTATATTCATTTCTTGTGAAAGTAGGCTGGGGTTGCGTTCATGTAGTAAGAGGAAATCCCTGTTCCAGGATTTCAGAAAGTGACTGACTTTGGCATAGAAAATGGAGTGAGGTTACTTCCTCTGGGCTGTAATTAATATTAACTGGGGAAAATTAATGAAAAAGACAGTATCCAGGGATTTAGCATTATTTTGTGTTTCCTTTGTGACCAGTGCTAGTGCATGTAAATAATGTCAGACATTTCATAAAAGAAATAAATAAGTTTGGTCTTTGTTGTTGTTGTTTTATAAGTTGGTTATTTACTAATCTTCTGTAATACATCTCAATTTCTTGATGCCATTCATTTCTTGGCCTTTTTTTTTATGTTTTCCTCATTATGGAACAAACTTTTTGATTTTGAAAACACTGCACTCAACAGGCTTGGAGAGTTTAGTATTGGTACAATTCAAGACTGAAGTTACTCCAGTGATTATGGGTAATGATATATCCTTCTTGGGGCTAAGTAGTTTTTTCCAGTCATTTTTTTGGGTGCACAAAGCTGGAGATGGCCCAGACTTACGACATCTTTAAGTAGCCCCCATCTCTTTTAACTGTCTCCTCAACTAAGACAGTTTCTTGGTATTTTCCCTTATTGAGCAAGGGTTTCAATGAAAATTGAAGTAGCTGGCAGGTTTGAAAAAAGTAACCGACCGTATCAAAAAGAGGCTTTTACTCCCTTTCTTCTAGACTAGAGGGGTCTGGGGGTCTGCACTCCTTAAAAAAATTGAAATTTTAACGCTCTAAAATGTGATTTCCAGCATTCTGGGCTCTAAATTGAGTACAAAAGATAATGTATTTTTAATCAATTTAGACAAGTAATGAGCAGTAAGCCCCAAACTCTTCTTAAATATTTTGAATGTGAAGCAAAGCTTCTGTCTAGGTCCAGCAAATTGAGTTTTAATATAAGTTTTGACAGAACCTTTCTTTAATTATTTTAATACTTTATTTCCAGCTTCCAACAATTTAGGGGGAAAAAGTAGCTGACTTCTCTGAGCAAAGTAGCAGACAAGTTTTGTTGGTCGTCTGTGCTTATTGAAACCCCTGACTGAGTATGACGAATTGCTATAAAGCAACCCGAAGTAATGATTCTATAAACGTTTTTTTTACTGTAAAACTCGGTGCATTAAAATCACTGTCAGGCACCCAATATCTTACATTGAACTTTGAGTTTGTGCAGTGTACAGATAATCACTAAAACAGTTCTTTTCAAAGAAATTTTGTTTAAATGTACAAATCAAATTGTGGCTGAATCAGAGGGGGAGGCATTAATATAGATTCTACAGTTACTGTAATAGAGTACTAAAGTGTGACATCACAATGTCCCAGAGACCTACTTGCCAAAAATGAGCATTTCGGGGCAAATTGTCTCTGAGATCGTAGCCCAGTTATGCTTAGAAAACTCCATACAAACACTTCTAAATTTTTTTGGGTCAACCCCCAGAATATCCTGACAAATCCAATAATTTCAGAAATTTCATTTTTATGATGTCATCACTTTAGTACTCTATAACATTTTTGAAAAGTGCAAATGATCTACAGTCAAACCCTGCTTTACGGACACCCACTCCTTATGGACACCTCTCATTGTTACGGACGGTTTCCTTTGTCCCTGGGGAAAGAAAGTCCTTACATTTTCTCTAATAATTAATTCAACCCTCTTAATATGGTACCCCATTAATACAGACACTTTCTATGCCTTCCTCAGTGTCCTTATTAGGGACGGACCATTAGAAAAGTTATGGGGGGGGGGTGGGGAATTTTTGAGCCACAGGAATTTTTTTTCGTCATCAAATTCCTGGTGTGAATTTTTTTTAGGCCATAGCATGAATATTTTTTAGGGTTAATTGGAGTGCATGAATTTTTTTTCATTTAATTTTCCCTTGCGCGCATATTTTTTTGTGCTTCGCCTGCCCCCCCCCCCCCATAACTCTTCAATGGTCTGTCCCTTAATGAGGTTTGATTGCTATGGCACTTCCCTTTTCTAACAGTTTTTAAAGTGCAGTGGGCGGTGACAGTTCTCTCTTTGTGGCTGTTTAGAACTGTCAGATTATTGAACCTTTCTTGAGTCATTGTTGAGCAGAGTCATGTTTATAAATTTCAAGCAGCTGAAAAGTATCTTTCTCCTGCTGAGCATGATTGCACATGCTGGATCCACCACTAGAAGTTTAAAGATCATGATATTACTTTGTAGGTTCCTGTAATCCCTTCATTTTGTCTAGTATGTCATTGAAATGCATCAGAGACCATCTCATCAGCCAATATAATTCATTTTAAGAAACTGTAGTTCGCAGCCTTGTTGGTTTGAAAATGCAGAAGTGTAGGACTCAGACTGATGGGATCAAAACGGACCAATAATAAATTTAGATGCTGGAAGATTCTAATTCCAACAAAGTTACTATTTTTATGAAAATGTATGTTACACTGGAACCTCCAGAACAAAGTCCTTGGTCTAACAAACTGTTTTTTTTTTACTCCAGTAATAGTAAAATATAAGGCAATATGAAAAAGAACCTCGATATAAGTCAACAAACCTCACTATAACGAACATATTTTGCCAGTCCCTTGGCTCTTCGTTATATTGAGGTTCCACTGTACTTAATTTAATTTAATTTTTTCAAAAAGTGTGTGGGGGGGAGGGGGGTCTGGTCCCCCAGCCCCTCCCCCGCACTGGCCCTGTCTAAGTATAAGAAATTGCCATATAATTGAAATCAAACCTTTTTTTCTTGTTTTGATGTACAAAAAAATGGGCAAATTGTCTAGTTCAACCATGCAGTCCTAAAATACATAAACCTCTACCTATCTTTACTAGTTTTTTTTAAAACCTTCAAGCTTGTTGGGCTTTATAAAATTATTTTTGTTTTGTTGATTGTAATTTCTACGATTCGTGAAAGTGGAACAGGGGAAAAAGTAACGCACGGCTGCACAATATTTTTTTTCGAAAGATGTATCCAAACTTTTTGCTTGAAATTGAATTGTAGTGTTTCCCGCCAAAATGCGCGAGCAGTTCGCGAACACGATCTCTCCCCTTCTTGTCCACGCGAATTGACACGCGAAATATTTTTGTGTCACACTGACACAGTGGACACTTTATAGTACTTGTGTATCAATGTATAAGATTTGCGTTGTATTTGAACCTTCTTGACATTTGTTACCTCATGTTGGTATAAAATTCAATGGTGCGGTCACAACACGTCGCTGTTTCCATATTTGCAGAAACCTACCATATTTGCAGAAAGCTACCATATTTGTAAAATGGGCGCCCATAAATTGAAATCGTGTGGCGCAACGATGCATTATCAATCAGACAAAGAAAAGAACGTTTGGCCCACTAAAGCACTTAAAAACTGTAAAAATCGAGTTATATTTTTCAGATCGAACCTTAAATCATGTATCGAACGGCATTTCGCGCGGGAAGCCGTGTTTACGCCGGCAAGTTCTGGAAGAGAATCAATTTGCCATCGCAATCAAGATCCTTGGCCGCTTGTTTGACGTCGCAGCGTTACTCATCGTCTCAGAAATTTACCTTAGATCAGATCGCTCCTCCGAAAGATGCATTTACACGTCGACACATAGGACCCGACGTCGTTGAAGAAGAGGAAATGTTACGAACCCTCGACTTACAGGTAAATTAGACTACGCTGTATGTTTCCTCACCGCGACGCGATGTAACCTGCTAATATTGCATTTGTTTTGCTTTCAGGATGTAGATGAGTTAATCAACAGGACATTACCGTCTTCAATAAAGTTTTCCCAAGATCTTAAGCTTGATGAAGCACTTAGTAAGTTTTGATTAAACATTTACAACCACATGTTGCTTACATGTCGCTTTCGTTTGCTGCGTTGGTGATGCCCACATACTTAGCTAACTGTTTATATGCCTGAAGAGACGAATATTTATAACAACGTTATAAGCCAGTCATGCGAAAACATATCGTTGATGAAAATCTCATTTCTGCGTTAAAAATTGCGATTCAAAAGCTGAACGATTAAGAAGGACGTCAAGTATTTTTTCGTCCGGCGCGTGGCGCGTGGCGCGTGGCGCGTTTGTGCCGGGAAATTACGCAAATAACGCCAGCAATGTCTAGACCGCAGTTGTCAAGAATCGTGAAGAAATAAACTTCTCACAGTCGATTTTTACCTCTATTTTCTCAACTAGACAATTTCAAGTCTAGAAGATACCGAAGTTTATGTTATTAAGTGTAGATGTTGATAAGATTTTCACGAGCTGAGTGTTAGCAATGCGAAAGTTAGCTAGCATCACGTGATTATTTGTGAAAGAAATTGTCACGCAGCGTTTAAGCGATGTTAAAAAAAATTCCCTCGAGTAGTTTTTGCCACTTTTGCTTCTTCCTTCTACAGTGTATCATCGGTTGATTTTATACATATTTTAACATGAAAATTCTAAAGATGATAAAAAATTAAAACCTTGTTGAACTTGCCAGTAGGGGTCCTATTCCAATGTAATGGATTTTGAAGTCCAATTGCAGAAATGGTAATTGCACTCCAATCTGGCTTAACCCCTTTAAATATAGACGCCTTGTTACTTTAAATAAGGACCCCTTGCAGGGCTGTCAACTCTCCCGGATAATCCGGGAGACTCCAGATTTTGAACCATTTCTCCCGGTCTCCATATTAGAGTCTGAAATCTCCCGGATAAGTGCCAAAGTTTGCCATTTCTTGTAGATTCGACTTTCTGACAATGAAATTTCGAATGCTTTGCATTGTTTGAGCTATTTTACTGTTCACATCGAATGTTTCTTCACAAACTCCGGTATGCCATTGTAATAGAAGCAATAATGTGATTGGTGGGTCAAATGTTACAATTCCAACAACATCATCTTTTTCGCGCCTTTTTTTTTTACAAATGACATCATGTGCCATGTGCATTATGATGTCTTTTATCATCCCTTCCCCATCAGTTCTCAATAATTATTTGAAGATGTGGGGGGTTGACAGCTGTGACCTTGTTGTTACAGGCTGGGTCCCTGGGAAAAAGCCCTTACATTTTTCTCTAAATTCAACCTTCTTGAAATGGGATATCCCATTTTTTTATTTGAGAGGGGAGGGGGGATGTCAATTGTTCTGTTAACATTATCAAATGTTTATTATTTTTTTAATCAATTTCAAACCAGGTGAACCAGATCTTTTGGAAAGGTTGCGGCAGATATCAAAGCACAATCAAGTCTGGAGGTCTTATATTGGCATGGGATACTACAACTGCCATGTACCCACAACCATCTTAAGAAACATACTGGAAAATCCTGGATGGTATGTGTCTTTAACCCTTGAAGCCCTAATATCGACTTACAAATTCTCCAGAGCATAGGCGGCAGAAGCCCCCCCCCCCCCACCCACTTTTGTAGAATAATAGATAACTTTTTCTTTTATTTTACCACGGTCATCTCATTAGGACTTAAAAACACTACTTTACAAAACTTTACGTTTCTGATGAATCAGTTGGGATTCCTGCATTTAATTTTGCTGTATGTGTGACCGACCTCCATTAAAAAAAAAAACACTAGTCTCTCACATCGGAGCAAAATTTTTCCGCTCTGAGACGCCTCAAAACATACCTTAGGAACACGATGATGTAAGATCGGTTGAACTGCTCACAAGACACCGGCTGACGCAATTGACCCTGTTGCGATCGCCAAGACGTTTGCAAGCACAAACGAACAAAGGAAGTTGCATTTTGGAAAGTTCAAGTAAATGTCGACTTGTCTGTTTAAAACCAGAAACAACCATGACAATGTACGTAGCCGGTTGGATTGGGAAATTTCATTTTTTTATCAGTACTCCCTCCCCCCCACCACCCCCTTATAGAAGATCATCCTATGTAGTTTTTGTTATCAGCACCATTGAAGATTGCATCCAAAAGGTCGAAAATGGATAATTTGTTTAAAGATCAAAGCATTATGCCCTTGGTGATCATTTTACGGAGAAACCTGTATTAGATGGACAGCCAAGAGACCTTTGCTGATGTCTGCTTGTTAGAGGTGCCCACTTAAGGGGACAGTGTCCCGATTATGCGCACGCGCGAGCGTCATCTGTTTTTTCTTCAAAAGACAATAGAACTGTCATATTGACTCGACAAGATTTCCTTCCGGACCGCACCGCCGACAGAGATTTGTTGTTTATATTCTCAAGTAATATTTTAGACTTTCAAAGAAGTCTTTCGTCTTATATAAAAATTTGGCCCGCGGTTCGAAGACTTATCGCGATTTTATCGCTAGCTGGGCCGCCTCGCGACCCGAAAATCTCGTTCCGCTCGCTTTAAAAACGTATTTTCTAATTTGAAACTCGTGTCAGAGGTCAGTTGTTCCAAGTCTAGTAATATCTGCCTGATTTGCTCGCGTTCTAGCCTCAAACGTTTGAAAGACATAAATAAAAATGCAATCTCAACGCTATGAATCATTAGAAAGGTTAGTCAAAAATTATATTATGATTTCATGGCACTAGTTTTTCTAAACATGTAGCGCCTGTTTGTTTGATTTTGTCGGCCGTTAGGGAGATTCATTTAAAAAAGTTTACTAACGCGTCGTTGCAAAATATCCTGCTTCACGATGCTCCCCTCCACAAGATCTCCTCAGTCACATCAATGTCTCAATGGTTTCTTTCTTACAGTCTTTATTGTTGCCTTTTCATTTCTGCATATTCCTTTCACAATTATCTGAGCTTGTATGGAAGCTAGCAGAAGAAATAAGCCTTCAATCGGCATCAAAGTGCTTCCAATCTTTTGGTCCTCCGGCCAACGGCAATAAAAGTAACGCCAAAAAATCCAGATTTTGCCCAAATCGAAACTTAACAGGAAAAATATGTCATTGAGCTGTAATCTTGAGAAGTTTTAGTGTCGTATTGAACCCGGTCAAGCGCGATGCAAACGGATTTTTCAAGGTTCTCTTACTCTCCTCGCATCTTTTGATTTCGCGACATCCTGTCCAAAAATCAAAGTTTGGTGCATGCGCAGTAACAGGATACTGTTCCTTTAACACAGGTTTCACTCTCTGAATTCTCATGACCTTTTGCCTTGATTACAGTTTGTAGTGATATTGTGAAGAGAAAATTTTTAAGGAGAAGTCAATACACAACTGTTTTTTTGAGAAGTACATACAGCATCACAAAGATTAGACCATTGTATCAGGTGGCCGCTAAGAAGAGGTTAAAAATAGTGGAAAATTTGAAACCTGTCATCCAAAAAAGTGGTTGCATCTCCAGCGTACAAAGAAAGTAGTGTCCGATAGCCTGGGGCTAGTGGATTTTGCTATGGGGCTCGTAAATTCTGTTTTTAATATGCCCGACGGGCAAGTGAATTTTTTTGAGGAATTCAAATTACAGAAGAACTGTGAAATCAATCTGCTCATCAAAACGTTTTGGGGGCTAGTTGAAATGATATTTGGGCTAGTAAATGTTAGTGAAAATGACTTTCTTTGCACCCTGATCAGGAGAGGTGGTCGTTTATGAGAGGTTCCAGCCATAAAGCTTTAACTGGAAAAATTTTGGTTTTTTGGGCAAGTGGTGACTTATTGAAGGTGGTTGTGTATTTGCGTATGAGAGGTGGTCACACATAGAGGGTTGACTGTCATAAAGTGATTATTAAACCTTGTCCATTCGATTTCCTCAGGACCACGCCTTACACACCCTACCAACCTGAGCTAGCCCAGGGGCGGCTGGAATCTCTGCTGAATTTCCAGACAATGGTCAGTGATCTCACAGGCCTTGATATTGCCAACTCTTCACTGTTGGATGAAGCCACCTCAGCTGCTGAAGCCATGGCTCTCTGCTATAGGTAAGCCAAAAAAGGAGTAATAGGGCTCGTCTGTTTGCCCGCACTCCTACGTTTTGAGTGTGGCTTATGCTAAGGTGATAATTGATTGACTATTGATGATTGTTGGCAAGAGGTCTCTTTTTTCCTGAGCTCACCAATACAGATATAAAGATAGTTCTGTTCTTCTAATTTATTTTACATGTAGGTTCAACAAGAAACCAAAGTTTTTTGTGGATAAGAATTGTCATCCACAGATCATCTCTGTGGTGGAGACAAGAGCCAGGTAAGCTGTGTGTGATACTTGTGTAAAATAATCTCTGGATGTTTAATTTGTTCATGTCTAATTTAAGGACTACACCACAATATTATAAAATTATTAAAAACTTTCATCTTAATTCCAGAAATTTCTCATGAAGATGAACCTAGTCATTTGAGATCTTAATGCTTCAGCTAAGACCATTTTTTGGAAGTTTGGGGTATATGAAGTTGCTGCCATTGTGCCTATTCACTTCTTTCACTTAGAATACCTTTTGTCTCTCAAGCAATTGATAGTTCTTTTGCTAGCGTGAATGACACAGTGACAGGCTATGGCCCAATAATGATATCAACCCCTTCATTACCCTCCTAGCCCATGAAGGGTTGCCCACCTCTACTCATCACCTCTGCATCCTCTACTCATTCAAAACATCATTAATGGGGGTCCTTCCATGCCCGACACGAATCAAATCAGTGAAAGTGATTTTTAAATCACACCAAAAGACAGCTCGGCCTATGGTTCTTTGTCCCTATCCTAGAAGAGTGAGCATCTAACCATTTGTAGATGTCAGAATGTAGGCAGCACATTCTCAATCATTTTAACACTCCAAGTGTTAATTTTCTTCAGCCAGGAAATTAAAACTGGCCCACATTTCAAATTCCAGTTCCCACCTGACTGAGCCTAAACCAAGGAGCCGGGTGGTCAAAACATGTATTTTTTATTTACCAAACAATCAAATACCATCCCAGACAATGTCTCCTTCTGACTTGGAATTAACTGCGGAGCTCCATTCCTTGTACTTGTAGTGATTGAGACTTGCATTGATGCACATGTAAATATTGGTTTCATTATTTTGTTCTAGTACTCTTGGTCCTGATGGTGAAGGCCTGAAAGTGATTGTTGGTGATAGAGAATCTTTTGATTTCTCCAACCAAGATGTCAGTGGTGTTCTGTTCCAGTACCCTGACACAAATGGCAATATCATTGATTTTTCCAGCTTAGTGGAGAAAGCTCATAATGCAAAGGTGAATTTTTAAACAAAATACAGTGTACTTGATTTTTTACATGGAGTGTGTGTGGTGGTTATTGATCATTGCCAGTACCTTGACCATTCGTCTGACAGTACAACACCTACCAAATAATAAGATACTAGTACTTGTGAGTGATGTTGCTGCTGTTTTCAAAAGTTCGATGAGTACTGTGTTAATATTTTTGTATGAGTTTCCCTGTACGTGTCATTAAGTGTCAACATAGTTTATTGCACTTTCTTCCAAGAAGTGGGATAATTTTGTGTGTGATAATATTTGGGGGTCGAAGGTGGCATGTTCTGATTTGAGTGTTTACAATACAATGTGTGTGACAGCTCAACTTGCTTACCTCTGTCGCAGTACATGTATCCAAATTGAGTTTCAAAAGAAATCCCAATTTTTTTCAGTATGAATTTTTGGTATATAACCCAACAGGGTACATATATATAATGTTGTAGCCTGTGAACAGGCTCTCTGTTTGGGGAAAAAAAAATAGCAAGGAAAGTGAGTTAATGCTACTGCTATACAGTTAACTTCCGAAATATCGGGAGTTAGAAGCAAATAGCCTGAAATAAGAAAATAAGCAAATGAATGGGGGAGTGTGTGTGTGTGTGGGTGGGGGTGGGGGGGGGAATGTAATTAAGAAATAAAGTATACAGGATAACATGAAGACAAAGAATTGACACAGTTGCTTTGCAGTGTCTCAGACTTGCACGTTTTTTTCCCTGACTTAATTGTCACGTGCTTATATTATCGAGTTATCACGGGTAGCCGGATTATATAGAAGTGATCTGAGGGGAAGCAAAATCATTTTGAGTTTTTAATAGCTGGAAGTTCGAGTTATCAAGGGTTCGAGTTACCGAGGGAAGATGTATGAAGGATTAAAAATCCAGGGAAGTCAACTTTAATTTGAGTTAGCACAGGGTTTGAGTTATAGCGAGGGTTCAAGTTATCGAGAGTCGACTGTAATATTATTGTTAGTCAAGAGAGGCTTCACATGCTTATTGTAATGCAGTAATGTGTAATTGATACAATATGGTACACCAAAGCCTTATTAGTCTAATAGAAATAAGCCATTATTGTCTGAGTAGCCTCAAGGCTCTGTTTCAAAGCGATCGGCTAAGTGTAAATCCATCGATCAATATGAAAATGATTTTTAATCTCATGCACATAGAACTCATTTTCACAAGAGATGTTTTGCACTTAGCCTCATTTTGAATGTGAGTGTTTCTGTAACTTGGAAATACAGTGGAACTTCGCCTTACGACCACCCCGTTTATAAGACCACCTCATTATTACGGCCATATTCTTTCAATTGTTGAAAGTTGTTGTAACTGCTATTTTGTTGTTCTGAAGGCTTTAGCAGTGTGTGCCACAGATCTTCTTGCCCTGACGGTTCTTAAGTCTCCTGGTGAATTTGGCTGTGATGTGGCCATAGGATGTACTCAAAGATTTGGCGTTCCTCTAGGTAAGCTGTCAAACAACTGTAGACATGTTAGGAAGGCAGTTACGTGTACAATATACAGTCAATGCAGTCAGTGTTGCCTGATCGGGAGTTCATCTGTCTGTTTACAGGTGCACTTTTTTTTTAGCTTGACTGTTACAGTAGTGGTTACTGTAGTTACTGATAATAATATTATTTTAATCCCAAATGAAGCAAACTTTTTTCACGATTCCTACCGGTACATGTAAATGTACAGTGTATAATGCAGACCCTGCTGTAATGGAAACACTTAGCTGTGAACTGCTCACTCCACCCATAGCTCATAGTTAATTGTGGAGTATCCAACCAGCAACTGGAAAGTTGTGAGCTGTGTATAGTGTAGATTCCTTCTGAGGTCTGAGATTTTCCTTCATATTTTACTTACAATAGTTTCAGTTTCATGTAATTACTTTCAGTATGTCAGTTGCAGTCAGTGTGTATGTTGCATTAATATTGAAATTAAAAATGCCATTTTTAGAAGACATACTACATGTCCAGTTCAGTTAGGCAGGCATTGTTGCTTCAGGTCAGTCAGCAAGTCAGTAATTTGCAGATTAATCAGACATCTCTCAAGTCTGTTGGTCAAGTATTATAAGACACGCAGGTAAGGATTATGCCAGTTAATTTATTCACATCGCGATCAAGTCATTTACTGTTAGTCAAGAACTGTTAGTGTCAGACATCAGCTTTCATGGGGTACTGCTTCCAAGGAACAAATCTGACAGTGACTGTTAGTTTGTCTAAACTGTACACACAAATCGTCATTTTTCACCCGAAACTCTTAGCAACTTTCTCAACAGGAAAAAAATATTCACTGCATGTACAGTGTATTTCCAAAAGGCCAAAACATAATAAATTTGGTCGAAAACTCCCTCAAATATAACAAGGTTTGTACATGTCACGGAAAACCTGGAAAGTCATGAAATTTAACAATTTCATTTTCCAGTCCTGGAAAGTCATGGAATGAAAAATCATGTTTGGTAGACTAGTTATTGCAGATGTCAAAGCAAGGATAGTGTACAATAGAGACTAGTTATTAAACAGTGCGAATGACACATATTTTGTTGGACAGAAGAGTTTGTGTTTGTTGAACTGAATAAGGTCAAAAATACCCTAAACTTGTGGTCATGGAAAAAGTCATGGATAGTCATGGGATTTGAAGAGATCAAAAGAGTACAAACCCTGTATTAATGTCATATTATTCAGAAGGCTATTGTTTTTCTTAATATGATCAGGCTATGGAGGTCCTCATGCTGGATTCTTTGCGGTGCGTGACATGGGAAACTTGAAGCGAATGATGCCTGGACGAATGGTTGGAGTCACGAGGCAAGCAAAATTTCTTTCACGTCTTCTCTCCTGTGAAAGTGCATGAATGCAATACTAATATGATCAAAGGCAATAGACCAATTTCGATATAATTATTTTTTATTATTCATTGCTGAGCCCCAAGATGATTTCTTTTGTTTTATTCTCCCAAGCTAAGTATGAATTTTGACATATCGAGATTGATCTATTGACTTGTTGTCTTGCCTTGTTTTTTGTTTGTTTGTTTGTGTTGCTTCCTTTTAATATGATCCCTTGTGATCCCTTGGACTGTTGGCTTGAACATCATTAATTTAATGATTAATCAATAAGATCATTTTGTTTTACTTGTGATGTAACCAACAAAAGGATTAAAGTTAAAGTAATAATAGTAATTTTGCTTGCCTGAACTGATTGTGGTTGACAGACTGACAGACAGACTCATGGCTGATTGACTGTCTTACTCTGGGCCACGGACTGACTGATGGACCGTGCAATTGACAGACAGATCTCTCAGACTGTCTTATCAACTGTCTAAATGACATTCATGTTGACTGACTAAATAACTCATATGTGACTGATTCACTTATTGACACTGTACTGACTTGCTCAGAGATAAAAAACAGCATGATATTAAATAGCAACAGTCTGGTTTGCACATGACTAAGCATGCATACACTTAAGTGGCTGCTGGCTATTCACTTGCCTTCACGAAAGTGGATTTTTGATTATTGCCAGCTGTTACAGCTGTACGTAATTTAACTGACTAAATTTGCAGGGATGCTCAAGGAAAGCCATGCTACCGTTTGGCACTTCAGACCCGTGAGCAACACATCAGACGAGACAAGGCAACCAGCAACATTTGTACCGCACAGGTAATGTGAAATTAATAGTAATGATTTCTGTTTTTGTAGTTTCCTGTATTCTGTTCACCTAAAATAAGCGTTGGCTGATTTTGTCATATGCTAGAAACTCGTCAGGTAACATTATGATAATTTTCCTTTCGACAGGCTCTTCTTGCTAATATGTCGGCAATGTATGCAATTTACCATGGCCCTAAAGGCTTGAAGGACATTGCTCAACGTGTTCATGATGCAACTCTTTTGTTAGCGGAAGGTAACAAAGAATTTAGTACATGCTATGCACTAATTAGTGCCAGTAGAGGTTTATGGGTTGGCTTTATCTCACTGCTTGAAAAATCGGTTACTCAACTATTTTACTATCACAGTCATCACACAGCTCCAAAATTCTTGTTGCTCGTTATTGGGTACAGAAAAGGGCACGTTTGGTTGACAAGTAAGATCCAAACGTGCGCTTTTAAGGTAAAACTTGTAATTTAATAATAATAATAATAATGATAATAATAATAATAATAATAATACAAAGTAATATATAGTGTACAATGTAGTGTTAACACTTACAGGGTATACATGTAATATTATCCTCTTCCCTTACTGGACTTTTCAAGGATGGTGAAACAAATCAAGCAAATGGATCATTTCATAGGTTTGTTAAGTATCCCAGCTGGTAGGAGGTGAACCAGTTGTGTATTTTACAAGCCATGGCAATACTGAAAATTTGAGCTTGGGACAGCCGAGAACAAATCCAGGTAGTGGTCAGGAGGGGACATGAACTCAGGGCCTCCAGATGTCAAGTCCAGGGCTCAATCTAATCACTTGGCTATGCTGCCTCTTTTAGGGTTCCCACATCTGTTTCAATGAATTGTGAAAATTACTGCAGTTGGAGGTCTGCAAGAGCAGAGCCCTATAATTAATGTTTATTTACTGATTTAGGTCTTTTTGTCTTTCTGTTAGGTTTGAAGCGTGCTGGACATATCCTGGAAAATGACATGTTTTTTGACACCTTAAAGGTAACAACTGGACCATATATTTGTTTGTTTACGTTGATTTACCTTCAGTTGGTAATGGACAGTACGTGACCGAATTTTGTTTTTTTCATGTAAAGGTTACATCAGGCACTGGTGATGTTTCTGACATTTTGGAAAGAGCAAAACAACGGCAAATCAACCTAAGAATATTTGATGACAAAACCGTAAGTTACTGAAAATATCATTATAAAAAGTTTGCTTGTAGAAATGAGGAAACATAATAATCTTCTCCTTTAAAATCATAATTATTACTGAATATAGTTTTTGTTTTCTTCTTTAGCTTGGGGTATCAATGGATGAAACAGTGAAGGAAAGAGACTTGAGTGATCTATTGTGGGTTTTCGGTTGTGAAAGTTCCACTGTAAGTGTATGATTATGTCCAAAGGAAATGTATGTGCATGGCTGTATATTAAGGGTTGGGGCGGTGATTTTCCCCTTTACTATGAAGGTGACCTCCTCTTTTCAGAGGCTGTTATAATGTTCTCCTCGATCTGCACACACACACATATTAACTTTACACATGAGCCTCATTCATTTAATGTGTGACTGATTCCCAGATGTGTTAATGACATCATCGTTCCACCTTAATTAAGAAAACCTAACTGCTTGTCCGGGGTTAGAAGTGGTCTATCTGCATTAATAATTAATTCTGTGTCCCATGGGTGGATTTGGCAGGGCTCGGAAAAAGTTCCTGTCTGTTAATGCGGGAAAGGGGATTTTCTTGCTGGGCATTAGTAACCTTTAAAGCTCACTTGCCAATGAGCAAGGTTCATCATCTTTGCAACTCAATTAATTGTTAGCTAACACAAGCAAGAGGTAGCTCCTGGGCGAGCAAAATGTGAGAACTGCCTGCCCAAAGGACAAGCTGGAATTCAAGTGTTTTTTATAATTGAGCCCTGTTTGAGAATGGGTCAAGGGGATCAGGTGGCCTCCCTTTGTCTGTGATATTTTCTGTTATTTTAAAAGAATTTTCAGAAAAAAAAAGTATCTAAATAGTATGTTATAACCAGGCAAGTGTCCTGGCCACCCCTTTCGGAATTTTCTTGATCCACCCTTTGTACCCATGGTTGTACAAACAGTGTATTTTTAGTTCTTAAAATAATGTCTAATTATTATAAGTGACCTTTCACGCGAAAACGTGCAATAACGGCTTTCCGTTTTCGAACGGAATTCCGTTTAGAACCCGTTTGAAAGCCGTTTGAAAGAAATTTGCATTCGTTCGAACGACCTGGGTCATCCGTTCAAAAAAATTTGCATCCGTTCGAACGGCTTGATCACCCGTTCGACAGAAACGTCCAGCCGTTCGAATGACTTGCTCACCCGTTTGGTAAAAGCATCCATCCGTTCGAACGACTTGCTCACCCGTTCGATAAAAACGTCCAACCGTTCGAACGACTTACTCACCCGTTTGCTAAAAACATCCAACCGTTTGAACGACTTGCTCACCCGTTCGCTGGAACATCCATCCGTTCAAACGACTTGAGTATGAGACAGTCATACGAGCGGTTGTCTTTTCCTGTTCGCGTACTCGCGTAATTTCTTTAAAAACTTCTCGCAAAGTTATTATTACAGGCGAAGAGCTCTTGCAGAAAATATATTTTGCGCTTCTAAACATACGGTAATCAGTCGCCTATAGAAGCGAACTTCTTAAATTCTACTCTGTGTTACAATGCGGTTTAATAAACATTACCGGTATAACTATGGTTGTGATAAGCACATAAATGATTTTCTGAACACCGAAATCTCATGAGTCTGCCTTGTGCATTCCTCTTATTTCAAAGAGAATCCACTGAATGAAATCTTTAAGACGGCAGCATGCACTGAGATAACAACCATGTTGTTTTGACGCCCTGAATTTGCATTAATTAAAGTTTCAAATATTACTGATGCGTGGAAAGTGAGTCACGCGTTTGTCATGCATGCATGGTGTAAGTCCTGTGCTTGTTTTCGTCGACTGAGAAGCTTGCTTGTTTTAAAATTTGGGTTACACTTCCCAATAAATATGTTGGTTTTTTTAACCTTTGGGTTTACCCTTCGGCTACATTGTACCGTCGTCTTGATACGGATCTTCGCATGCTAAGATGTTAGCGCATCGGTGTCGTGACACGCAATCGAACTGAACTGACGGGAATGCGTTTGAGTCGTAGTCAAATTAAAGGTCAGCATAGCATACAATTTGAAAATTTATCGGGAACTGTTAGAAACAAAAAGTTGGGTATTTGTTTTGTAAGAAAGCTAGAAAAAACATCACCGCAAATACTTAGCAAGTTTGCATTCGCCGTTGATTTTCTTTCGAGTTCCGCTTCAGCAAACTCAGTTACGAATGTTCTCTGCGTTTCAAGTTTACTTTCTTTGGCTTTCAGTGGTGAAATAAACAGCAGCAGTTTCAACGATTGAAAGCCATCCGTTCGAAATTAATTTTAAGTGAGATGTGTAGCGGCACGGCACCATTCGAAATAAACAAATTACAATCATCACGTTTGTAAGCCGTTCGTGACTGCTCGTTCGAAGATTTCATGAGCCGTTCGAGCGTTTAGATCGCTCGTTCGGAATAATTTTTTTATGAGCCGTTCGAACGGTTTGGTTACCCGTTCGGACTTTTTTATGAGCCGTTCGAACGGTTTGGTTACCCGTTCGGAATTTTTTATGAGCCGTTCGAACGGTTTGGTTACCCGTTCGGAATGTTCTACGACCCGTTCGAACGGTTAGGCTACCCGTTCGCAATTTTCCCCGAGCCGTTCGAACGGCTAAGCTACCCGTTCGGAATACTTAATCACCCGTTCGAACACTCATTGAAACCCGTTTAAAACGGCTTGGTGACCCGTTTGTAACCCGTTCGATGGCCGTTCATTTCACCCGTTTAACGGAAAGTCGTTATAGTACGTTTTCGCGTGAAAAATTAATAATTATTATTAATTTTTCAGGATTCCTTGGCTGCCAATATGGAAGAAGTACCACAAAGGAGCATTCTGCATAGTTCGTTCAAGAGACATAGTGATTACCTTACTCATCCTGTGTTCAATATGTATCACTCGGAGACAAACATTGTTCGTTACATGAAACTGTTGGAAAACAAAGACATTTCTTTGTGTCATTCTATGATCCCTTTGGTATGTGAATAATAATTGAAATTTTATTTATATTAACCTTTAATCTTGGTTGAGCCACGTAATTATTGTTTTAATCATGATTCGTACCAGTCATGGAAAACCAGGAAAGCCATAAAATTTTTTTTATTTCCAGGCCTGGAAAGTCATGGAAAATTAAAGTTATGGGATAGTGGTAGATTAGGTACCGCAGATGTCAAAGCAAGAACAATTTAAGATAGAGACAAGTAATTAAACAGTGTGAACAGCACACATTTTGGTCAACAGAAGAGTTTGTGCCTGTTCAACTGATTTAGGTCAAAATATACCTCAAAGTAAGGAAAGTTTTGAAAATTTTAAAAGGGAAAAATTTAAAGGTCATGGAAAACTTGAAAAGGTCATGGAAAAGTCGTGGAATTTGAAGAGCTCAAACGTGTATTATGTGTAAGTAAAGTCTGGAAACTACCCACTCACCCCTCCCCTGACCTTTTGAACGTTAACACCAAATGCAACTTCCTTCTTACAGCAAATTGTTAGGTTAGGAGAGAGGCATTTCCCAGAATCCTTAGCCGATATAATAATAAAGATTCTTCATAAAGTGAAGGGAAAATTCTTGACAAATACAGTTTATTTTGCAGGGTTCTTGTACAATGAAACTGAATGCTACCACTGAAATGATGGTGAGTTTATCATTTTTAATATTCAAGATTAACTAAAATTTGATTTGTTTGATTGGTTATTATGATAATGAAGGAGAGTGCTGTTTACATGGGGATTGCCTACCATTGCAGTTGAGTAGAAAAAGATTTTTCAGTAGCCTGTTCTGTAAGCATTTCTGCGCGAGTTTGTTGAGAATGAGAGCAAAACAATCTTATTGAACTTGCACAGAGCTTTGCAAACAAGCTCACACAATAAGGCTTGCTATGCAGTATTCTTCACGGCTGCCTTAATCCTTTTTCAGTGGTCTTAAGTTTCTCAAAAATACCTGGAGTAATAATTATATATTATTTTTATCGAAGTTTTAAACTGTACAGTTTACTAGGCATTATTAATTTTTTTTAACATACATTCTGATACCTCTATATTGTCAGCTTTTAAAAAAGCAGTTTGTCAGCTTTGATTCTAGCTTATTCTCTAATTATCATGTAACCATCATGTAATTCAGCCACTAGTCTTTTTTTTTTATTGTAAATAATTTTATTGCATAATTTAGGCTTTTTCTTTTCCCGTTTCCCTATGTATAATTTTATTTATTTGTTTTTTCTTGGCTATAGTTGATTAGCATATTTAATTGCCAGAGGTCTAACCAACTTCATTAAATAAATTTTCATGCATACATTCTTACCTTAGCAATGTCTTTTCTTTTCTAGCCTATCACTTGGCCCAGGTTTGCCAACATCCATCCTTATGCTCCAGTGGAACAAGCCCAAGGATATCGTCGTCTGTACCAGGAATTGGAGAAAGATTTGTGTGAGATCACTGGTTTTGATGCCATATGCTTTCAACCAAACAGGTAAAAGTGGACAAGAAGCTCTGACAAATTTTGATTAATTAGAAAAAACTTTGGTTGAAAGGGAAATTAAAGGACTGAAACTCTTGCTCCGCTTATGAGCACACTGTCTGCCTCAGCAGCTTGCAAAGAAAGTAGTGTCCAATAGCCCGGGGCTAGTGGATTTTGCTATCAGGCTAGTGAATTCTGTTCTTAACTTGACCGATGGGCAAATGAAGTATTTCAACTTACAGAAAAACTGTGAAATCAATTCTGCTCATCAAAAAATTTCGGGGGCTTGTTGAAATGACGTTTGGGCTGGTAAATGCTAGCTTCAGCTTGCCCAAATGACAAGCTGTAAAAGCCTGCTCAGCTTTATCACTCTATTGGGTAGTATTATGAGGAAGTAAATAATTAAAAATGAGGACCTTAATCTTTACTTTTACAACTTCTCTGAGGTTCTGTTCACAGAGCTGTGAGTTAATGGTAAGTCTGTCCAACTCAAATTTGCCCATGCCCAGCAAAATCCTTCCTGCTGAGTCAGAGGTGATAACTGGACAGATGAAATTTCAATGCCAATGAATATCATTTTGAAACTGAATAAAATTGAATAGTACTTCAACAAAGAAATTACCACCTACAACTAAAATGGTGACTTGGTCAGACATAGTGTCCTTTCTGGAAAAATGGATCTTTCAGGAAGGACATAATAATATTACATGTATGCCCAACCAATTCTGTTAATCACCATCTTAGTCTTAAAATCCTCATTCCTATAGAGATTTACCTGCAGAAATGATCTTTCATTACTTTTCAGTCAAAGTAAACAACTGTTAACAATCAGTGAGAATTCGTCTGTGCTGACAGCTAGATGTTCAGCCCAGTCAAACCAGTCAAACCTTTTCAGTTTAATACAGTGTCAGCAGTTACATCTGATACTTCATGTTTGCCTTACCCAATTGACGCAAAAATACTTCTCAAAAGTGTGTCTCAAGACCCCTCGTTTGATGTTTGTTTGTTTATTATTTTTCCCATACAGTGGAGCACAAGGTGAATACGCAGGCCTTAGAGTTATCAGAGCCTACCATGAACATAACGGAAATGACCACAGAAAGGTATGAACACCCATTATAACTAGAAGTATTTCTTCAGCACAGCATTTCGATCATTGGATCGTATTTAAATATTATTATTATTATTATTATTATTATTATTGTTATTTCTTAAATATATTAACATTAATCTTTTATTGATAACAAAACTAACTATTAAAACCTATTTACAATTAATTTCGCTGAAGAAGAAAAAAAATATTCAGTCAAAGCACCATTTACAAGTGATTTCATTTCATAAGCTCCTGTTCATTGCAATTTATAAAAAAAAAAACTCAACTCATTTCAACTAAAAACAATTCATTTCAATTAAAAATGAAATAAAAATATTAAAAAGATCGTAAAATACTAATAGCGTTTAAGCGGCAGTCATCAATGAAATTCCCGTTTTAAATATATGCCCATTATCCTACCTTTTTCATGAGTGATTGTCTGCGGGTAATTTAAAACATTTCTATCTCATTATGTTGCAATCACCAACAACTGATTGGATGGGGTTAGTTGGTTTAAAGGATAGTAAAACCACGTGCATACAAGGAGAGTAGTTATCCATGGCAACCAAGTGAGCCGTAACCACTGTCACACTGAACAAAGAGTTTAGTGGAAAATAAACATGACAAACTTAACTGAGGGAAAAATGGATGGACTGGTAGAATGCAGCAACCAAGCCTTTATAGTCGTAAAAAAGAGAGTTCCACAATAAATCATCGAAACTTCTTGAAGCCCTGCTACTAACGGGGACGCCCCGCAGCACCTGTGAGCCGTCATAATAGAAACCGCTGACCGTCATTGTCTTGAGTTTATCTTTGCCTTCTCCGCGGTCAATCTTCTATGGCGTTTCTTCAACCTCCTTCAATAAAAATAGCCGTGCTTACTTTTTTTGGTGAAAAAAAAAAAAATAATAATAAAAATGAAGTTTGTTCGGAGGGTCGATTTTTTGAGCAATGCGCCGCGAAAAAACTTTAAAGTTAATACTCTTCCTCGAAGCTAGAAGTCTTTGTATGAACTGTATGAATGACTTTGTAATCTCTTTGCCTAACTTGTTTTAGGTTTGTCTCATCCCAGTGTCTGCTCACGGCACAAATCCAGCCAGTGCACAGATGGCTGGCTATCAAGTTCAAGTAGTCAAGGTGGAGAGCGATGGGAATGTCAGTTTGAGTGACTTGAAAAAGCAGGTTGAAAAACACAGCAATGAACTGGCCGCCATCATGGTCACGTACCCTTCAACCAATGGAATCTTTGAAGAAGGGATTAGGTATATCTGCGATCTGGTTCACGATCATGGAGGCCAAGTCTATCTTGATGGGGCGAACCTGAATGCGCAGGTAGGACTCTGTCGACCAGCGGATTACGGCGCTGATGTCATGCACACCAATCTGCACAAAACGTTCTGCATTCCTCATGGAGGAGGAGGGCCTGGGATGGGCCCAATTGGAGTGTAAGTACCTCTGTCTTGAAAATGAGTATTCGACACTTTGAGGTTGCGCGGGAAACCGGGTTTAGATGGTTGTCAAAGTGCATTGTGGGACTGTTTGGGGTACGCATTTTCAACACGGCGACAAATTCGTTCCCCAAAACAGTCCGTCAATGCACTTTGACAACTATCTTGAACCGGTCTTCCGTGCTACCGATGAGAGGCAACTGTATATTCGCATGCTAACAAAATGATGGCCTCATTATTGTACCTGATTAATTGACACTCGGTTAATTTTAATCCACAGAAAGAAACACTTGGTCCCATTTTTGCCGTCACATCCTGTCATCTCACCGGAGCGCACCGTTGGAAAAAGTTCCCATCCATTTGGTGTTATCTCAGGGGCACCTTATGGGTCTAGTGCTATTCTACCCATATCATGGTCCTACATCAAACTAATGGGCCCCAAGGGTCTTGCTCATGCAACGAAGGTAGGTTCAAAGCTGGTTAGAGAAAAAGAGACTACAATTTTGATATTTTTGTAATTTTTGTTTTTCAGGGCTGTGCTTTAGTAACGCCTGGTGACCCCTGGCAACTTACTTTAGTTGCTCTTGGGCGATTAGGAAATCTTACATACATAAATTAAACACTGTTTACAGGTAGCCGTTACGACACCTGAAGGAAGATCGTGAAGTTATTCCTATATTAAGATCTCTTCTCACAGATAACCCACCCAGCCCAGGAAATGTTGGCCACATCACAGGGGTCTACGTCCCCTTTTCTTTCCGAATAGTGGTGTGGGTTCTTGTACGTCCCACAAGATCTAGATAAGTGAGAGTGCTCTGAGACGGGACCTACAGTTTTTCGTCCTTATCCTAGAAAGTCTAACCATTTGCAGATGTCATTGCAAAGGCAGCACTTTCTTCTCAGTTATTTAAAGACCCTAAGTTTTGGTCTGGCCGGGGTTTGAACCTGCGACCTCCCGCTCAGCAGACCGGTGCTCTCCCAGTTGAGCTAACCAAGCGGCAGTTAGATAATCCTTGCCGGGCACCCTGGATTTCACAAGTTCAGAGCATAGACCTTTCATAACGACGGCCTTTTATTTATTCTTTCCTATGTACATAAATGGGCCTTTCTGGTCTCGTTTGAAAGTATGAATTCTTTTGTATTGTGCACATGCTAACGAGGTCAGAAAGGCTAATTATCACATATAAAAGAATTTACTGAGAGGCCGCCGTTATGAAAGAGGTCTATTGGGCTCCCTTCAGTTTTTCTAAGAGCACCTCCTTTTTGTTGCACTGTATTTGTTTGTTTGTACTTATGGGAAAAACCTCTTTGCAGTCAAAACACCCTAGGGTATATCCATCATTTCAAACAAGACTATGTATATAGTAGCGCTTACAGGAGTTAAATGCGTTTATTTCCTCAGATTGCCATCTTAAATGCCAACTACATGGCTGCCAGGCTTCGGGATCATTACGATGTGCTTTTTATCGGAGATGACGGTAAGCCAATCAATGCCCATCACATACGTTGCGCTATTTTAATAGATGCCACATAGATTTGCATTGCGCATCCTTGCTGTTAATAATTTCACGCGTGATTAGCGCGAGCACGTGTAAACATGGCTGCTTTCGACTAGAGTCTGGAGCTCCCCAGAGACGTGACCATTGTTGCCTATTTTTCCCCCAGTCCTCTCAAATTTCTTAGCTTCACACGGCGACTTTCGCGTTGAACAAGGGATGCGTAGCGAAGCCCTTTAAAACGTCGGGTCTCCTTTGGAGGCTAATAATTTACAGACTTTCTTAAAACTCCATTTATCGACTTCTCAATTACGTCTCCCGCAATTATTTTGGAATGATGTTATTCTTCACATCTTTTATTTTCGTTTACCAGGTTACTGCGCTCACGAATTTATCGTCGATGCTAAAGATTTCAAAAAGACCGCTGGAATTGAAGCAATTGACATCGCCAAAAGACTTCAGGATTATGGTAACCCTAGTTTGTGAGGAAGTCTGTTTTGCATATACGTAATCGTCGGGATCGCCTCAATCGCCCGATTCTTCTCAAAGTATGTGCGGGCGATAGAGACGATCAACACGGGATGTGGCTCGATCAGAGACACTCGAATAATCGCTGTGGCCTATATGAAAACCAGACGTAACGGAAACATTGCGGGAATTCTGTCCCCATTAGGATAATTTTGTGCCTCTTCGTAAATAATAGATGTCTTGTGATCAAATTGCATCGTTATTAAGGGAGGCAGCGTGGCCGAGTGGTTCAAGTCCCGCCCTGATCGCGATCGCTAGCTAGATTTTCTCTCGGTAATCCCGAGTTTCCTCAGCCACGCTCGTGAAATAGCCAACTGATTCGCCTCCAACCAGTTGGGATTTTTAGCCTTGTTATGTTCAATTTAAAGTTTTCGTTTTATTATCAAGTTCGTATCGTAACCCGGGTTTCTTTGGCTGTTTCAGGTTTCCATGCGCCCACTGTATCTTGGCCAGTGTCAACTGCCCTAATGATCGAACCTACTGAGAGTGAAAGTAAAGCTGAGCTGGACAGACTCTGTGATTCACTCATTTGTAAGTCAGCTTATAACATAACATAACGGACACGAAAACATCACTTATAAAGTGTATGCGCGTTTTTGTGGACTTTACGAAGTTGTTGTTTGCTATCCGGTCGTGATATGTTTGCGTTAGAAAATGCAACGTCTTAGTCGTGTAGTGACCACGAATTGTGATTTACGTGCACACAGCAGAGTCACCGTCGTCGTCGCTTAAGCTTTCCAGTGAAGTTAAATTGTAAAAGGTTCTCTAATTCGTATAAACCGATTTTTTTACTTGTAATAATTTGGTTCTACATTCGGACGCCTCAACTGTAAAGAGTAAATAACACTTAACGCCGCAAATTATTCGCTCGATTGTTTTGGCGAACTCGAGAATGAATCGAATAGGGTCTTTGCTGAGCATGCGCGGCTTGTTGCTAGGATATAGTTTCGAACCTAGGCCTAACAGCCGTGCGCCCGGTTATGATTTTCGGCTTATCACCAAACAGATGCTCGCACTCGAAAATTTGCCGTTGAGTCTCCCGACTCATTATTTCTTGCTTAATTTCGGTCGTTTCTTATTTCCTTACTCACAGCAATCCGCCAGGAAATTCGCGACATCGAAAACGGAATTATGGACAAGACCAACAATCCTCTCAAGGTAAAGATTTTTCCCTCATTAAGCCACGTTTATGGTCCATCCTAATCGGTGATTTATTTTACAATTAAAGTTGAGTTAGAGCAGTCTGATCAATCACGATAAGTGTAGAGAATCGAATTAACCAATCAGATCTCCGGCGCTAAACGCGGGAAAACGCGTTTGCAACATTTCTGATTGGCTAAGAAAGAGGCGCGTGATTTTTTTTAGCCTATCACAAAGTATATCTGATCAGTGAACACCACCTTACCTTTCACTTTCGAAAGGCGCCTTGTAATGTTGCTGTATCTGTCTTTTTCTTTTAGAATGCGCCGCATGCTCAAGATGTTGTCACTGCTGATGTATGGGACAGACCTTACAGTCGTGAAGTTGCGGCCTTTCCTGCTGTGAGTATACTAAATAAACTGAAAGCACTTTTTCTTTCACACAACTGGAAATCTTAGATGCACGGCATCAAAACAAACTCTCTAGGCTCCATCTGTTTTTGTTGGCTAGAACAACCAGAAGTACGACACTACTTCAATTCCCAATACACAGGGTTCGTACAGAGTCTTGAATTTTTTATAAAGGCATGAAATTTCGCCACCAGTTTTCCAGACCTGGAAAAATGGTAAAAAGTCTTGAGTTTTTTTTTGTCCAAATCTACATCAAGTGCATTATAAGTGAAATTTTTTTACTTTTGGTAAAATCTTATTCAATCTCGCCTATGCGTTTGCAGCGCGTCATGGCAACAAAAATAATTGAACTTCCAAACACCATGTGACCTGAAGGCCCCTCGCACACTAGAACCCAAACTCCCATTCGTGTGTGAGAAAAACATTCTTCCCTTCTTTCGTTCCTCATCTAGCGGAAAACCACCCTTTTTCCTCTCCTGGGGATCCGTTTTGGTCCGAATTTTTCAGTGAAAAATTTCAAGGGCCTGATACAGAGTTCAGTCTAGTGTTTTTCGCTGATGACGAGTTTCATAGTTACCTTGCTTGTGTGTGAGTGTGTTTTTTTTCTTTTTTTTTCTTTAGCCCTGGCTGAAAGGAACTGCAAAATTTTGGCCTGGGTGTTCAAGAGTTGATGACAAACATGGAGATCAAAATTTAGTTTGCACTTGTCCTCCATTGGAAAGTTACGAAGACGTAAAGACGAAGTCTTTCAGTTAATGCAAGAAAACAAGATCAATCCGACTGCCTTTTACCAACCGTAATTAAGCAGACTTGTGTCACGCAATGCATTTACCCTATCCATAACGTGACGTGTGGAAACTTGTCACGCAACACTTTTATTAGAGGGAGTTCAGTTTTGCTAACTTTGCCAAAAAAAGAACAGTAAGAAGAAACTCTTCCGAGTTGTTGTCCATCAATCCAAATGCAATTCAATTCATTTCGTTTAGACTGGTTTAGAAAATTTACAAGTCACTGCACCAAAGAAGAAAGGGAGAAAGCGTTTAATATAAACAATAAAGACAGAGAGTTATAGTTAAATTGTGTGCGTCAACTAGGAAAGCATTAGGCTTTCAAGCTTCGCCCAATTTAAGGTATTCCAATCGTTAGCGGGATTTCGGATTCCATTCGGACCCCGGGTTCCAATCGTTAGTGGGATTCTGGATTCCTTCAGCTGGATTACGGATTGTAAAGCCCAGGATTCCGGATCCCACAGATTCGGGAATCCTGATTACCTTACGTAAGTCGACAAGCTGGTTTCCGCAAAGGGGCTGGACAAAAGTGATGTCAATAAGGAAACGAGAGAGTGCATTTTACTCATGAAAGACTTTTTTAGTATTGGTGAATGAATGTAGAATTATTTATGTATCTCAAATAGTACTTACTCGGTGTGTTTAAAGTGTTACACCTCGTTGAATAGGCTACTAGACATGAAAAGTGGACCCACTTTCCTTTTCCATTTATTTTTTTTTTGTCTTTTGCTGTCCCAAGATTTTACGGATTTTTTTTAAGATTTGCGGTCAACATTGTTTCTACTCATTAATCATTCTGTCGCCCGGCCAGGATCAGACAAAGCATACCTGTTGAATTACATTATTTTACACTTTGTTTTACGGTTCATCGATTTATGTTGATTAAAACATGAAAGTTCAAGGTGTCATGCAGTTTGCTTTTCTTTGAAATGACAGCTGAAATGAGCGAGATAATTACCGGGGAAATGTTTCTCCTACGACGTTACCTGTAAAAAAGGAGTCCTTTCAGTTATGGGGAACTACTTAAGCAACGACGATTTTTCATGTTCTTTCTCTAAACGTAGTAACAGACCTTTAGAGTTTAATTCGTCAACATTTGAAAAATTGAACGAGATGGAATGAGGGTGATTAAGTTTGAAACAAAGTGAATGCCCTTTTTAAGTGATGTTTTCGCTCTCGTCATCGTCATTATTGTTTATGCTTCCTTTAAGTGGAGGCACGGCGTGAGCGAACTATGGGTAAGAAAATGTGGTTTTCAAAATATATTTTGTTAATGATATGTGAAATAAATCATATATGAACTGCGGAAAATGAAATGAAAATGAAGAAATGATCGTAGCAGTGAAGGCAATTTATGCTCACTTGGTAGAGCATTGCACCGGTAAATCGCCAGGTCACGGGTTCAAACCAGATTCAAGTCCTGAATTTTTTTCAGGCTTCTTTACGCAATTGCATAAATTGCGTTCACTGCGACGATCATTTCTTCATTTTCAAAATATATTTTGTCGTGACGTCAACGAACGTCCACGCCACTATGTAAGCCAGTATGAAACGTTACATGCATTTTCTTTGCAAAATTCAGTCGTTTCAAAATTTACCAGAGCCCATGTGCGCTACCCAATGGGTAAGAAAATATGTTTTTTTTAATTTCTAGTGGGCCGTAGGTCTGGGCCCGAAGCTTTATCAAAGCAGAAAGGTTCAACAAAGATCTCACTGGATTCACGTAGAGTCTTTCTCAAGTACCGTATTTATTCGATTAACGGCTCTAGGCGCTTATTAAATTTTTGGACCTTGAGAGTGCCCGCTTATTCGAGGTGGGCGCTTATTCGAGGCTGGGCGCTTATCAAATTTTCAGCATTTTCAGCAAGTGTAGTATGTTTATTTTGAAACAAAACAATAAATGGTAATGACAAAATGCCAAGATGTAACAAAGCAAGGTTCCTGTAAAATACTTTGAAGAAAACTCCGTCTTCGAAGAAGTCTCTATTAGTGCTTATTCAATTTTTTTGGGGGGGAGCGGGGGGGGGGGTGGTCGCTTATTTGAGTTTAAGTGGGAGTGGGAGGGAGGTAGGGTGGGGTGGGCGCTTATTCGAGGCTTGGCGCTAATTCGAGGGTGGGCGCTTAATCGAATAAATACGGTACGCCAAAAGATAGCAAGTGAAAGAAAGGCTTTGGTGGCAGGGTGGTCATATACACAATGAGATAAACGAATGCCTACCTTGCTAGAAACATATTAATAGGGACTTTAAGATACCACGACGGCGACGGCAACAAAAACGGCAAAAAAGCAATAAGCTTAGATTGGCAAACAACAACTTGCCACGTGCATCATGCTTTTTTGTACAGTTTCTTTGCCGTCGTTGTACGTCTACGACGTGATAATTCGCAATTTCACGTTATACGGAGGACGGGAACACAAGACAACGATTTTCTTTTTCTTTTGTGAAGTTAGATATAGTTCTTTAGAATTCAACTCCTGAAAAAAAAACCCAACCAATGAGAAACTGGAAGAGTTGGAATAAGAACGATGGAATTTAAAACAGCGCTAATCCTATTTTTGGGTGAAGTTTTCGCTGCTGTTGCAGTCGTCTTTGCTTACTATCCCTAAAAGCAAGAAGACTTGGGAGCAACAAGAATAAATATTCCAGTGAATATAGAAAGCAGCGCAGCTTAAGAGATTTAAACTTTTGATGACGCTGACTTGAAATCAGTGATAATTAATTTCTTGATCAGTTTCATCTCAGCAAATTTGCGCGCTCATCGCCAAACAAGATCCGCGAGCTACGTACAGCATGTACATCAAAATCAAAATCAAAACAATGGGCTCACATTTTTTTGATTTGCAAAGTAATTAGCACGTGATACTGACATTTTTATCAGCCAATCAGAGATGACTTTTTTTTCGATTAGCCTTGTGGTTTGTCCCTTGGTGCTGACCCAAAGGATTGCAGTCTCTGCGTTCTCTCGTACACTATCATGCACGCGCAAAAGAAATCAACCAGGTGAAAGCTGATTATGACGTCACTACATTAACATACAAAAATCACCGACTAATATTTTTGGCGGTTGGCTTGTTCTATTTGCGAGTTTAAAATATTTTAAAATGCCTTCGTATCGCGAGTTAAAAGACAAAATCAGAGTTTTAGAAGAGGAAAAAAAGGCGTTGCGTGAGGAATGTGGAGTACATAGCACCAACCGAATTCAGTTAGAGGGGAAACTCATGGAGTGGCAGAGTTATGCTGAATACAAGAAAGAGATGTTAGTGGCCACCATGCAAGAGAGGGAAGAGTTTAAAAAACTGTATGAAAAGACGAAAGCTGAAAACAATATTCTGGAGTTTCATTTGGAACGCCTTCAAAGGCACTATCTTTGGTTGGAAAAGGGCTTTACATCATGGTTTCGCGTTGGCCAGCAAATGTATGATGAATATCTATTATATAAGGAAGCCTACTTTGGTCTGCTGGAAAGGTATACTTGGGAGACCGCAAGTGACACCGTGGACAATGACAATATTACGTCCACCCTGGCTATCCCTTTTTCAACTATGCAGCCTAAAGCTCCTCTCCATAGTCTACAAAACGGTTATCTAAAGTACACAAATGCGCTGACTTCTCCATCGCCGGCAGCTGTTCCTGTTTCAATGAGTGAAACCTCGCTCCAACCAGCCTGGGAATACTGTTCCTCTGTGCTCCAGCCGATCAACTTTGGATGCGCAGAACGGATTTTGATTTATGGTAATAACCAATCAGAAAGTCCCAGGATCCGTATTGTAAACCAAAACATGGCGCTTCTATGGAGCCCACAAATGCTGATCAAACGAAGAAACCCTCTTCAGATCCTACCGAGAAAAGAAATTGCCTGTGAACAGGCCAACAAGGAAGAGAACGTAAGAGAAAACAACGAGCACTGCAAAAAGGAAGAGAGAGTAACAGAAAACAACGAGCGCTGTGAAAGCTTATCAGAGCAGGATGAAGACAGTACATCGCCCGCTATGCTTGAGGGGAAAAGCTCCAAATTAAAGGTAAGCAGGCCAAGATTCTGTAGCACAGTGGGAAAGGATCCGCTGGGAAGTATGGGGGAAGGTCTGGGGGAAGTCTCCCTAATTAGTAAAGCCACAGTGCCTGTGCTATAAGACATGAGACTTTAATAAAGTTCATTTTTATTAAGGACCGGTAGTACCACTTCGTTTTATCCATATTATTGATCCATATTTCTCTTTCTTTCTTACTCATTTGTAAATCAAAACGATGAATCCGTTCATATACTCCCGTAGTTCTCTAGAAAATGATACCCGATTCCAGACCAAAAAGGTGCAAATAACTGATCACGCTGCACCAATATGCGGTGCTTAACCCATCCAATGTGCGAGGTTTCACTTTCGAGATCTGCCCGGCACAGTCTCGCTTCATTAATACAGAAATAGCCGCTCTTTTAAACAGAATCAAGAGTATGACTGCTACCTAACACTTTCAGCATAATATTCTAAGCATTTCACAGGAGACCGTGCTTACATTGTAGCAGCCCGTTCCTGTGCAGGCGTTAGGGTACTATATACATTGAGGTTTTCACAATAATATATTAACACCTGATTTTTCCCTTGTTGTTTTTGTTTTTTGCAGAAATGCCGTGTTCGTCGATTATTTTCTCGATTAAAAAAGATCTGTTGTTGTGGCAAGCCACAAACAACAAATTAAAATCATTCTCCATCATGTAAATAAGGAAACGAGAGAGTATATTTTACTCATGAAAGACAATTTTAGTATTAGTGAATGAATGTAGAATTATTTATATATCTCAAACTGTACTTACTAGGTATGTTTAAAGTGTCACATCTCGATGAAGAGGCTACTAGACATGAAAAGTAGCCCCAACTTACTCATCCGTTTATTTTTTTGTCTTTTGCTGTCCCAAGATTTTACGGATATTTTTAACATTTGCGGTCAACATTGTTTCTACTCATTAAATTATTCTGTCGCCTGGCCGGTAGCAGACAAAGCATACTGGTTGACTTACATTATTTTACACTTTGTTTTAGGGTTCATCGATTTATGTTGAATAAAACATGAAAGTTGAAGGTGTCATGCAGTTAGCTTTTCTTTGAAATGAAAGCTGAAATGAGCGAGATAATTACCTGGGAAACGTTTCTCCTACGACGTTACCTGTAAAAAGGAGTGGTTTCAGTTATGGGAAGCTACTTAAGCAACGACGACGGCAACGAAAACGGTGAAAAAGCAAAATAACAACACTGCACGTGCATGGCCTTTTATTGTACATTTCTTTGCCGTCGTTGCGCGACTACGACGTGAAACTTCCTAATTTCTCTAATTTGTTCCCGGTACTTGACAATTATTGCTCAAGCCCGAATGGGCACTGAGTCAATAGCCTATGAGGCCGAAACCGACTGGGCTATTGACTCAGAGGCCATGAAGGCGAGAGGAATAATTGTTTTAGTAAAATCCAACATGTTGGTAAAAAGTATTGAGACCAAACAACTTTACCTAGCAAAACTCAGTCGCCATTGTTTTGGTTTTCAAAGCCGGCACTTTTCGCTAGTAGTTGCCTATAACATATAGCCTAGTAGTAGCTCAACCAATCAGAACGCAGCATTGATAATAGATGACTAGTTGGGTTTTACTAAAGTAAAATATTCATATACTAACCATTTATCGCTAAAAATTGCTTAAAACACAAATAAATATAACGGACAATTGAACTGCTATCTTTTTACAAACTCGCTTGTAGACGCGATAGGCACTCGATCGTGTTACGTGAAAAAATCGGAGGTACGAAACTGGATCAAACTGAACCGACAACCTTCTTCCTTGATCTGTTTTATATGTTCCATCGTCGCTATTCGAACTGCCGACAACAAAACTCTGCACGGTATAATCGCATAATT